TTGAGCTGTGTAAAGGGCCCCCAAAAAATGGAGCTGCTTCCCGTTCTCCCAGAACATTGATTTTTGTGACCACAGTTACAAACAGCCTCCAGAGAGCCTCTTCTACACCAGACCAGTGGAGCCAGACGGCAGCTAGAGCCCATCATCATCCTCATCTGGTTGTAAGAAGGCAATCTAGTATATTATTTGTGGCACTAATCTCTAATTTACCTCACATTAAAGAAACACTATAGTCCCCAGAACCACTTCAGCTTAATGTAGTGGTTCTGCTGTCTATAGCCTGTCCCTGCTGGGCTTTTAATGAAAACATGGCGGCACTGCAGCACTGGCATTAGTTAACATGGCAGATCATATGGGTGGGGCATTGTGATGTCACATGGGGGGGGCGGCAAACTTTACTTTTGCCTAGGGCAGCAAAAATCCTTGCACCGACCCTGTGTATAAATGAAGGGTCTGTAGGGAGTGTATTGAGGAAACTGACCTTGGGGCAACACGAGCACAGCACATATGTTCAATATGTGAACTCTCACTCCATGCTCCGTACCAAATAGAATCTAACAATCTTTTAAAATGTTTGAACGTATAAGTTTGTAAAGGGACAAAATTAGCAGCCAAGGAAAATTGACTCATCGCTTCACATCTCTGTTCTTCTTTACCTTTTACACAGTGTTAACTAATTATTATCAAATGATTATCCTGGTGAAAAATTTCTAATTTGAAAAATCAAAGCTGTTATTGGATGAAAATCCTGTGATATTGGATGTGTGTGTGTGTGTATATATATATATATATAAAATATACTATGCAAATATTTGTGCAAAATTAAACAAAGTGCTGCACAGTAGCCCAGGGTAATCTCAAGAGTCATGCTGGCTTGGATCTCACCCAGATTACCAAAGTCCACATCAGATGCTAGGGTACCAGGGAAATCTGACGGCAAGTAGGCTACTGGAACAGACCATACCTGGACACAAAGAAAGAACCTAGACCTGCTTGACTGCTACTGCAACAGCAGACCGAATGAGAGAGGCTACATAAATGTATGTGGGAACTATGGATGAATAAAATATATTTATCTATACCAACACCAAAACATCTAGTTACACAATGTTTGGACATTGTCAAGAAGAATTAGATGGACTAAACAAAATATCATACAGGAGTTTGAGGGAGGAAGAATTTCTTGTCCCCAGGATGGCAGTCAGATTTATCCTTGGAACAAGAAGCTATTACCCTACAATTGAAAAATTATATCCTTGAATATTCTGTTTTTGCAAGTATGCATCTAGTTGATGTTTAAGGATCTGTACAGACTGATAAAACGACTTCTTCAGGCAGAGAATTCCACATCCTTATTATTCTTACTGTAAAAAAAAACCTTAGACGAAATCTCCTTTCTTTCAATCTAAACAGGTGACCTTGTGTTCTATGTAAAGTCCGGTTTGTGAATAGATTTCCACACAATGGTTTGTATTGGCCCTGGATATATTTGTATAGTGTATCATATCACCTCTGAGGGGCCATTTTTCTAAACTAAAGAGGTTTAAATTTGTTAACCTTTCTTCATAGCTAAAATGTTCCGTTCCTTCTGTTAATTTTGTAGCCCGTCTCTGCACTTTTTCTAGTGTCATAATATCCTTCTTTAGAACAGGTGCCCAAAATTGCACCGCATATTCAATTTGTGGTTTTACCAGTGATTTATAAAGAGGCAAAATTATATTCTCATCCCGAGAATTAATGCCCCTTTTTATACATGACAAAACCTTACTGACTTTACCAACTGCTGATTGGCATTGCACATTGTTGCCTAGTTTGTTGTCTATAACAATTACCAAATCCTTCTCGTGTGTTGTTATCCCTAATTCACTACCATTAAGGGTATAAGTTACTTGTGCATTCTTTACACCAAATAGCATAACTATGCATTTTTCTACATTAAATTCCACCTGCCATTTAAATGCCTAGTCCCTTAGTACTAAATATCCCAATCCCTCTGCAGACCTTGAGCTGTGTCAGGGGCTCCAAAGTTTCTGATGGCAGCCCTGCCTGGTATAATGCTTTCTTAGCATTTAAATCAGGGAAATAGATTTGGTGGTTGAGTTTAATTACACTTGGAAGCGAGCGTATCAAGCATGATAGTAAATATCATGGGTCTCTAGACTAACTACCAAGTATAATTGAATTCATCAGAGGCATAGCTACAGTCATGGAAAAAATAAAGTACACTCTCTTTGAATTCTATGGTTTTATATATCAGGACATAACAAATACAACCTCAGATGAAAAAACAATGACAAAAGACATATTACACCGTGTCATGATTTATTTAATAAAAATAAAGACAAAATAGAGAAGCAATTTACTCATTTACCAAAGACTTAAGAATTCAGCTTCTCCAAGCCAGTCTAAACACTAATTCTGTCACATAAAATAATGGGGTATAGAAAGACTCAAGTAGATCCCACATAAATTTGATTTAAAACTGTATATTTGACGCCTGCATCTTGAAAGTGTATTCACACACTTAAAGAAAATGTTTTATTTCACAGATTGTGCACATTTCACATGAAGTAAATCGAAATGGGTAAGTGGAATTTGTACTTAATTTTATGTTGTATGGAGAGTTTAGAAATTGAATATTTTATCAATAGTGTCTACACTGATCAGCCACAACATTAAAGCCACCTGCCTAATATCGTGTACGGTACCCTTGTGCTGCCAATAAGCTCTTTAAGCTCCACAAGACCTCTGAACCTGTCTTGTGGTATCTGGCATCAAGACATAAGCAGGAGATTCTTTAAGTCCTACAAGTTGAGAGGTGGGGACTCCATTGATCTGGGGAATTTAAAAGCAATACCTTTGTAATTTCTTTCAAACATTCCTGAACAATTTTTGCAGTCTTGCAGGGTGTACAATCCTGCTGAAAGAGGCCATCAGGGAACACTATTGACATGAAGGAGTGTATGTAGTCTGCTACAATCTCTAGGCAGGTGGTACATGTCAAAGTAACATCCACATGAATGCCACGACCCAAGGTTTCCCAGCAGAACATTTCTCAGAGCATCACACTAACTCTTCCGGCTTGCCTTGCCGTAGTGCATCCTGCTGCTATCTCTTCCTCAGGTAAACAACGCACATGTACCGGGCCATCCACCTGATCTAAAAGAAAACGTGATTAATCAGACCAGGCAACCTTCTTCCGTTGCTTGACCCGTTCTGCCACTCATGTCTCCACTGAAAGAGGCAATAATTCTATTGACCTCCAGCAGCTGTCAGCTGATATTCATTCACAACTGCTATCCATCCCTTCCCTCTCCTGTCCCTCACTAGCCATCTCCACATATAACACCACCCTCACCTCTGCCTTGAACGCTGCAGCTCCACTCCAAACATGCACTTCGAGGAGGACCCACCCCAACCGTGTCATACTAAATCAACACGCTACCTGCAACAATGCTCCCATTGTGCTGAACGCTCCTGGAGAAGTCTCGCACCCAGTCAGACTTTCTCCATTATAGATTCATATTGTGTTTATACAGCGCAGCCCTTGCCCTCGTCAAACAGCCATATTTTTCCTCTCTCATTAGTTCATGCTCAAACAATCCCAAGCATCTCTTTGGCACCTTTCACTCTCTTCTTCGCCCTGCTGTGGCCACCCCCCAAACTAACAACTGATAGCTATGCAGGCTACTTTACCAACAAGATTGAACAGCTATGGTAAGAATTCTCCCAACCTTTCCGTTCTCTTTCTCAAGCACCCATAGATCATGCCTTTCCTACCCTTCAGACTTTCTCCCTGGCTACTGAACAAGAGGTTGCTGTGCTTCTCCTTTCCTCTCACCCCACCACTTGCCCGCTCGATCCTCTCCCATCTAACCTTATCAGATCTCTCTCCCCTTGTCTTGTGCCTTCCTTAACACACATCTTCAACTGCTCTCTTTCTTCTGGCGTTGTCCCTGCTGACCTTAAACATGCCACTGTGGTACCTATCCTAAAAAAAAACATCTCTTGACCTGTCCTCTCCCTCTATCATCCCATATCCCTGCTCCCTTTTTCCTCAAAGCTTCTGGAAAGACTTGTCTTTACCCGTATGTCTCACTTCCTCAATTCCAACTCTCTCCTTGACGCTTTTCAATCTGGATTCCGCCCTCTCCACTCTACTGAGACTGCTCTTATCAAAGTTACCAATTACCTAATCACAGCTAAATCCAAAGGCTAATTCTTCTTGACCTCTCTGCTGCCTTTGACACCGTTGATCATGCTCTCCTCCTTCAAACACTTCAATCACTCGGTCTCTGTGACTCTGTCCTCTTGTGACCTGGTATCCCGGCTGCCCCCTGCCTGTGAACACAGGAAGCACAGTGAAGGGAGCAGGAAGCAGCCTGTGCTCACTGTGCACGGCTCTCCTGCTCCACCAGGAACCAGGGCAGATACCTGCAGGCTGAAAGATGATCCCTTTCTCCTCCAGTCACATCACTAGCACAGGTATGGCATCACTGGAGGATAAGGGGAGATGGTTATTATTGTGTGTATGTTTGAACATTGGTGTGTTAAGTTTGTTTGTGGATGTGTGTTTTAATAAACTGACTATATGTAAACTGGTGTGAGTGACATTGTGTGTGTGTATTTCAGTGAGAGTGTGTGTGTGTTAGTGAGAATGTGACATAGTGTTTGTTTGTGTGTATGTGTGTGTTTGTCAGTAAGAGTGTGTGTCTGTGTGAGATGGTGTAAGTGATGTGTGTGTGTGTGCCAGTGAGTGTGTGACCAGTTATATTTCTAATACATTAATATAATTATATATATTATATTTAAAAAAAACATTTTACTTACAGTGTGCCTTTCAAACAAGTTCCCTGTCGCACACATTAAATACCACCATTATCATAAACTAAATGCACAATAGTATAAGTTAAATCCCACCAAATGAATTGAATAAATTTGTTATAACAACCATAAATGTATACAATGTAAAATGTATATGTATTAGGCAGTATGTGCGCATGGATGTATGTGTTGGGCAGTATGTGCGCATGGATGTATGTGTTGGGCAGTATGTACGTATGGATGTATGTGTTGGGCAGTATGTACGTATGGATGTATGTGTTGGGCAGTACGTGCGCATGGATGTATGTGTTGGGCAGTATGTGCGCATGGATGTATGAGTTGGGCAGTATGTACGTATGGATGTATGTGTTGGGCAGTATGTACGTATGGATGAATGTATTAGGCAGTGTGTGTATAATGGCCAGTGAGTGTGTATGGTTGAATGTATATATTAGGCAGCGTGCATGTATGGTTGTATGTATTGGCAGTCTGTGTGTGTATGGATGGATGTATTGGCAGGGTGTGTGTGTATGGATGTATGGATGTATTGGCAGGGTGTGTGTATGGATGTATGTATGTATTGGCAGTGTGTGTGTTCATATTGGACAGTTTCTTTTTCCCCCCCTAAATGTCTGCTCACTGTGTCTCTCCTAAAATGTCTCCTAGTCTGTATCGGTTTCCTAAAAACCTCAACAATCTCTCTATCACTTTCCTAATTGCCTTCCCGGTCTGTTCCATTTCCCTAAATTTATCACTGGTCTCTCTGCTTTCCCTTAGACACTTAGGTGTCTATTCACTAAACAGTGATTTGAAAAAGTTGAGATGACTTTATACAACACTTCTGTTTTGGCCTAAATATTTCAAGTTATATTTCAACTCACTGTTTAATGAATAGACAGGGAAAAGAAAAGAAGAGAAATTGACAGAAGATAATTACCGGATTTTTCACTAAAGTGAGAATTGTAAGTGTAAGGGCAGAATAGCCAAATCTGGAGAATGTTAACGGGTGTTTTGACCATAAATTAGAAGTTCACTTTGAATTCCCAACAATTCTCACTTCATTGAATAACCCTATTGGAATAAAGAGAAACAGGCTGGAGAGAATCAGTTGCATAGAGTGAGCAGATAAATCGTGAACATAGAGACTGCAAGCTTTTGGAAAACGAAACAAAGGAGAAAGCTGTGGATAAACGCTTATGAGAGAGTTTGGGCACTACGGAGGAAAGGGACAGCTGATCAGACCTAATTAAAAACCAAATGGCAAAATTTATACCATTTAGAAGAATTCGCCAACTCCGCTACAGTCACAGTTCAGCTGTTTTTGCTTAAACTATGCAATTCGATTTCCAATTCACTGAATTCATAGTTTAGTGAATAAACTTCTGAGAGAGTGTAGTTGCATTCAAGAGGGGGCGGCAAGAATCCTTGCACCAGCCCTGCTTAAAACCCATGCCTCTAGGAAAGTTTATGGCCTCCCAGAGTAACCTCTACCTCAGAGATTGGGACATGATCATTTAAACAGTCTCATGGCAAATCCAAACATTTGGGACTGGACTATACAGCTGGACTTAGTGCTTTGAATAAAGTAGTCAGAAACTGGTGCTCAAACAGGTGCAGCTTCTTTAAGGGTTGCCAGATCCCCCGTCTTTTACTGGACACAGCACTTATACAAGCTGATGGGCAGCAACTGACAGTGTTGCCCTGTAATATGTATAACTCAAGTCATAGAATGAAGAATGCAGCATTTGAATTCTTCCTACTCCAGGGCATCACATTTCATTGTAAGTGGAACAGTAGCAGCCTCAATACCTTACCCAGAATTCCTCCATGAGACTACACATTTAGCAACCCCATCTTTTCTATATAAAAAGATACAGCTTTATTTTTGTAAGGTAGATTGCTGTGAGTCACACAAAGTTACAGGCAGACAGTTACACACTGGCGTACTAAGGGGGTGGAGGTGCCATGACCCTGGTCTGGGGGCTAGAGGGGGCTGTGTGAGCTGTACGGCCGCACAGTGCCCCATGATAGTTAGGGTGCCGGGCGGCCATTACAGCTCACACACGCAAAGAGCAGCTGAACTGGCCGCACAGAGGTAAAGTGGGGGCAGAGCTAAGCAAAATTGGGGGCGGAGCCAAATTGGCAGCGGGGGCGGGGCTTAATTTGGCCTTTACCCGCTGTTGTTACTGCTGCACATGGAGGTGCAGCAAGATGGAATCCCTGCTTCTCCACAGGCTTCAGAGAAGGACTTCAGGGAATCCACTCCTCCTCCAGCCCACTGTCTGTAAGTAAGAGTGTGTGTCTGTGTGAGACTGTCTGTGTGTAATTGTCTGCCTGTAACTTTGTGTGTGTGTGTGTAACAGCCTGTAACTGTGTGTGTGTGCCTGTAACTGTGTGTAACTGTCTGCCTGTAACTGTGTGTATGTGTGCCTGTCTGCCTGTAACTGTGTGTGTAACTGTCTGCCTGTAACTTTGTGTGAGACTGTCTGTGTGTAATTGTCTGCCTGTAACTTTGTGTGCGTGCCTGTCTGCCTGTAACTGTGTGTATGTCTGTTTGCCTGTCTGCCTGTAACTGTGTGTGTAACTGTCTGCCTGTAACTTTGTGTGAGACTGTCTGTGTGTAATTGTCTGCCTGTAACTTTGTGTGCGTGCCTGTATGCCTGTAACTGTGTGTATGTCTGTTTGCCTGTCTGCCTGTAACTGTGTGTGTAACTGTCTGCTTGTAACTGTGTGTATGTGTGTGCCTGTAACTGTGTGTGTGTAACTGTCAGCCTGTAACTTTGTGTGTGTGTGAGACTGTATGTGTGTAACTGCCAGCCTGTAACTTTGTGTGTATGTGTGTGTGTGTGTGTGACTGTCTGCCTGTAACTGTGTGTGTAACTGTCTGCCTGTAACTTTGTGTGTGTGTGCCTGTCTGCCTGTAACTCTGTGTGTAACTGTCTGCCTGTAACTTGGTGTGTGTGTGTGACTGTCTGCATGTGACTGTGTGCCTGTAACTGTGTGTGTAACTCTCTGCATGTAACTGTGTTTGTGAGTGACTGTATATGTGACTGTCTGTCTGTAACTGTGTGTGTGACTGTTTGACTATGACTGTGTGTGACTACCTGTAACTGACTGTGTGTGTCTGCCTATAACTGTGTGTGTGACTATGTATTTGTGACTGTCTGCCTGTGACTGTTTGATGTTGCCTGTAACCGTGTGTGACTGTCTGCATGTGACTATCTGCTGCTGTTGTTTGTGTGTGTCAATGTATATGTGACTGTCTGCCTGTAACTGTGTGCATGACTGTCTGTGACTCTCTGCATGTGACTGTGTGCGTGTGACTGCCTGCCTGTAACTGAGTGTGCGACTGTCTGCCTGTAACTGAGTGTGTGACTGTCTGCCTGTAAATGTGTGTGTGGGGCTGCAGGAATTTTGGAGAAGGGGGCAGGGGTTTTGTATTGGGACAGGAGTTTTTATAAGGGGGGATAAGCAGGGGATTTGTGGAAGGGGGTTGCGGGGGTTTTGTAGACTGGGGGGCAGTACAGGGGTTTTGTAGGAGGGGGCGGGGCAGGACAAGGGTTTTGTAGGAGGGTCTGACAGCGGTTTTGCAAAGTTTACAAATTGTAAAAAAAAAAAGAAAACATTTAACATTTTTTACAGGTTTTTTTTTTGGGGGGGTGGGAGGGGGTGTGGGGGGTGCCAAGCACAGGACCCGCCCCGGGTGCCAAATGCTCTAGGTACGCCCCTGAGGTGTGCACAGAATTAGACCAGCCTTACTGGCCACAAACTGGAGATGCCCACAAGGCACTCAGTGTCTCCTCAGGCTGTCCCTATCCTGAAATCCCCAGTGATGCAAATGACCCATTCACAAGATTCACTATTATTACATACTCAGCTCAGCCAATAAGAGTTCAATGTAAGCGGAGTTGCTGATATGACTGTTTACTGCAGCCAGTTTCTCAGATATGCAGTTTTCAACTGCAAGGCTGTATGGGCAGTATCTTTGCCCTAAAATCACTTAATTAAAGTGACTTTATGGTGGTGCATAGCCTGTCCCTTTAAACTTTCAAATCCGCTTCTTTAAATACAGACTGTTATGCATGATTAGTTAGTTACTCTTATTTTCTTCAACACTCTGCATAGCTCAAAATGGCTGTGTTTTAGCCATCTTCCTAAATATCAGGAACAATATTAACTTTAGCTGGATAAATATAGATATAGTGGTTCAACACAGTGTATAAAACAGTGTAAAAAATTGTAAAAAAACGAAATCGTGTCTCTCTCCCAATGCTTTCCCTTCCTCACAGACACAGTGTCAGGTCTGCTGCTGAGGGGCAGTGATGTGAGCCAAATGTGAGGTTTCCTGCAGTCCAGCCAGTTACAGTCACTGATCCCCTTGTCCCCATACACTGCACACATACCTTGGCAGCCATGCTGTGTGGAACTCACACACACTTCCCATAGAATGTTGCCCTGGAACATCCCAGCGCTGTGTTCGGATCAGGCGCACGCCAGCTTTTGATCGGCTGACACAAGGCCGGCCTCCCCGTGCCTGTTACGTGACCGCCGCGTCGTTCTGCCCTGTAGAGGAGACGGTAGAAGGCTGCTCTCCGAGGGAGGTAAGAACTGGGCTGCGTTTGGCCATGCTGCAAGAAAAAAACGGCTGGAGGGGAACTTCCCTCCTGAAGGTCAGCCTGACATTGCGCCCCCGAAGGGGGGAGGGGGGGTGTGTGTAATTTCCTGCAAATTTGATACATTTTCGGCCGAAATGGGATAGGCCTATTTTCGGCCGAAATTTCAGTGCATCCCTAAACTAGACTATTTCACACTGTAATCTTTTCTATTTTACAGCTTTAGTCTCTATCACACAAACAAGTTACCCACACTCCCAAATCCCGCCTTAATAAATAGACTCCCCAAATGACTTAATTATGGTTATTGGCTGCTAGTTTCTCTCTACAGGCAGGATGGTTACAATCTCCTACATTGTTTTCTCTCCATCTCTCATTTTCACCAATTCCTGCCTTGCTGTCAGACTGCTCCACTACCTGACAAAACCTTCCCCAGTCTTTATAAAGCAGTTTAACCAATGTTCTCATTCTTACTCTTTTTATTATCTGGTTGTTGTTTTTTTTCTTTCAAAAGTATACCATTCCTTCCTTACAACTAACACCGTTTTCAAGTAACTCACTCTATATTGCTCCTTCTATACTTCCTTCACTTGTTTCATCCAATGCAATCTCATCACTCACCTCCTTGACCTCCTCAATGTCCACAACATACATGTAAGTCCCATTCACACCTTCATTCTATGGTGATCCTTTTGCTTTTAGAATCAGAGGATACAAATCTTTGACATATACTGTCACTCCACTACATCCCATTCTTTTTTCCTCTATTCTTTGGAATGCATACCCTCTCTGCAAAACCATGAACTATCATGTCCTGTTCCTTAACCCCTTAAGGACACATGACATGTGTGACATGTCATGATTCCCTTTTATTCCAGAAGTTTGGTCCTTAAGGGATTAAACCTCTTGGAATAGACAGAAAGGGTGATGTGCACTTAATTCCACTCTCCCAGGTCATGTGATGCTAGGGATGGGGTGTTTGGTTTCTGCTCCCCATCATTGTTTCTTCCAAACTTTGCCCCATTGTGCTTCTCTCGGGTTTTCCTCTTCTGAAGTCCAGTCCATCTGTCTCTTCAACCCACTCTCAGCGTGTGTTGCCGTTATCTGACTCGCCTCTGCTCTTCCTTGATCATTTTTCTGCTTGGCTGCCTTCCTTTCTCTCCTCTGACATTCCTTTCCTCATCTCTAGTGACCTCAACATCTCTATTAATGAACCCAACAGTTCACTAGCATCTAGATTTCTATTTATCAAATCCTTCTTTGGTGTTACTTAATGGACTATCTCCCCTACACATATACCCGGCAATACCCTTAACTTTGTCTTTTCCAACCCATGCTCTGTCTCTAACTTCTCCAACACATCTTTCTCTCTGTCTGACCACCATCTTTTCACTTGTACTGTCAATGTGCCCCTCACTTAACATATTAAATCTAGGGCTAATACAAATCTAAGCTCCCTTGATCTGTGTAATTTCTCTTCCTCTCCAGTCTCTACTTTCCTCTCCTTTCTCAACTCTCTCCTATCCTATATTACAAATTTGTGCTACATTCTTATAATTCCACCCTCTCCCTTGCCAAGCAAGAATATTTTACCTCTACCCTTACTCTCCTGATCCACAAAAACATTTTCATAACCCTTAACTCGCTCCAAACCAGTCATTAACTAACCTCACAGCTAGTATTTTTGCATGTCACTTTACTTGAAAGATTAAACAAATGAGTAATGCAATCTTCCCTCCTACCCTCCAATACAGAGCTTCCATGCTGTTCCCTCTTCCACCAAGGAGGTTTATAAACTTCTTCTATCCTCTTCACCCTGTCCTCTTGATCCCCTCTACTATCATCTTATCCAATCTGTTTTCCCTAGTCTTGTCCCATTCCTAATGTGTATTTTCAACCTCACTCTGTCTACTGGCCTTTTCCCTCAAACATGCAATCATTTATCCTAAAAAAAAGCCATCTCTTGACCCCATTTATACTTAAAACTACCATCCCATATAGCTACTCCACTTCACTTATAAGTTTCTTGAGCAGCTTGTGTTTACCTATCTTATTCACTTACTCAATACTAACTCTCTTCTTGACCCGCTTTATTCTAGCCAATGTTACCTCCACTCTACTGAAACTGCCCTCATCAAACAACTTTATCTCTGCTAAGTTTAAAGGTCATTACTGATACTGTTGACCACATTCTTCTTCTTTAAACCCTCCACAACGTTTGACACCACGACACTGTACTTTCCTGTTTATGTCCTATCTTTCTGAATGGTCATTTAATGTGTCCTTTTCAGATGCCAACTTATCCACGCTGCCAATCTCAGTTGGTGTTCCCCTAGGCACTGTTATTGGTCCTCCTCTTTTCCCATTTACGCTTCCTCTCTCAGTAACCTTATTAACTCCTTTGGATTATAATACCATCTATATGCTGATGATACTCCTATAACCTCCAATCTAGTACCAGCACTTTATTTAGTCTACCTCAATACAAAAAGAAAGCGTATCGATCCTCCTTTTCCTACAGAGCGCTGCAATTTTGGAACGACTTCCCGCACACTTTCAAATCTTCCCCAAGCCTAGAGTCCTTTAAGAGATCCCTCTCTACATATCTCAAAACAGAATGCACCTGTCATGGTTGAATATATATTTCTTACCTGTTCTATGTTACATTTTGTATATATTGTGTATTAATATTGTTTTTGTATTTTATTGTACCCTATTGTATCAATGCAATGTTTTGTGGACCCAAGACATACTTGAAAACGAGAGAAATCTCAATGTATCCTTCCTAGTAAAATAATTTATAAATAAATAATATTTAACAAGAAAATCCAATGGAGTGTAAGCGCTATGAAAATGATGTAGCACTCAGTTAAGCTGCACTGTACCCCAGTGACACAAATAATATTTAACACTCACTCATCCTTCTTCCACTGTTTGGTTCTTCCACACACCACATGGACTAACATATTTCAACACAGCCATATTATCCATCAGTCCCTCCTTCTCTCTGACACGCTTGGTTGATCAGGACCTTCTTCACCTCTTGTCTCTGTTTATCTTTTATCAATTAACCCCATTCTTTGATTATAAAGCACTGTGAAATATGCTGACGTTATAAATAATAATAATTTAACCCACTCAGTAGAAAATGCACCTCTTTATCAAATATATCTAATTATTTCCTTTGTGTTCTAGATTACAAAGACATACCTTTGGATGACTGGACTGAAATTCACGTGACTCATTGGCTGAAATCAATTAGACTAAAAGAAGATTATATTTCCAAGCTCTATGAAGCAGAAGTAACTGGCCCAGTACTGAAAAAAATTACTGAAAAATATTTGAAAAGGATGTGCATGAAAGATGGACAAATAGAACTATTACTTATTAGCAGAGATGAGCTTTTAGAACAAACTGTGCTAGGGAAATCACAGCAGGAAAGATGCAACTCAACTGGAGGGAATCAAAAAGGAGCTGATATTATTCAGAAAAATGCAGCAATGTCTCCACAAGAGGTTCCAGACCAGAAAGCAGAGAAAGCAAAAAATCATGACCTCTCAAAATTGGAGCCCAAGCAGTCATTGAAAACTAGCCCTTTCCGTCCCTTTGATGAAATTGGGAATTTTAGATATGTGAAAAACCAAATACTATTACCAGAAACTGGTATAATAGACCTCATTTCACCATGTCATGAGTACAAATCATTAGCAACTGCTGTAACATTAGATAAAAAACAACTACAGACAAAATTCACTTCTGAGGTCGTCCGATTTGCTGCCGCCTGCTTGAATGTGAGAACAAATGGAACCATACACTTTGGTATTATGGACAGTGTGGAAGCCAAGGGTTATGAACATGGACAGATAGTAGGCATTCCGATCCAAGAGAAAGAGTTATACTCCGATGCCCTTAATAATTTAAAAGAATGCTTCCCAGAGCCCTACGAGTATGCGGTAGCCAGACTATGCATCCGACCGCCACAATTTGTTGAGGTTATTGATAAAGACTCCGACGAAAAACTATTTGTGGTGGAAGTTGACATTGTGCCTTTATCATGCAGTGTAAAAGGGAAAAAATTTCAAGTGCGATTGCCCAAGTACAACAAAAATAAAATTAATTATGGCAAGCTAACAATTTATGAAAGAAATGGAACAAAGACAGAACCAGTTAAAATAGAAGAGGAGTTAAATGCATTTGAACAAAGGCAAAGAGAAGCTGATATCAGGAGAGAAAAGGCTGAATTATTAGCTTCTTCTGAAATGGAAAGTTATGAAGACTTGGGAAGAAAGCTTTCGGTGCTGCTAACCAATGGGAAGCAGTACTTTGATGACACTCAGTGGTATGTCGTAGTCTCCAACAAATGTGAAGAACAGGATTTGGAATACTTGAAGTTTCTAAAGGACATTAATATTTTGTGTGTTTTTGATTTTGATCCAGAGTCTGATAGTAAAGGTCTATGTTCAAGGTACAAGGAGTACCATGCAACAAATATTTACTCACTGGAAAGCTACTCTAGTGAATGTGTAAAGACAAAAGATGAGATTGTAAAGAACCTATGTTTGTTCAAACAAACATGCTGGATATTTTGCAATGGACGCACAAACTTCCTTGGAGATGACCAGCCCTGTGATGAACATACATGGATCCGTAATAAAGGGAGATACTTTAAAAGGGCGGTTTCTTTGATCTGTGATGAAATAATTAAAAGGGGCTGCTTCACTGTCCTCTTTCTGTTATTGTCTTCAGTGGAAAAGCCAATTGTTGAGGCTTTTAATGAATTTTACAGAGAAATGAGTGGCCTGGAATACATCACTTGCATTGTCGAAAATAAAGACTATTACGAGCACTGGTCCACTCTGGCACAGAATTCCTGTACCAGGGAAGAACTTGATCAGAGGAGTATTGTTGGTATGAAGCTAAGCCATGCTGCAGCTACAGTTCAAAAAATGCTACCAACAACAGATTACCATAGACGCCTCCCAGTCTTCACAGGAGGGTTCTGTATTCTAACCGTACCTGAAGAAGAAAGGATGCATTCACTTAATATACTTTGTTTGAATGAATGTAGCAACATCAATCAGGAAAAAATTGACAAAAAAGAAACACAAGAATTTGAAAGCTTCTTTTATCGTGGTGGGAAGATTAGCTGGAAACATTTCTGGCTTGCTGAACAGAAGAAATGTGGGCAAATTATAGAAAGACACGGATGCACAGAAGTGGAAGATATATTAAATGATATTTTAAACAAAAACACTGTAAAGCTTCCTGTTGCTCGAATCAAGATTGTTCATCATCCAGGAAGTGGAGGGAGTACAGTTGTGCGTCAAATTCTTTGGAAAAACAAAAAACATTTAAGATGTGCCATAGTAAATGCATCTTACCCAGTTACAACAGTCTGTGAGCACACGGTTAAATTAAGAGAGTATGAGGAAAAAGACATGAAACAGTGTTTACCAGTACTTCTCCTCTTAGAGGACTGTGAGGAAGAATATATAGATGATTTGAAGCATTATTTAGGGGAAGCCATGAGAAACAACACAAACAATTCAAAGCCTAGCTTTATACTTTTGAGTTGTAATCGATCAAATGCACCGCTACGGCTTTGTACAAACTCTACACACGACACAGTTGCAATCACACACAAACTAAACCCAGAGGAGGAACGGCTATTTAAAGCGAAAGCAGATGAGCTCTCTGAGTCTTTCTCGTCAGACCTCATAATTAGTTTTGTTTTAATGAGTCATGGATTTGAAAAAAAATACCTGAAGGATTTTGTTGAGAATGCAATGCGAGAAATTGACCACTCATCCACAGAAACACGATTACTCAGATATGTTGCCTTACTAAATCACTATGTCCAAAATTCTTACATTTCACTTTCACACTGTGAAGCCTTCCTTGGGCTTAAGCCGTATTTTGCAACTGAGCTAAATAAACTAAATAGTTGTAATTTTCTAAACAGTTTAAGTGACCAGGCAAAACTCATACTAATTGAATTGAGAGAAAATACCAGTTGGATCTCCAGCATTCGTATTTTGCACCCGTTAATTGCGGAGGAACTTTTAGTGCAGTTATCAAGCAACTATCCTCAGAGTAAAATTGCAATGGACCTTCTTCAGGAAGAATCACTACTCCATCACAAATTTGGGCAAAAAGACTTTGTAACATTCATCAGACACTTGTTTTTACGACGTCACAGAAAAAGCAGAGGTGACAACGTAGACACCATCTTTTCACCACTTATTGAACATGTGTGTAATGGGGAGGAAGCAGTAGAGATGGCAATTAAGCTTTTAGAATCAGCTTATGTAAGGTTTGATAAAGATGCTTTATTTGCACAACAACTAGCAAGACTACATTATAAAAATGAGAGATTTGAAGATGCCAAAAAATGGGCAGAAACTGCTAAATCACACTGTCCACACGACTCATTTATATTGGATACCGAAGGCCAAGTGTACAAAAAGTGGTTCAATGTAAACATGGATAAGTACTTAAAAGACAAAAATTGTGCAGATGTAATACATGTGATGGAAATGGGACTTAAATCGATGGAATGTTTTAAAGCAGCACAAAAAGCTGCAAAATCAGAGACTGATACGATGAATTATGTAGGGTATTTTAGTGAGGTAGATGTAGGATGTCGTTTGCTACAACTGCTTTCAGATTTGGATGTTTTTAATAAAGAAGAAGGAAAAAAAACAGAACTTTTAAAATATCTTTTAACAAAATACATACCAGAAGATCTAAAAACATCATGGGCAAAGATACACGGGAGATTAAAAGGGCTATACCAAAACATTTATGATGGCCTGGAATGGATTTCTGAAGAAGTGGGTTACTTTCAAACAGATAAAATTGATGGTGAAGAAGCTCGAAAGGGGGAGGATCACATTCATAATCCTAGAAGATGGCTTATGAGGAAAACCAAAATATTTGCACGTTTTTTTAAATCACACCTTATAAAAGGCATAGACGGTGGTTTACTTCAAGAAAAACAGTTTGTTAAGAAAATGAGTATTTACGAACTTGGTGGTGGCAGTGCAACAACAATACTTTCTTTGCTGTCCGACTCAACTAAAAATGAAAAGCCAAAAAAGTTGGAAACTATTCTGGATCTTTATGGACCAAATGTTTCCCTGGAATCTCTGGATAATATCGATCTAATAAATTACATAATGTGTCATATTGCATTAGGGAGTGTGAGCACTGAATCTACAAAACTTTTACCGTTTCAAAAGCTGCGTGACATGAGTAAGAGATTTCTGAGAGAACGGGCACAATTTCCTCCCAGTGCCTACCTAATCATTTTTATGCTCTACTGGCCGGATGACAAATTTGATGAACACCACAACGAAAGTGTTTTAACCAATGCTGTTAAAACTGCAAGGCACTTACATGAACTAAGACTTAAAAATATTCCAGTTAGAAAAAAACGAACAAATGTGCTGTTTTTTTTAGGGAAAGGGTGTGCATATCAAAAGTTCATACACAGAAGTACCATTGAGAAAATGATTGAAGAGCCTCTAAATGAACGGTTTTTCAGATGGGATAGTGATCCGAAAAAAAACCAGAAAAACCTCAAAATACAGAATCTGCTGCAAAAAGTATCAGGTTGGACAGAAAATGGGAAAGTTTACACAAAGAGAAAGAATGGCAAGGAGAAAATTGAAGTTCTGTCTTTAAATTATTCATCAGTGCCCAATGGCAACGAGAATGTCACATTCTATGTGGGATTTACATACATTGGCTTTGTTGCTTATAATGTACAAGTAAGCAGGTAAAATTCAATGGTGATGGAGAAAAAAGTGCTGATTCTGGAACACAGATTATGTACATCTTAATTATGTACTGTTCATTTTTACTCTATATTCTACTTACGCGTCATTTCCATATTCTTATTTTCTCTATAATTTTTCTTGATAAATCCTAATAAAGTTTGAATTACATAAAAATATATATATAACAACATAGAAACTAATGGCTCATCTTATTTGAACAAAAGTCTGAAGCTATTTCTTAAAATATAGGCTCAAAATACAGCAATATGCTGTTGATTAAGTCCTCCCTGACCAGATCAGTTTCAGAAATAATGAGGAAACCCAATAATCACTGGTAATCGAAAACCATTTTGTTTTTCTTTATTAGTGTCAGGAATGGAGATACCCTAACTCGCAAAGCTAAAGGTATCAATACCGGTTCTTAGAGTGGCTGGGCTAGTGCTTACGATAGGTAAATGAAATGTCTGCAAGCAGACAGAGAATAAATGAGATACTGTCCGTGGTCAGGATAACAGAAATACACAGAACTGATAGTCAGGCCAAGATCAGGATAACAGAGAGCAAAAATAATCAATCAGGTCAGAAAACAGGAGATCAAATACACAGTATAAACACACGCCTGGTAACAAGAAACAAGGACAACCAGGAAGTATATATAACCTATACTGAGTAGTGATTGGTCACAGAGGACCATAATGTCACAAGTGTGTATACATCATTGAAAAATGGCACATAGACTGACACTATAAAAGGAGATTAATGGTAGGGATCCGAGTCATATATGTTGACAAAACGAGGCACCAGGAAGCTAAGGATGAGTGTGTGTGCATCAGAACTCAGAAAATACATAATTTCTGTGATCACACAGTGTCGGGAGGGACAGATATTGTGACAATTAGAGACTTTAGAAAAGTCTCCCAAATATTGTCCCAATCTGAACCCTCTAACATCTCCCCACTAGGAGACGTCACCTAGGAACTCAAATTGAAGGTTGTGGAGATAATTAAGGTGTTAAAATAGTAGAGATGTTTAAGTGTTCTTGCATAGCAAGACCACTTAATGTTATCTCACATATATATTATACTTATTATAGCCAAATTTACCACCCTAACTCCTCCCACAGTTTTTACACTACATAGTAATTTACCAAAACGTGCAGATTGTTCCCAATCGGTGTGCTATTACTTTGTGGAACGTTTCGCCGAATGGTTCAGGGAATATCGTCTTTTTTGTGGAGAAATTGGTCCCATAGGAATGAATGGCGAAATGTTCAAAACTAGAGTGGGAGCTGACAAAAGCTGAAAAATCAGGACATGATTTTTTAAACTGCCACCACTCCCTCATTTTCAACCCCACCTACACAAATCTCCTTCGCGGTAGGATTTATAGTTTTTAAAATACGACCGTTTGAAGATGGCAACCGCCAAAATACTCTGACCTGTGCCAGGCTGGAGCAGAAAGTGATGTCATAGACAGGGCCTTTTGTACACCTGCTAATATTTTTATAAATGTATGTTTTAATGTAACTGTGAAGCACTTTGGGAAACAACGTTGCAATTAAATGTGCTATATAAATAAATAAAAGTTGAAATGCATTTCTCACTCTATCAATTTTGTCATGTGCACTTTTTAAATTTGATCAATTGGTTAGTGTAATGTTTACTATCTTTACTCACTCCAAACACTCCACCCAGTTACTCCGCTCACTCCAGTTGTAGACTACTGGTGGAGGCAAGAACACTTCACACAATTTCCCCAGAAATTGTAGCTTTGTTAGTTCTTATTCTTTTTATAGCCAAATTTACCACCCTAACTCCTCCCACAGTTTTTACACTACATAGACCGTAATATACCGAAAAGTGCGGATTGTTCCCGATTGGATTGCTATTACTTTGTGGAACGTTTCCCCGAATGGTTCACGGAATATCGTCGTTCTTGTGGCGAAATTGGTCCCATAGGAATGAATGGCAAAATGTTCAAAACTAGAGTGGGAGCTGTCAAAAGCTGAAAAATCAGGACATGATTTCTAAACTGCCACCACTCCCTCATTTTTAAGCCCACCTACACAAATCTTATATCAAAACGTTCAGCTATCCCTGCTGCCACTAAACAATTCCACTGCTAAGCCATAGTCCTGATAGTTTTCACAATATGACCATTTGTTTGCAACTCATGCCGTCCATTGACATTCATTGAAACTCCACTCTAGCCAGCTCAAATTTGAAAGGCAATTTCTAAACTGCGACTGTGCCTTCAGAGACACACTGTGCATCAAAAACTAGGTCTGGGTCTTGTGATTCTCACAATATAAAGCCCTTTGCTGTAGGATTTATAGTTTTTAAAATACGACCATTTGAAGATGGCAACCGCCAAAATACTCTGACCTGTGCCAGGCTGCAGCAGCAAGTGATGTCATAGACAGGGCCTTTTGAACACCTGCTAATGTTTTTATAAATGTATGGTTTAATGTAACTGTGAAGCACTTTGGGCAATAACGTTGTAATTAATGTGCTAAATAAATAAATAAAAGTTGAAATGCATTTCTCACTCTATCAAGCTTGCCATGTGCACTTTTTAAATTTGATCAATCGGTTAGTGTATTGTTTACTATCTTTACTCACTCCAAACACTCCACACAGTTACTCTGCCCACTCCATAAAGTTACTCTGCCCAGTCCAACCTTTCCACAGTTACTCCAGCCACTCAACCCAGTTACTGCGCCCACTCCAGTTGGATGCAAGAACACTTTGCAAAATGTCTGCAGGAGCCTCCTGTATGTAATGAAAGTTTAATTTACAGAGCAGGAGATAAAAATTTCTAAAGTAAGTTACATCTCATTGACATCAAAACCGTTTTGTTTTCATGCAGGCTGTGTGAATCACAACAAGGGGATGTGTGGCTAGGGCTGCATGAACAGAAACAAAAGTGATTTAAAGGACCACTCTAGGCACCCAGACCACTTCAGCTTAATGAGGTGGTCTGGGTGCCTGGTCCAGCTAGGGTTAACCCATTTTTTTATAAACATAGCAGTTTCAGGGAAACTGCTATGTTTATGAATGGGTTAAGCCTTCCCCTATTTCCTCTAGTGGTTGTCTCATTGACAGCAGCTAGAGGCACTTGCGTGCTTCTCACTTTGATTTTCACAGTGAGAGCACGCCAGCCTCCATAGGAAAGTGTTGATAATGCTTTCCTATGCGACCGGCTGAATGCGCGCGCAGCTCTTGCCGCGTGTGTGCATTCAGCCGACGGGGAGGAGAGAAGGAGGATCGGAGGAGGAGAGCTCCCCGCCCAGCGCTGGAAAAAGGTAAGTTTTACCCCTTTTCCCCTTTCCAGAGCCGGGCGGGCGGGGGTCCCTGAGGGTGGGGGCACCCTCAGGGCACTATAGTGCCAGGAAAACGAGTATGTTTTCCTGGCACTATAGTGGTCCTTTAACTCTTAAATGGCAGAGAATTGAGCAGTGAAACTCCAGAGGCATTATCTTTACACAAAAACTGCTTCATTAAGCTAAAGTTGTTTTGGTGACTATAGTGTCCCTTTAATATTTATTATAACTGAGAACTGTACATACAAGCCCAGTGAATCTAGCATAGAAATTGAAACAAATGAAAATACAAAATGAAAGTATTTACATAATGTTTATACTTTTAAAAGTGCACATACTAACTATTCCCCTAGTGTCTACTAACCCTATGATTTATAACCAATAATGCCAGATTATCTCAAACACGGCTTTATTAACTCGTAATGCCACAGAGAGATACCTACAATCATATGTCAAACAAAAAGGAATGAAAGAGTGTAAAAAATATCTTCTAGCTATGAGGAAGGCATATATCTTATAAACAAATTAATTATAAGCCTACTTAATATTGATCTGGTTTACTGCTTAGGTGAACTCTGCTCTTGCAGCTGTTCTATGAGGGCCCCCTCCCCCAAGATCAGTACTAGTTCCAATACTCCAATATAGTTGAAATCACAAGGTAAATCAAGTAATGTATATGGAGGATAGTGTGTATATAACTGGTATAGGGCAGATGTTTTAAATCTACAGTTTCCATGATGCTATGTCATTTTAAAGGTATGCTAAAGGAATGCAAAACATCATGGGGTTTACCTTTTGGGCAGCCCTGGTATAGAGGATACCTCTGGTTGTAAATAGTCATCCCAATCTGCTAATGTAAAGTATAACAGCTACAGTGCGTGACTAAATACCTTGGATGTTAAAGGAACACTATAGGGTCAAGAACATAAACATGTATTCCTGACCCTATGTTAAACACACCATTTAGATGGCTTGTCCCCCCAACACCTTTAGAAGGGGTTAAAACATACCTTCATTCCAGAGCCGTGCGGGTCCGATTGTGCTGGCCCCGCCCTCGATCTGCCTCCTTGGTGACATCATCAGATTAGCTGATTCTTAACCAATGCAATGCTTTCCCTGGATAGCATTTGATTGGCTAAAATCGGCAAGGGGGTGGGGCCATACACCGTTTTGGCCAGTCAGCACCTTTCTTGTAGAAATGCATTAAAATTCAGCCACCCCATGCAGAGCATTGAGACCCTGAACGGCAGTGCTGCCCACTGTGCAGCACTGAGCTAGGAAGCACCTCCAGTGGCCGTCTGAGGATTGGCACTTGGAGGTGTCCCTAGGGGGGGAATGTAAACACTGACTTTTTTTTTTCTGAAAAGGCAGTGTTTGCATGGAAATGCCTGAAGGCAATGATTATACTCCCCAGAACAAATACATTAAGCTGTACTTGTTCTGGTGACTATAGTGTCCCTTTAATGCGCCCTACTAAGTACTGGGGTTATAAACTAAGTACTGGGGTTATAAGCTAAGTACTGGGGTTATAAACAGTCTCCCTCTGTAATTTATATACTTCTTATCTGCAAGATGTAATACCTCATCTACAAAGACAGCATTAGCCTAGTAGATACTTTAATAAAAGGCTTGCTAAGTTAATCAATATGTCCGCCACCAGTAAGACTGTTATGTATTAAATTAGTAGAACAAAAATACAGGTAGCGCCAAGGAAAATAACACACTAGACAAAAATACACATAACTCTGTTACAACCAATAAAACACACTAAAAAATGAAATAAAAAGAGTCCACAGTAAAGTCCAGAATTGAAAAGAATATAAAAATACCAAATGATAGGGCACAGTCTTAGAGGTAACAACCCATCTTCTAGGTCTTGCACGGTGCTTTTTGGGCAACTTCCATTAGTAACAGCATTTGAAAAAAAAGCAAAGACAAGCGAGGACCAATAGTGCAATATGGTAGTGGAGTATACTTAAAAAAGTTGTCAACTCACATTTGATGGAGCTATAACCGACTCTATGTAAAAAATTTTGTGGTTTTTAATCCCTACTTGTAGTGTGATGGGATTCCAGCATGGTTAAAATTTAGTAGGCCAAAATCTCCATGTGGCATATGTGTATGTTGTGTCAGTTGGTTAGCTACATGTAGCTAGGATACTGTCATCAGTGTACTGAGCATGTGCAGGAATGCAGGAACTGAAATTGCACTTATTTCCTTTGTCTTGGATGAGCCATGTGGTTTGACTAGATGTACAAGTCTATATTCTGCTCATTGATTGGTTAAAGGTATATGTGGGTGTAGCTATTAATGGGAGGAGTTATGTGCCTATATAGGGAGCCTGCACTATTGATCAGGGCTCAGAACTTGCTGTATTTTTGGTGACATTAGTCCCTCTGAGTCCCGATCGGTGATCCAATAAAGAATCTCCTCCTTCCTGAAGAAACCTGTGTCCATCTCTCTGTGCTTTGCTTCCGTCAGTTTCTCCGGTATCATTTGGTGCATTGGCCGGGAAACTCATCGTTCAACGGTAGCTGAGAGGCAGAGGCGTGAGACGGTCTATCTTTGCCCACGTTCTCTACGGCTGCACCCCTGAACTTCTGCGTGGACCTCCCTTCGTCTCGGCGCCACTGGTCTGTTGTCCAGGAGATCATCGGCCTCTACGTAAGAAGTGCTGGGGTGTCCCCGTCGATGAGTGTGAACTCAGGTTCAGGAACGAGGAGGTAAGACAACTGCTGTTTTAGACGGCAGACCCACTAGGGGTATACCGATTGTGCGGTAGGCCCAAAAGGGGTTTAAATCTGTGTATGGAATCTGCCCCCTCTGTCGGAGGGAAGGAGCGAAGGCGCACCGCTCGATCGAACGCTCTTTAGTAAGACCGTTTTGATCTGGTTAGTCAGGCGGGGTCCTGTGTAAATAGCCCTAGCCGGACACCGGTGTCCTGTCTTGACTAGCGTATCTAGGGTGTAAATTTTGTTCGCTAGGTCGGGGGGACCGGGAGACTAGCATACTCTGTTGTATATTATAGTTTGCTAGATTTCACCCTATCTTAACTAAGTGTGCTCTGTTGTAAATCCAGCCACTAGCTTATTGATAGTTTAATAGACTAGCTGGGTACTGTGTAAATTCTGCCCTCTAGTTCGCTATACGTGGTGTCTGGGCAGCGAAGAACTTATCGAATCTCTGGTGTATAAATAGATCGAAAGCTCTCGAGGTGCTGGCCAGTTAGAATAGTTGGGATTATTGTAAATGTTGTTAAATATATTGTAGTTGGTGAATTGGTTAACTTGTATGTCCTACTAGAAAGTTAGAGCTCTGCTGTCTAGTGGGAGTGTAAATTGTGTGTATAACTGTAAAATAGCGCACGGTACCATAACTACTGACATGTACCATAACCACTGACATTGTGTAAAAATTACTAACAATTGCTGTTTTATGTTATATGTATAATACCATAACTGTTACTAACTGATCTGTGACTTTAAAACTGTATTATAACCACTTACTAACTGTACCATAACCACTGACTGTAAAGATGAGGTTACTAGAATGTGATATAGTTGGTTAGTCAAAAGTTGATTTATAGTACAGATAATTGTAGAGATGAAATCTGTTGAAATGTTATGTGATCGGTTAGTTTATATGGATTAATAGCGTGGATAGTTGTATGGTTTGAATAATAGTTACATTGATGAGTGTATAGTCTTTGGTGGGTTTTTGATTTAATTTCGTGTGTGCGACGTCGTGATATTGTTGAGCATGTGAGGATCCTGTGTGTGTGTTTGGGCCTAGTGACTGCGCAATGTGTTGCTGGTGATAAGGAGATTGGTGTGACTGTTGAAACTGTGTGTATATTTGTACAGCTTTTTGAATCAGACGTTCTGTTGAAATAATCTGATTCACTTGGCTGTTAGTCTTTTGTCTTGTATGTTTAAAAAAAAAAAAAAAAGTAGGGAGTAGCTTGTCCTGGTGGCCGCATGGCCTCCATGTAGCAGTCTTCACTTAAATTTAGTGCAGGGTGTACATGTGGCTGTAACTAGTAGGCTGGAATTCTATGATCAGTTTCTATAAATTGACTGTTGGAAACTGATTGTTGCCTTGGTGAATTAAACTGTGTCATATGGGAAACAATGTAGCCATATGGTGGTCAGAACTAAGGACTTAATTACAACTGCTTTGGACATCCCCTCCCCCCCTGGCATCTGATTACCAACCCCCCAAACATCCTCCAGAGCCAGAGTAGCCACGCCCCTATTCTTCTTCCCAAGCTAAGAACTGGTATATAGTCAGTATTTGCACTCTCCCTGCTCTACTGTCCCCGCCTACCCACATACCTATCTGTTCCTGTGTTTCAAACTCTTGTATTTCTGTACTACCCCTCCCCCTAATCAATGATCAATGGTATCAAATGGTATATTGGTTTTTTTAGTTACTGGATGGGCCCCTCCCAGCTTTGTCCAAAATGTCCCCTTTTACTAAACTACAAACTGAAATGTTTAATTTACCTTAGAACTAAAGATTTAATCAAGCCTAGCTAGCAGGGTGGACATTGATTAAAATAAGTAATAATAAAATAGGACATAATTAATTAAAGTCTATTTGTTTCATTTGACTTTAGGGAGGCACTCTAAGCCACCTACTGGCCATCTTCGGGAGTTACATTGATAATACATTGTTTATAACAGATAGATGTAGGATTGCTTACCCTATTTTAATATATTTATTGCTATAAGGTTTTATTTTATGTATAAATATATTAAAAGTTGAGTTTTCTTATTAGACCCATAAAGATTATTTTGATACAATTACCCTCTGGTGACACCTACTGGTAGGTTTTTGGTTTAACACTTTAAAAAAAAAACAAAAAAAAACGTTTTTTCATCCACCAAATGCTGACTAATAAAATTATCTTACTATCCTAGACTGGAACCTATTATTGGGCAGCCTTGCCGAAGTCCCATATTAGACACTGCTTGAGTCAAATAGGTTGTATACTCCCTTTAATCCAGAGGCCCCTGAAAACTTCCAAATGATAGACTCAGCATTTGTCAGCCAGGCCCAAGGTGATAGTAAAAGGAAATTACAGAAATTAGAGGGATTTGCAGGGATGTCCATAATACAGCTAATGGAGATTGCAAATACAGTATATATGAATAGGGAGATGGATGAAGAACGTAAAATGAGGAAAAAGGCAGATATGCTAGCGGTAGCTATCTTAAGTGTAGAAAGACAGGGAAGTGAATAGAGGAGACGAGAATAGGCTGAGCAAGGGACTTTAAGTAGGAATTAATGTGCGTATTGTAGAAAGGAGGGACATTGGAAGAGTGAGTGTCCACAGAGAGAGCAGTATGAAGGTGATAGACAAGGAGAGAGAAGGGTATGAGGAGGTTATAGTGGTAGTTATAGAGTAAGAGGAAGTTTTAGAGGGAATGGTGGGAATAGTAGAGGAAGTGTTCAAGGAGACAGATACTATCCACCCACGCAGAGACCTAGAGAAAGAGAGGATAGAGATTTTGTGGGTCTGGCTGACACTATCATGGAAGACTATTGATACCGACTGGGCTCCATCCCACTTGGTCGAGCGTAGCCTATGGTCGATGTAGCAATAGGGGGAAAGAGAAGTTCTTTCATGATCGACACAGGTGCTGAACATTCTGTGGTGAAGCATTAGTTCCTATATATGCCAGAGTGTCCAATTCAACTTTTAGGACGAGATCTATTATCGAAGCTTTAAACTCAGATAACCTTTTACCTAATGGATTAACATCTCTGAAGTTTAAGGGATTACCAGGCATAATGGTGATATCGGTGCCAAGGGAAGAAGAATGACGCTTCTATTCCATAGTGACAAGTGTTAACCCTAAGAGTGATGAATCCTTATTTGACATTCCAGGAGTATGGGAAGAAAATAATCCTCCAGGACTTGCTCGTAATATCCCACCAATACATATTGAGTTAAAGCTCGGGGTGTATTCTGTTAGCCTTTGTATGTTGTTCTTTTATCTACCCCAACAGCTGTAAAGGTGGCGGAAGTGACTCCTTGGATTCATCATTCTAAGGTTAAACCAGCAGCAGACTCTTGGCAAGCTACTCCAGATCCTGAGAATCCTTGCAGGACCCGGTTGAAGCGTGCAACTCAGTCGGAGTGACGAGGGGATATCGAGACATTCTAATTAAAAGTCTACAAAGATCATCAAGTAGGTGTTTTGACGGCCATAATAAAGCCTGACCACCTGCCTACGTGTCATAGCCAGAGTATCTTGAAGGGATCTCTGTGAAGGAAAGTGAGGATCAGAAGAACAACATCCTTGCAGCCCTCACAATCGGGAAGCTGAGAGGCCATCGCACGGTTGAAGAAAAATGAGGATTTCAGGAATAATGTGTTTTATTGTGTCTTAGTATTTTTATGATTTTTCAGGAAGGTAGGAGTACAGACATACCGAATTGCGATAGTTGCATTAAGACTACTAAAACAGGTAACCAAATATCCCAAACTTTCATCTGGCACTCACAGTATGAATGTAAGGGATCTGTATCTAAATGTAGATATTTGGATATTGATTATAGTGTGTGCAAGCCAATATCAGGAGAGTCTAAATGTTTTGATCCCCATTTCCAACCCCGTACAATTTGGTTGGTAATTCGGAATAGTAACTCCCAGGGGACATTACTAAATAGGACTGTGATAAGCACCATACATTCCGCGGGTATTCTACTATTTGATGCATGTAAGGCGATTTCGGGTAGTGGAAGACTTTGGAATGTATGTGGTAATCTTAAATGGGAACGAACTTATGGGTTTAATGATAAATACTTATGTCCCAGTAAAAGATCTACTGATCCTGATTGCCCAAATAGAGACCAACTTCTGCCCCTATTGGTCATGTGTAGGTTGGGCAACCTGGGAAAAACAGTGGATCAAGATATGATTATCCAAAGGTTGCCTACCACACCATACTGTAAATCTATGGAATGTAATCCGGTCCATATGACCATCTCTAATCCCCAGCATTTTATTGACAAATTTGGAAATATTTTTGGGTTCCAAATATATGGCACAGGAGTAAATTCAGGAACAATAATATATGTAGGTCTTGAAACTGAGACAGTGGCAACTCAAACTCATCAGGTTTCTCATTCCTTCTATGAGGAGATGAGTATTGAGGATAAAATTCCCCATAATGTTAACAACCTATTTATTGATTTGGCTGAGGGTATTGCAGGTAGTCTTAATGTAGCTAATTGCTATGTGTGTGGAGGTACTAATATGGGAGACCAGTGGCCATGGGAGGCAAAGGAAATATGGTACCCTGGCTCTGAGACATATGAACAACAGATACCTTTCCAGTCTGATCATCAAGTAAGTACTAGAAGTAAATTGGAATGGTGGTTAAAAACCTCCATTATAGGTCATGTTTGTATAGCCAGGAAAGGGACAATGTATAACACGTCTGTAGGTGAGCTAACTTGCTTGGGACAAAAAGCCTATAATGTTAATACTAAAATACTACTTGGTGGTCAGCTTCAAATGTCTCGGAACCTACTAATCCGTTTGCCAATTACACTCATTTAAAGGAGGTATGGTTTGACTTATCTGCTACATCTAGTTGGAAAGCCCCAGCAAATTTATACTGGATTTGTGGTAATAAAACTTATTTGGAGTTACCACAAGATTGGGAAGGGGCATGTGTATTAGGTATGCTCAAGCCATCCTTCTTCTTGTTGCCAATCGAAACAGGAGAGACCTTGGGAGTTAAGGTTTACGATGTAAATCATAAAAGGAAGAGAGCATCCTTGAATATAGGTAGCTGGGAAGATAATGAGTGGCCCCCTCAACGTATTATTAATTATTATGGACCTGCTACTTGGGCAGAAGATGGCACTTATGGATATAGAACTCCGATTATATATGCTCAACCGCATTATTAGACTACAGGCGGTAGTTGAGATTATTACTAATGAGACAGCTCAAGTGCTTAATCTTCTAGCTAAGCAAAATACCAAGATGTGATCAGCCATATACCAGAATAGGCTAGCCCTTGATTACTTACTAGCAGTAGAAGGAGGTGTATGCGGAAAGTTTAATCTAAGTAACTGTTGTCTGTACATAGATGATGAAGGGCAGGCAGTGGCTGAACTTACAAGCCACATGGTTAAATTTGTGCATGTACCTACTAAGGTCTGGAATGGGTATAACCTAAGTAGTTGGTTTGGAAGTTGGTATGAGCAGCTTGGAGGAATTAAGACATTAGTAGGAGGAGTAGAATTTATTATATTTTTTTGTGCCTCCTCCTGCCCTGTCTAATTCCACTAGTGGTAAGGTCCCTACGTAGCATTATAGAGAGTACTATAGAGAGAAAGACAGCGGCTCATGTAATGGCTGTCTATAGATATGATCCCCTAGTCCAAAGAGAATATATTCAGGATGAGGAATGTTGAAGGAGTTTTTAAGATGCTTACAAGGTCTACTCTGGTTCAATGGCTACTTGAGAGATGTAGGTAAAACTGTGATTGGTGATGCATCTGGAATAATGTTATATCAGAGGCATCAAAAGGGGGGAATGTGATGGGATTCCAGCATGGTTAAAATTTAGTAGGCCAAAATCTCCATGTGGCATATGTGTATGTTGTGTCAGTTGGTTAGCTACATGTAGCTAGGATACTGTCATCAGTGTACTGAGCATGTGCAGGAATGCAGGAACTGAAATTGCACTTATTTCCTTTGTCTTGGATGAGCCATGTGGTTTGACTAGATGTACAAGTCTATATTCTGCTCATTGATTGGTTAAAGGTATATGTGGGTGTAGCTATTAATGGGAGGAGTTATGTGCCTATATAGGGAGCCTGCACTATTGATCAGGGCTCAGAACTTGCTGTATTTTTGGTGACATTAGTCCCTCTGAGTCCCGATCGGTGATCCAATAAAGAATCTCCTCCTTCCTGAAGAAACCTGTGTCCATCTCTCTGTGCTTTGCTTCCGTCAGTTTCTCCGGTATCAGTAGGATATCCGTTTGATGTTAATACACAGTAGAGTGGCGATAAGGCAAATCATAGCAGGACTGCGATGAAGTAGACCATGTGGAATGACAAGAAGAAACCAATAGTGCTCTCTATATAGGTAAGTATTTATAAAATAAAATATAGTTACAATAAAATGAGCAGATTAACCGCTCTATGTATCAAACGTGGTGGGTATAATCCCCACATAGGATTCTTTAATGGTAGTCCGCAGGGAACTCAATCCAGATGTCAGGTGGAAATAAGACTCTATAAATAAATGCTATAAAGTATATGGCTTACAGCAGATAATAAGTTAGCCAAAAATACTATTAGAAAAGAAATAAGATAAAAACCACAACGCGTTTCTCCCTTTAGGGCTTTTTCAAGTGGATAAAACCTGGCAATGTTTATATAGGCTTCAAAACACTTCAATTTAGAAAATTGGTGCCAAAATTACTTTGTCACGTGACCGCACTTGTTATCACGTGACTCTGACTGGAGATACAAAACATTAAATTATACAATATATCTAACACTATTTGTATGGTAAAATCATAAACAACAAAAACGAGTGCTTAAAAGAAAGGTGCCAGAGCATATAACTCGCGCTTGCAGGACTTCTCGCAGGCGGCTCCCTTCTTTTGGAACAGCCTGCCTACCCCCATCAGACTCTCCCCTAGTCTTCAACTATTTAAGAAGTCCCTCAAAACACATCTGTTCAGAAATGCTTGTATGGACTCCCAGAGTAACTTTCCTATACTTATCCAAATCTGTCTCTCGCTCTCCTAAAAGAGCCATACTCCACTCTCACCTCCAGCTCTGCTACTTTTCCACCTTGTTTGGTGGCTGTCACCCTTGCTGCCCTATTGTGTATGTGTACCCCACCCAGGGGCGGACTGACCACTCATGGACCGAGGGCCCGAGGCAGTCAGGGGCCCGGCCGCACAGCCTTGCTCCAGCTGGAGAGATCAGAGATCTCTCCAACTGGAACGGTAAAAAAAAAATTTAAAAAAATTTCCTTCAATGGGTTGCTGGGGCCCCGATGCAGCGCGGGGCCCCAGCAACCACCACCCCCCCTCCCTCCCATGAGACCTGGCAGCTTCTCCAGCTCTCTGCCAGGTCTCCTTCTCCCTGTCCCGCACGGTGCTCTGTGTGATGGGAGAGGCGGGGCCAGGAAGTGACATCACTTCCTGTGTACTCCTCTCACACACAGAGCCCGATCAGAGGGGAAGGAGCAACAGCCGGGAGACCAGAAGGAGCAGAGAGACAGGTAGGCTCAAGTCACCCTCCCCTCCTGCTGTCACTAATCACCCCTCCCCCACTGTCACCCCACTGTGTCACTAATCACCCCCCCTTCACTTTGACACTAATCACCCCTGTCACTAATCACCCCCCCACTGTCACTAATCACCCCACTTCCCCCCACCCAATAAGGTCACCCCCACTGTCACTAATCACCCCCTTCACTGTCACTAATCACCCCCCCCTTCCTCCTGTCACTCATCCACCCCCCTCCTCACTGTCACTAATCACCCCCCCCATCCTCACTTGTCACTAATCACCCCCCCCCATCCTCCCTTTGTCACTAATCACCCCAGCCTCCTGTCACTATCACCCCCTCCTCACTGTCACTAATCACCCCATCCTCACTGTCACTAATCACCCCCCATCCTCCCACTGTCACTAATCACCCCCCACTGTCACTAATCACCCTCCCACTGTCACTAGTCACCTCCCCTCACTGTCACTAGTCACCCCCACTGTCACTAATCACCCCCCACTGTCACTAGTCACCCCCCCACTGTCACTAATCACCCCCCACTGTCACTAGTCACCCCCCCCACTGTCACTAGTCACCTCCCCCCACTGTCACTAGTCACCCCCCCACTGTCACTAGTCACCCCCCCGTGTCACTAGTCACCCCCACTGTCACTAATCACCCCCTTCACTGTCACTAATCACCCCTTCACTGTCACTAATCACCCCCCTCCTCACTGTCACTAATCACCCCCTTCACTGTCACTAATCACCCCCAAGCCCTCACTATCACTAATCACCCCCATCCCCTCTGTCACTAATCCCCACCCCCTCACTCTGTCACTAATCACCCCCCACTGTGTGTCACTACTAACCCCCTCCTCACTCTGTCACTAGTCACCCCTTCCCTCTGTCACTAGTCACCCACTCCCTCCTCGTCACTGGTCACCCCTCCCTCCCTCTGTCACCAGTCATCCCCTCACTCTGTCACTAGTAACCACTTCCTTCCCTCACTCTGCCTCTAGTCACCCTTTCCCTCACTCTGTCACCTGTCACCCCCTCACTCTGTCACTAGTCACCCCCTCACTCTAGTGACAGAGTGAGGGAGGGTGTGACTAGTGACAGAGAGGGAGGGTGTGATTAGTGACAGTGAGGGAGGGTGTGATTAGTGACAGAGTGAGAGAGGGTGTGACTAGTGACAGAGAGAGGGTGGGGGTGACTAGTGACAGAGAGAGGGAGGGGGTGACTAGTGACAGAGTGAGGGAGGGAAGGGGTGACTAGTGACAGAGTGAGGGAGGTGGTGATTAGTGACAGAGGGAGGGATGGGGTGACTAGTGACAGTCACCACCCCCTTCACTCTGTCACTGTGTCACCCCCTTCCTCACTGTGTCACCCCCTTCCTCACTCTTTCACTGTGTCACCCCCTTCCTCACTCTCACTAGTCACCCACTCCCTCCCTCACTCTGTCACTAGTCACCCCCTCTCTCACTCTGTCACCAGTCATCCTTCCTTCCCTCACTCTGCCACTAGTCATCCCCTCACTCTGTCACCAGTCACCCCTTCCTTCCTTCACAGTGACAGAGTTAGGGAGGGAGTGACTAGTGACAGAGAGAGGGATGGGGTGACTAGTGACAGAGTGAGGAAGGGGGTGACTAGGGACAGAGGGGGTGATTAGTGACAGAGTGAGTGAGGGGGTGACTAGTGACAGAGTGAGGGAGGGGGTGACACAGTGACAGAGTTAGGGAGGGAGTGACTAATGACAGAGAGAGGGATGGGGTGACTAGTGACAGTCACCCCCTCCCTCCCTCTGTCATTAGTAACTCCCTCCCTCTGTCACTAGTCATTCCCTCCCTCTGTCACCAGTCATCCCCTCCCTCTGTCACCAGTCATCCCCTCACTCTGTCACCAGTCATCCCCTCACTCTGTCACTAGTCACCTATTCCCTCCCTCACTTTGCCACTAGTCATCTCTTCCCTCCCTCCCCCACTCTGCCACTAGTCACCCATTCCCTAACTCTGTCACTAGTCACCCCCTCTCCCTCTGTCACTAGTCACCCACTCCCTCACTCTGTCACCAGTCACCCCCACTCACTGTGTCTCCCCCTTACTCTGCCACCACTCAACCCCTCCTTCCCTCACTCTGCCACCAGGTACCCCCTCACTCTGCCACCTGTCACAACCTCCCACACTCTTCCACCTGTCACCTTCTTCCTCATACACTCTGTCACCTGTCACATATGCATTCACACAGACACTATATACAAAAAAGCACATGTAGTCATCCAGACATGCACAAGTGCATTCACACAGACTCAAATACAAACATGCATTGATACACAGGTCTTCGCAATATACACATCCAAAGGAATGCCGTTTTATGAGTTATATTTAACATTTATTTAATGCACATATATTTGGCCTTCAAAGGGCCTGGGATTTAATTTTGCCCGGGGGCCCCAAAGGCTCTCAGTCCGCCCCTGACCCCACCTCCTCTACACTGTAAGCTCGTTTGAGCAAGGCCCTCATCTACCTATTGTTCCTGTGTCACTGTGTAATTGTCTCATTTATTGTAAATTTCCCCCTTTCATAATATTGTAAAGTGCTGCGGAATTAGTTGGCGCTATATAAATACCAATAATAATAATACAAAGTGTAGAAGGTGTGGCTTGTATATCACGGCATTAAGGCGCAATGCATTTTGGGGTATGAAGTTCATATTGGCCGACCAGTCATCCCTTCCTTCCCTCACTCTGCCACTAGTCATCCCTTCCCTCACTCTGTCACCAGTCATCCCCTCACTCTGTCACCAGTCACCCCTTCCTTCACAGTGACAGAGTTAGGGAGGGAGAGACTAGTGACAGAGAGAGGGATGGGGTGACTAGTGACAGAGAGAGGGATGGGGTGACTAGGGACAGAGGGGGTGATTAGTGACAGAGTGAGTGAGGGGGTGATTAGTGACAGAGTGAGTGAGGGGGTGACTAGTGACAGAGTGAGGGAGCGGGTGACACAGTGACAGAGTTAGGGAGGGAGTGACTAGTGACAGAGAGAGGGATGGGGTGACTAGTGACAGTCACTCCCTCCCTCACTCTGTCACTAGTCACTACCTCCCTCTGTCACTAGTCACTACCTCCCTCTGTCACTAGTCACTCCCTCACTCTGTCACCAGTCATCCCCTCACTCTGTCACCAGTCATCCCCTCACTCTGTCACCAGTCATCCCCTCACTCTGTCACTAGTCACCTCTTCCCTCCCTCACTTTGCCACTAGTCATCTCTTTCCTCCCTCACTCTGCCACTAGTCACCCATTCCCTCACTCTGTCACTAGTCACCCACTCCCTCACTCTGTTACCAGTCACCCCCACTCACTGTGTCTCCCCCTCACTCTGCCACCACTCAACCCCTCCCTCCCTCACTCTGCCACCAGGTACCCCCTCACTCTGCCACCTGTCACAACCTCCCACACTCTTCCACCTGTCACCTTCTCCCTCAAACACTCTGTCACCTGTCACATATGCATTCACACAGACACTATATACAAAAAAGCACATGTAGTCATCCAGACATGCACAAGTGCATTCACACAGACTCAAATACAAACATGCATTGCAATATACACATCCAAAGGAATGCCGTTTTATGAGTTATATTTAACATTTATTTAATGCACATATATTTGGCCTTCAAAGGGCCTGGGATTTAATTTTGCCCGGGGGCCCCAAAGGCTCTCAGTCCTGACCCCACCTCCTCTACACTGTAAGCTCGTTTGAGCAAGGCCCTCATCTACCTATTGTTCCTGTGTCACTGTGTAATTGTCTAATTTATTGTAAATTTCCCCCTTTCATAATATTGTAAAGTGCTGCGGAATTAGTTGGCGCTATATAAATACCAATAATAATAATACAAAGTGTAGAAGGTGTGGCTTGTATATCACGGCATTAAGGCGCAGTGCATTTTGGGGTATGAAGTTCATATTGGCCGATCGCGTTATAGCGATGGCCGAGCACATAACTATGTTATTGAGGAATTATGGGTTATGTAGTTCAGAATAATGCTCGATCAGACCCTAAAGGGGAAAGGAAAGGACCGGACATGTGATTCGCCCAGGGGAGGAGCCGAGACACGATCAGGACGTAGAGTGGGACGAGGCATGGGAAAAGCAAAGAGTATGCCTCTCCAATAATAGAGACATCAAAAGGGGCGTGCTGTAAAAGTTAGCGTGATCAAGAGGTCACATATGGCAGCAATCTTGTGAGGGTACTAGATAGCTATAAACAGCTATGTGGCCATATTGGGAGGGGAATACGTGAAATAGAAAAGTGAACTATGAACAATGGGATAATGCTGGGGAAGAGTACCTTTCACAATAGCTGATTTTAATAATTATTATTAAAAACATCTATTATTGTTAATAAAACACAATTTTAAAAAGTTATGTGAGTATAGAGTGCAGGGTAATTTGTTCCTTGTGTGTGTCAGTGTCCTCTGTGTGTAACTATATTGTGTCTATTAAATTTTTATTTTGTGACTTTTATTCACATTAATAGTTCATACATTCTTCCTTACATACAATATTCACATTATGTCATATTTATTTTAAAAATATTCCTTATTACCTTTAATCAGGCTTGTTGTCCAAAATGGGATTTATTTAAATATCAGTATCTACACATTTCATTTGGAATTTAAAATCAATAGAAATTACTTTCTCAAGACAGGGATACTTATGAAATTTCTTTAGATCTGCAGGGGTACTCTCCATAAAGGTTGAGAAACACTGTCCTAATGCATGATCAAAATGTAAAAGGATCACTATAGTGTCAGGAAAACAAAGCAGTTTTCCTGACACTATAGTGCCCAGAGGGTGCCCCCACCCTCAGGGTCCCCCTCCCGTTGTGCTGAAGGGGTAAAAAACCCCTTCAGCAGCTTACCTTATTCCAGCACAGGGCTCCCTTGGCGCTGGTGACCTCTCCTCCCCCGCCGACGTCAACGGAGCCATCCGACGTCACTGGATCAGAAGACAGCCACTAGAGGATAAACCCCAAATGTAAACATAGCAGTTTCACTGAAACTACTATGTTTGCATCTGAAGGGTTAAAACCTGAGGGACCTGGCACCCAGACCACTTCATTGAGTTGAAGTGGTCTGGGTGACAATAGTGTCCCTTTAATGTTTTCAGAATCAACTGAATTTATCAGTACCATTCGCAAAACTTGTATTGTGACTGGGACGTGATGTCCTGGAAGAGCAAGGGCTCTTGCAGGGCTCGAGTCCTGCAGGGACGCATGGAAACGATGTTCTTGCACTTTTTCCAAAGCAGGAATGCCGTTCCCGCTAGTAGTCCTGCAGGACCTGCCCTGCTACCTGCACACAGGAGCCTAGCACACTCTGTGTTCCCTCTCCAGCTGCAGCACACATTCGCGAGACCCGCGCCTGTCAGAGCGTTGTCACAGGTTACCATGGCAACGCTCCACACAGCGCGCAGGCGAGTCTTGCAAGAGTTAGAGCTGGAGAGGGAACACAGCCTTACTGGATATACAACCCTAGTTTAATTTTAAAAACAAGGGAAACCACTAAGAAAAGGAATAAACTGTGGAAACAACCACAAACCCCGACACTAGGGCAATGGTACAAACTAATGGAGGAGATCTACTCAGCAGAAGCTATTAGGGCATCAGTAACGGGACAGAGTGACAAGCATGTCGAGCTGTAGAGACCATGGATAGATACATTTAGTATGAAGGGAAGTCACCAAGCTTTACAGTACTTTCCCTGTAGAAGAAAGCTAGGGCACTAACCCTACACAGAACATTAACGAACCACTGTTGAACGGAACCCCCAACTCCTTTAGCCTCAATGCTAATCCCTTAACAACCAACAAGGGCCTATATTGCCTAGCACATCACACACGACCCCACTATACCGGACAAAAGGTACCCATCACACACACACATATCACCCATAGCTGTGTAAGGGTCGAGGGCCTGTGGGCGTCCTTCTGCTCAATTCTACACCTAATGCCTGACAAGTGACCTGTGAGCCTCTGCACTGTACCTTAGCCACGAGACCTACGAGTCTAAGTTAAGTAAATACGGTGGAAGCTGCCATTAGTACTAGTTCATGATGAGCTAACATAACCTTGTATGTTAAGTTAGTAATATATATATATAAATAATATATTATGGGACCTGCAAGTCCACCAAGTAAATGTTAACCGCTAAATGTGGAGACCTGTGCGTCTCCGACAAATATCAATGATACCGGAAATTTTCTTGCCAACTCGATGCATTATACAACTGGTGGGACCTGCGCGTCCATACTATGACTTTAATATACAGTTTAAACTTTCAATGCTAACCACAAAAAAATCTAATAAGATATTTACAACAAATAAAAAAAGAGAAGGGAAAAAAATATATAAAGAAACTGAATATCCTATCCTATGAACTGCTATTTCTGAAGTTACATTGGCAGCGATCAGCATGTTTCTCAGATTACTAATCAATAATTGTCCTTCCAAGGAAACAGTCAGTGGCCTGTAAATTCAACTTCTCTTATTAGTATTCATATCTAAAAAAATACAAGATACACCTAGAAAAAATAAAACCAGAGAACATACATAGTGTAACACTATTTAGTAGAATAATCACTGCTGTATGAATTGCACTCACAAGATAGAAGTGAATTTCAAGCCCATCAAATTCTCTTAGGGATTCTGGTTGAATGGTTCCTTATTGGTCAGATGTATACGCAAAAGAAAAACTGAACATAGTATAGTAAAAAATGTGATTTATTGGAAACACTTACAAAAAGTAAGAAGTTAAAACGCCCATCAGATAACCTGGTCACTCCTTCCAGATGGTAAAATAGGAACAATGGGTCACAGGAATCACAGGCTATAAGAATAGTAAATAGCTCTAGCTCTACGCGTTTCGTCTATAACAATAGACTTCCTCAGGAGCAATTTAATAAAAGGCTAACACATCTAACAATCAATACAAATAGAGTGCAATAAAAGTCCCATAAGTTCTTGCTTCTTTTAAATGTCCCTCTCGACGTTTTCGGCTTGCATCAGCCAATCCCGGCGTTTGGAATCACCTGTTCTGTATGCTTGAAAGTTCATATCCATATAAGGACTTCCGCCGGACGTCCGTGGAACGCATATGCGTTCCACCAAACCGGAAGGTTCATCTCCCTCTCGATACGTCATCACACGGCGGCTGGAACGCACATGCGTTCCACCCGATCGGCATACATCAGGGAACGTAATATAAGGAAAAAAAGAAGACACACTTAAATACAAATCAATAAAAAAGGCTATAGCTCTATAAACAGCTACACCAATACCAAAAAAGTGATAATAAAAAAGAGTGATATTAATACTCAAAAATAATAATAAAAGTAACATATAAGTATGAGAATAATAATAATAAAATAGAATAAATAAATAAATAAGAATAATAAAATCAAAGAAAACAATTCAAATCAAAGTCTACGTTCAGTCCATGCGGTTGAAGTGTTTTCAATTTATGGATCCAGAATCCCTCTCTTTGTCTCAATTTCATGGTTATATCACCTTCCCTTGCATCAAGGGAGACCTGTTCTAGTATTCATATCTCCCAACATTGAGAGGTAGGTCATTGGAACTGGTGGGTGGTTTAGGACCAGTGGAACACTGAATTGGACAAACATCATCGTTTCAGCAGATATGGTGCCGCTGCACAGGAGACAAAGACCTGGCACTAGTTTAATGTTAAGTTTCAGCGTGTTTATTTTTTCTTTATCTTTAATGGGGAGCAACCAGGGGCATGCTATAGTGCTTATGGTGATTAAAAACTTGACATACAATGGTTTTGCAAAAATGAAGCACCTTTATTTACTGCAGTTATGGTGGGAAATTGGAACTAAGTTGAAGAAAAAAAAAAAGTCCATATACTCAAATTCCATTTAACCCATTATATTCTGTTATAAAAAAACAGCATAACAGTCAATTTATAATCCTTCTCATTGTCATTATGATCTCTTAATACACAGGGAATAACAAAATAAATAAAATAATAATTCTGCTTTTACAGAATTCTTTTGCTCCAGAGCTGTTAACTCAGATCTAATAGTTGCACTTTTTTGCTAGCTATTGTCACAATAAGTAACACTCTGTGTGCAGTTTTTACTCTTGCCATTTCCTCCTTGTGCTAAGCCACTGCCCACTGTGATCTCTGATTTCAGGCCCATCCTTTGCTTTCTAAACTAGGAAACGAAACTGATATGAGAAAGGGTCTTAGCCATTTCTTCCCAACTCTGCAGAAGTGGGGGCGGTGAGCTATGTGAAGGTAAGTGTGAGAGGGATGTTAAATGGAAGCAATATTGTTTACATAATTCCATTTTTAAAAATGCATTATAGGAAACACATGCATTAAAAATGAGTGCAAAAAATAAAAAGAAAGCCAGTTGCTGTGAATCTTCCCTCCAGATGCATTGTTTAGTGGGTCTGACTGCAGCTACAGACACACTCCTCAATAACCAGGGAGAGACTCTTCAATCACGAGCTCTGATTTAGATTTTTGGGGTCTATTCTTATTGGGGCACTCCCACTGATAAGATACGTGCAGCTTGTATGTAAACTGGTATCAGCTAAAATGGTTTACAGTGATTGTTTAATGTTACATAGTTGACATAACAGGAAAATGTTCTTCTCCCATAGAAAAGACAAAAGGTCTTGTGTTGTTAAAGGGGAGAATTCTCGCACTCTGTCCCTGTATTACATAGCCCAAATGTTGTCCTTAATATATATATATATCACATTGTTATTTAATATCGGTATGTGTGCATGCTCTTCACATTGGAGCTCTGTGACAGGTGGTGGAGGGATTAACCTGCTAGATCCTTGTTTTCAGAATATGTTGCTATGCAGGTACATTATTATGGAAAGCTATATCAGGGATTATTTCACAAACTCTCTGCAGTATGCAGAGCAATTGTCACACCCAACGTTGCTATGAAACGTTAGACCTTCCAGGTATATTTAGATATTTATTGGGTGTGGACTTGCTGTGTCATTCCATGTCTACAATACAGCATCATGATCTGACACAAACATCAGCATCTAAACATTTTTAATTTGGCTCCTAAAATTCTGTAACTGACTTCTGTACTATAGTGATGGCATTGCCCTGCATGTGTGTATATTTATATTCTTTTATTTATTTATTTTAATTGGAGAATTTTTATAGCTAGTTTGGTGTAAAATTTTGAATTATCTTTGAATTCCTGGTAAGTCCCAGTTTAATGAAGATCCCTGCATATATGTGGTGGATGTGTCCCCAATGGTCAGAGAAAAAGCAGTGTTTACATTGCTGCCTAGGGACACCGCCAGTGGCAGTCACTCAGATGGCTCCTAGAGGTGCTTCCTGGGTCAGTGCTGCTGATGTTTAACGTCTCCACGCTTTGCATGGAGACACTAAACTTTCCCAATACAGATGCATTGATTCAATGCATCTCTAGAGGAGATGCTGATTGGCTAGGGCTGTGTTTAGCTCTGCCACTGCCCCTGCCCCCTTATTGAGAATAAATGTATGATTTTCCTTTATTTAAGACTAGTGTTTTTTACTAAAGGATTAGGAATACACATTTGTGTTCCTGACCCTATAATGTTCCAGTAATGAAACAGTTTTGATGTACAGATCATGCCCCTGCTGTCTCAATGCTCAATTCTCTTCAGTTTATCAGTTGTATCACTTTGTTTATGCATCTCTAGTCACACTTCCCTGCATGTGACTTGCCCAGCCTTCCTAAACACTTCCTGTAAAGTGTCATCTAATGTTTATACTTCCTTTATTACAAATTCTGTTTAATTTACAACTTCTTATCTCCTGCTCTGTTAATAGCCTTGTAGAGCATGCATGAGCTTCCTGTGTGTAATTAAAGTTTAATTTACAGAGCAGAAGATAAAAATGTCTAAAGTAAGTTACATCTGATTGACAATGAAACAGTTGTGTTTTCATGCAAAAGAAACAAATTTAAACACCACAATATCAGTAGTGTAAATTAATTAGCTTCAATTAATGTGCAGCCTCCCGAGATCGTTATCCACAACAAACGACCTTTACAAAGTACAGACAACCACAAACAGAATCGGGTTAAGGCTGTATAATCTATAAAGAGAACATATGAAAACAAAATAGTGTAATACAGTATGCACAATAGATCTTGCGCCGTTAATAAATGCACTCACGAGATAGCGTAGAAATAAGCGCTCACAAGGTGCCTCCCCTGATGATGTGGGAGCTAGTAGTTCCCTTGTCACTGTGAGATAGCCAATGGTACACGGGACTCCAGGTAGATGGTCAAAATCAAATTATATTATTTATTTAAAAGGTGAAAAACACCATAAGTATAAAAAATAAGTGCAGCGATAGGTCCAACGCGTTTCGTTCTGGTAGGAACTTCTTCAGGGACCGCAATAATGATAAAATCAAATACCATATAATAAATTGTTAAATAACACAAATTGTAAAATAACACAATTATTATAAGGGCATATTCGGGGGCTAATTAGCCCAAAGACCCACCAGGGTGCATCTCTCTGACACCGGACCCCCTAAGCGACTTAGCTTCACAGTTGCCGACCTAATCGACGGGACATGTTAGACATGGCAAAACGCAATAATAATTAAGCAAGGTAGCATTGCAATCTCACTGTTGTTGTTCAATGTGCATGTTAATACAATATTTAAGCATGACATATGTTTAAGCATGAAAAGGGATGAAAGAGTGTAAAAATATCTTCTAGTTAGAAGCTACGAGGAAGGCATATATCTTATAAACAGATTAATTATAAGCCTACTTAATATTGATCTGGTTTACTGCTTAGGTGAACTCTGCTCTTGCAGCTGTTCTATGAGGGCCCCCTCCCCCAAGATCAGTACTAGTTCCAATATTCCAATATAGTTGAAAGCACAAGGTAAATCAAGTAATGTAAATGGAGGATAGTGTGTATATAACTGAGGGTGCCCAAAAGGTAGATCCTCAGATGTTTTAAATCTATGTCATTTTAAAGGTATGCTAAAGGAATGCAAAGCATCATGGGGTTTACCTTTTGGGCAGCCCTGGTATAGAGGATACCTCTGGTTGTAAATAGTCATCCCAATCTGCTAATGTAAAGTATAACAGCTACAGTGCATGACTAAATACCTTGGATGTTAAAGGAACACTATAGGGTCAGGAACATAAACATGTATTCCTGACCCTATTTTAAACACACCATTTAGATGGCTTGTCCCCCCAACATCTTTAGAAGGGGTTAAAACATACCTTAATTCCAGAGCTGCGCGGGTCTGCTGGCACTGGCCCCACCCTCGATCCGCCTCCTGTGTAAACATCAGAATTGTTCATTCTTAACCAATGCAATGCTTTCCCCAGATAGCATTGGATTGGCTAAAATCGGCATGGGAGTGGGGCCAAACGCTATTTTGGCCAATCAGCACCTTTCTTATAGAAATGCATTGAAAATTCAGGGACCCCATGCAGAGCGTGGAGACCCTGAACGAAAGTGCTGCCTACTGTATAGCACTGAGCTAGGAAGCACTTCCAGTGGCCATCTGAGGATTGGCACTTGGAGGTGTCCCTAGGGGGGAATGTAAACACTGACTTTTTTTCTGAAAAGGCAGTGTTTGCATGAAAATGCCTGAAGGCAATGATTATACTCACCAGAACAAATACATTAAGCTGTAGTTGTTCTGGTGACTATAGTGTCCCTTTAATGCGCCCTACTAAGTACTGGGGTTATAAACTATGTACTGGGGTTATAAACAGTCTCCCTCTGTAATTTATATACTTCTTATCTGCAAGATGTAATACCTCATCTACAAAGACAGCATTAGCCTAGTAGATACTTTAATAAAAGGCTTGCTATGTTAATCAATATGTCCGCCACCAGTAAGACTGTTATGTATTAAATTAGTAGAACAAAAATACAGGTAGCGCCAAGGAAAATAACACACTAGACAAAAATACACATAACTCTGTTACAACCAATAAAACACACTAAAAAATGAAATAAAAAGAGTCCACAGTAAAGTCCAGAATTGAAAAGAATATAAAAATACCAAATGATAGGGCACAGTCTTAGAGGTAACAACCCATCTTCTAGGTCTTGTACGGTGCTTTTTGGGCAACTTCCATTAGTAACAGAAAAGACAAGCGAGGACCAATAGTGCAATATGGTAGTGGAGTATACTTAAAGTTGTCAACTCACATTTGATGGAGCTATAACCGACTCTATGTAAAAAATGTAGTGGTTTTTAATCCCTACTTGTAGGATATCCGGCAAATCATAGCAGGACTGCGATGAAGTAGACCATGTGGAATGACAAGAAGAAACCAATAGTGCTCTCTATATAGGTAAGTATTTATAAAATAAAATAGTTACAATAAAATGAGCAGATTAACCGCTCTATGTATCAAACATGGTGGGTATAATCCCCACATAGGATTCTTTAATGGTAGTCCGCAGGGAACTCAATCCAGATGTCAGGTGGAAATAAGACTATAAATAAATGCTAAAAAGTATATGGCTTACAGCAGATAATAAGGTAGCCAAAAATACTATTAGAAAAGAAATAAGATAAAAACCACAACGCGTTTCTCCCTTTAGGGCTTTTTCAAGTGGATAAAACCTGGCAATATGTTTATATAGGCTTCAAAACACTTCAGTTTAGAAAATTGGTGCCAAAATTACTTTGTCACGTGACCGCACTTGTTATCACGTGACTCTGACTGGAGATACAAAACATTAAATTATACAATATATCTAACACTATTTGTATGGTAAAATCATAAACAACAAAAACGAGTGCTTAAAAGAAAGGTGCCAGAGCATATAACTCGCGCTTGCAGGACTTCTCGCAGGCGGCTCCCTTCTTTTGGAACAGCCTGCCTACCCCCATCAGACTCTCCCCTAGTCTTCAACTATTTAAGAAGTCCCTCAAAACACATCTGTTCAGAAATGCTTGTATGGACTCCCAGAGTAACTTTCCTATACTTATCCAAATCTGTCTCTCGCTCTCCTAAAAGAGCCATACTCCACTCTCACCTCCAGCTCTGCTACTTTTCCACCTTGTTGGGTGGCGATCACCCTTGCTGCCCTGTTGTGTATTTGTACCCCATCTCCTCTAGACTGTAAGCTCGTTTGAGCAGGGCCCTCATCTACCTATTGTTCCTGTGTCGCTGTGTAATTGTCTAATTTATTGTAAATTTCCCCCTTTCATAATATTGTAAAGCGCTGCAGAATTAGTTGGCGCTATATATATACCAATAATAATAATATAAAGTGTAGGAGGTGTGGCTTGTATATCACGGCATTAAGGCGCAATGCATTTTGGGGTATGAAGTTCATATTGGCCGATCGCGTTATAGCGATGGCCGAGCACATAACTATGTTATTGAGGAATTATGGGTTATGTAGTCCGGTGCCCAAGACAACATAATGCTCGATCAGACCCTAAAGGGGAAAGAAAAGGGCCGGACATGTGATTTGCCCAAGGGAGGAGCGGAGACACGACTGGGACGTAGAGTGGGCCGAGGCATGGGAAAAGCAAAGAGTATGCCTCTCCAATAATAGAGACATCAAAAGAGGCGTGCTGTAAAAGTTAGCGTGATCAAGAGGTCACATATGGCAGCCATCTTGGGAGGGTACTAGATAGCTATAAACAGCTATGTGGCCATATTGGGAGGGGAATAAGTGAAATAGAAAAGTGAACTATGAACAATGGGATAATGCTGGGGAAGAGTACCTTTCACAATAGCTGATTTTAATAATTATTATCAAAAACATCTATTATTGTTAATAAAACACAATTAAAAAAAAAGTTATGTGAGCATAGAGTGCAGGGTAATTTGTTCCTTGTGTGTGTCAGTGTCCTCTGTGTGTAACTATATTGTGTCTATTAAATTTTTATTTTGTGACTTTTATTCACATTAATAGTTCGTACATTCTTCCTTACATACAATATTCACATTATGTCATTTATTTTAAAAATATTCCTTATTACCTTTAATCAGGCTTGCTGTCCAAAATGGGATTTATTTAAATATCAGTATCTACACATTTCATTTGGAATTTAAAATCAATAGAAATTACTTTCTCAAGACAGGGATACTTATGAAATGTATTTAGATCTGCAGGGGTACTCTCCATAAAGGTTGAGAAACACTGTCCTAATGCATGATCTAAATGTAAAAGGATCACTATAGTGTCAGGAAAACAAAGCGGTTTTCCTGACACTATAGTGCCCTGAGGGTGCCCCCACCCTCAGGGTCCCCCTCCCGTGGTGCTGAAGGGGTAAAAAAAAACCTTCAGCAGCTTACCTTATTCCAGCGCAGGGCTCCCTCGGCGCTGGTGACCTCTCCTCCCCCGCCGACGTCAACGGAGCCATCCGACGTCACTGGATCGGAAGACAGCCACTAGAGGCTGGATAAACCCCAAATGTAAACATAGCAGTTTCCCATCCAGCACACAGTGAGGGGGGGGGAAGGGAGAGATGGTGGCGGGGAGGGGAGAGAGGAGAGGGGGTAGAAGGGAGAGGGGGAAGAAGTGGAGGGGGGAGGGAATCTTGGGTGAGTTTTTTCCCCCAGGACTTGACTCCTGGGCTCTTGACAATTGTCTTTTGGATGATTGAAAATAAGGGATTTTTTTGAAATTGCTGTGTGGGTGCTGGAACATCAGTTTACTGAAAAAAATGAAGGGGCTGTAGAGTGCTTTAACACAGAGGCTTTTTATGGTGTGCCGGAAGATTTCAGGAGTTTTTGATTTTTGGATGATGGGTGCTGGAAGAAATCAGGTGCATAAATCTTAAAGTTTTCTTTTTTTTGTAATTGCATTAAAGTGTATTGAAACATAAAGGGAATCTTGGTAACTGGTAAAATATGCTTGAAAAACAGAATGGGGGGGGTATCTGACTGGAGGGTGACTCATGATATCTATTAAATGAAGTAAAGTTTTCGACTTTCATTTTAGCACTTTTTTAAACACATTTTAACACTTGTTTTGTTCCTAGATTCTGCGCCAGAAGAACCAACAAATTTGGAGCGATGGCAATGGGTAAGTTGTTTGACTATATGCAAAGTACATAACACAGGGTGGCTAGCAAATATTCTAACTCAAAAACTATAAATGAAATATATTTAATTTAAAAAAATATTTTAAACGGAAAAAAAACAGTTAAACAACAGTCAAGAATAAGCAGACTGTTGCAGTAACAACTCAGCACTTTACATTAAAAATAATATGCAGTGGGGGTGCGGGGCCTGACAGCCAAGCTGGCCAGACGTGCTTGGAGAGAGCTCTGGCAAAGCTAAGCTGAAACGCAACGAAAACTCGCCATAAACGTGGTTTTTACAGACCAATATAACAGAAGCTCATTGCTGCATCGAGTGGGAGCTTGTGGATACCAAAAAAGTGCCTTTCTGTCGAGATCCACCACACTTCACACCTAAGGCCTAGCATGACAGGCGGCCTGGTGGCTAGGAGAAACCGCCGATCTCCCGACGCGGGATCCGACCAGAGCAGCAACCTTGCCAACACCCCGCATCCCCCCCCTCTGGACCGGTGGGGGTCATCCCGGTCCCAGTTGGAGAAACCCTCAGATATGCAGCAGGGGAGTACCCGGCCGGAACAAAGCATGCATGCCGTAACCAAGATGGCCGCTGAGCCACAATCCCAGGAGAGCCTGCAGGCCTGGAGAGAGGGCTTTGAGGCCAGGTTCAATAGAGTCTGTGACGACTTTTGGAGGCGACTAGAGTGCAGACCCAAAGCAAGTCACCCACCCGCTACACTGCCACTTGAAGCAGAAACGGCAGTTCCCCGAAACGACATAAGGCAGGGGCCAAGCAAAGATAAGCGCCCACCCCGCCACCCGACTTACCAGCTGCCACTCCGAACACCCAGACGTAAAGCGGCACCACATCGCAGCAAACCCACCTTACTGCACAGCCGACGCTTCGGTGTGCGACACCTCGGAGGGGCACGAAAATTCACCTGCTCACGGCCATACCGAGAAAGTCTCACTGGGCAGCACTGCTCACAAGCGCTGAGAAGCCTCAAAGGCCACGGCCCAGATGATCATCTCCACTATTTGCCGGTGGACAAAGTGAAAAAGCACACTGGACTATGGGGCTGGAGGCGTCCATGCACGCAGAGAGGTAGACTCAGGACCCCCAGAGCTGACAGCCCGCATCACTACCCACCAACATGCTCCTGGCTCTACCAAAACATGGGAATCGGATGACTGGTGACTTACTGAACAAGTTTATACTAACTTCATTTTATATACCATTCTTCCATGCTCCTGGTCCCTTGGTTTTTTCTTTTTTTTTTATTTCCTGTTTGTCTCTCCTTTTCCTAGCTATCATTGTGCAGGGAACTGCAGTGAGGTGGACATTTAGATCGAACAATAGCCGGCATTGAGTAGACCTAGCCTGTTCACACTGTGATAAAGTGAAGGCAGATAGGCCTTTTAACCCCAGGGGTAGTATGTGTAGTTTGTGTGTTGCACAACACAACGCATTGTTTAGTTATGGGCCCCTGGGGTGGAGCATTTGGAGAGAAGGGTGGGCCAATGCTCCACTCCACAGTTTAGTGGTGTTCTGGGGAGACCTAGATCCAGGCCAGGGTTTTTTGGACTGTCTCCAACCCACTGCTCAGCTGCAGGTAATCAGCTGTTGCAGTGGGAATAAACTCCTCCCGGCTAGGCAGGAAAAGGAGAGGGATTGCTGGCTTCCTCCCAGGAAGCAGGTAGGAGAGAGAGGCTGTTCTCTCCAGATAGTCAAGGTGACTAGGCACTTGGAGTGCAGAAAGGAAGCAGTCAGGGCAAGACTGGCTTGGAGCACTGGGAGTGCAGAAAGGAAAGCAGTCAGGGCAAGGCTGGCTTGGAGCACTGGGAGTGCAGAAAGCAAAGCAGTCAGGGCAAGGCTGGCTTGGAGCACTGGGAGTGCAGAAAGGAATGCAACAGGCTAGGCAGCAGAGTGTTGCTAACTAATAAGGTTGGTGCAATATTGTGTTTAGTTTAACCCTGAGAGATGGGGAACTAATGTCAGTTAGTGCTCAGACGAGCTAGGTGTTTGTTTATAGGGTTTTCTGTTACTTTTGTTTTTCATTTTCTGCTGTATCCTGTGTGGATTTGCAAATAAAGTGCCTGAGTATATGCAATTACAAGGACTGTGCATGTTTTTGCCCTAGAGGACCGTGCTACCTGCAAACAAGGATCACAACACCTTATATTGTATACAATGCTCAGTTCTCTGTGCCTAAAATATTTCATGTATATCGGAATTTTAACTAAAACATATATATATATATATATATATATATATATATATATAGTTCATTGTCAACATGCATGCTTTAGCTAATATACAGGATAACGCTACTGTGTGGTTTCAGGCAGAGGAGAGGGTGGCTTACTCGACTGTTCCCTTAAGGCTACCATAAAGCCGCTCAGTGAATGTATCTTTAGACATGCTGCCTGTTCTTTTAGAGTTACCCCCTCTGCTGCAGTCTGTATAACATAGCACTACTGTACCAAGCTCTAATGGTCGCCGGCCTGGGCCATCCCTAAGAGTTTATCTCCAACCACTACATACCAACTTGTTAATGTGTCTAAGACCTTCTTAGCCGTAGCTCCGTATGTCATAACTTAACGAGAATAGAAGGTCTTGCGATATAAACTACTGTCTTTTTTCACGTGTTCTCTTTATAACATAAAAAATGTGCTCTTTTGATCTGCCATGAAAATGTTTGTTATTGAAATGCTCGCTTCAGCTGTCGTGGCGAAGCAAAGTGTATTGTTATCTTTGTTACCTTCAGCACAATAAAAATAAAGAATTTAAAAAATAAATAAAATAATATGCAGTGACCCCACATTGCAGGTTTAAGAGGGGTAAGGGTTACCTGTACTGATGTCTGCCACATTTGTTACTCTCAGCCAGACTTTTCTGATCCCTTTTAGGTTTAGTATGCCTTAGACGTACAAGGTACCCACCTTCAAAGTGTCATTCTGTATAACACTGGGCAAGGGTTGGTGGGTATGCAGAGAGGGCCACCCACCACAATCTCTCGAAGAAAAACAAAAGAAAATATTTATAGCTCAATAGTACACAGTACAATTCAATCTTCTCCAAGGTAGGCAGTTGCAGGTTATCTTGTTATCGCCTGAAGGATATATCACCATGGTTCCTCTGCATTAATAGATACACATTCAAACAGGCTGTTTTGATGCAGCTTTATATTGCACTTGCACACAGAATCTGATAATTGAAATCTGTAACATAATATTCCTGTATTTCAGGTGATAAAAAATTACCGCTGGATGACTGGACTGAAAGCGATGTCGGTGACTGGCTTCATTCAATACGTATAAAAAAGGAATACATTGATAAACTTGTTGAAGAAGAAGTGTCTGGACCAGTGTTAAAAGAGATCAATGAAGAGTTTTTGAAAAATATTGGCATGAAACAAGGTCCAATCCAATTACCGTATATACTCGAGTATAAGCAGACCCGAATATAAGCCGAGGCCCCTAATTTTACCCCAAAAAACTGGGAAAACTTATTGACTCGAGTATAAGACTAGGGTGGGAAATGCAGCTACTGGTACATTTCTAAATAAAATTAGATCCTAAAAAAATTATATTAATTGAATATTAATTTACAGTGTGTATATAATGAATGCAGTGTGTGTATGAGTGCAGTGTGTGTGTATGAATGCAGTGTGTGTATGAGTGCAGTGTGTGTATATGAGTGCAGTGTGTGTGTATGAGTGCAGTGTGTGTGTATGAGTGCAGTGTGTGTGTATGAGTGCAGTGTGTGTGTGTATGAGTGCAGTGTGTATGAGTGCAGTGTGTTTGTGTGTGTTGCAGAGCCTTGGTGGGGGGTGGGCATTTTTATTATTATTATTTTTTACTTATTTTAATAATTTTTTTGTTTTATTAATATTTTGTTATTATTATTTTTTATTTTATTATTATTTTTAATATTTTATTATTATATTTATTTATTTTTGTCCCCCCTCCCTGCTTGATACATGGCAGGGAGGGGGGCTCTCCTTCCCTGGTGGTCCAGTGGCATTGGCAGTTCAGTGGGGGGAGGAGGGGAGCTGGCAGAGCTGTTACTTACCTCTCCTGCAGCTCCTGTCAGCTCTCTCCTCCTCCGCGCCGGTCCGGGAAGCACCTCGGTCAGCTCCCAGTGTAAGTCTCGCGAGAGCCGCGGGGTCATAGTGCGGCTCTCGCGAGACTTACAGTGTGAGCTGAGAGAAGAGCTGCACGGACCGGCGCGGAGGAGGAGAGAGCTGGCAGGAGCGGTAAGTAACAGCTCTGCCAGCCCCCAGTCTGTATTATGGCAATGTAAATTGCCATAATACAGACTGACTCGAGTATAAGCCGAGTTGGGGTTTTTCAGCACAAAAAATGTGCCGAAAAACTCGGCTTATACTCGAGTATATACGGTATTACTAAAAAAGAGAGATGAGCTTCTCTCCGGACACACACCCACAAAATCTGAACATGGAGCTTCAACTAATTCTACAACCCAAAATAATATTGGAAAAGAGTCTGTTTTACAGTCAGGAAGAGATTCTAAGAATAAGCAAGAAACTGTCTCAGCTCACCCCGTAGGCTCAAACACAACTGACCAGAAACAAGAGCCAGATTCTGAACCAGGCTCTACCTGTGCAAAGACTGTGAAACCGTTATCCCTAAAAACTGAGGCAGATATAGATAGGAATGCAGTAAGTAACCTACCAATGGACAGAAAAATTAACCAATCACCAGCAACTATTTTCCGACCATTTAGTAAAGAAGTTGGGAATTTCCGGTATGTGAAAAACCAGGTTCTTGAACCAGAAACTGGAATCAAGGACTTGATTATCCCTTGCCATGAATACAAATCACTTGTTACTGCAGCAAATCTAGATCGAGTAAGACTTCAGGCAAAATTTGCTTGTGAGGTAATAAGATTCGGCTGTGCATGTATGAACACACGTACAAATGGCACAATACATTTTGGTGTAATGGACAGTGTTGAGGGAAAAGGTTACCAACATGGAGAGATTGTTGGCATTCCAGTGAGTGACCAAGACTGGTATGTGGATGCTCTAGATTATATTGAAAAATGTTTCACCAAAGAGAGCCATGAGGCTGCAAGGTCTTGTATTCGCCCTCCTAAATTTATTGAAGTGATTCAGAAGGAGTCAATGGAACAACGATTTGTAGTTGAGGTTGATATTGTGCCTCAGCTAATATCTGTAAAAGGAAAAGTATTTCAAGTGAGCTTGCCAAAATTTAATGAAAAAAGCAATAAAGTTAGCCAGGATAAGAGAGCTATGTATAGAAGGGTGGGAGCTAAATCTGAGATCGTTCCAGAGGAAGATAGTGTCTCATTTATTCAGGGGCTTCAACATGTAGATTTAAAAAGGGAACAGGCCGAATGTAAATCTGACAGTCAAATCTCAGCCCCAGAAAACCTGAGAAGAAAATTAGTTTTACTAACCGGTGGCAAGGAATATATGGATGACACACTCTGGTATATTCTCGTGGCAAACAAATGTGAACAACACCACTTGAAGGATCTAAATTTCTTAATGAGAGTAAATGTATTTTGTGTCTTTGACTTTGATCCAGATTCTGATGAGACAGGACTATGCTCAAAATATAAGGAACATCATGCCCGAAACATTCATTCATTAATCAGCTATTCTAATGAGAATGGGCTGAGTAGAAGTGAACTTCAAAAGTCTCTCTGTCTGTTTGATCAAACAAGCTGGATATTTTGTAATGGACGCAACAATTATCGTGGTGGTGATGAACCATGTGATGAAGATACTTGGATCAAAACTAAAAAGAAATATCTTAAAAAAGCGGTGTCATTAATTTGCAATGATATATTTCCTAAAGGATCCTTCATTGTAATTTTTTTCTTAATGTCACCAGTGGAAAAACCAATAGTTGATGCTTTTCATGAATTTTATTCAGAAATGAATGGTATTGAAGACATAATTTGCATTGCAGAAATCAAGGAATATTACAATAGTTGGGCCAGTCTGGCACAAGCTTCATGTAAGATGCAGATTCTGGAGCAAAGAAGCATAGTTGGTATTCCATTGAGGCATATTGATGCCACAGTTCAGAATATGTTCCCAGTGGCAAATTCCAATAGGAATCTTCCTGTATCTTCCAAAGGTGTTTGTGTCCTTGAAACACCTGCAGAAGAAAGAATGAATTCACTTGAGATACTGTGTGTAAATGAATGCAATGACAAAAATCTTGACCATTTGACTAAAGAAGAAGTGAAAGAACTTGAAGGTACATATTATCGTGGTGGTAAAATTAGTTGGAAACATTTTTGGCTGGCTGAGCAAAAAAAATGTGGCGAGTTTATTGAACGGGATGCATTTAACAAAGTCCAAGAAATGTTAAAGGGCATATTATATGAGAATAAAGTTCAACTTCCTGTTGCTAGAATAAAGATTTATCATCATCCAGGAAGTGGCGGAAGCACCATAGCCCGGCAAGTTCTTTGGAAAAATAGGAGGGAATTAAGGTGCGCCATTGTCAAGTCATCCTGTCTCTTTTCAGAAGTCAGTCAACATGCTGTGAAATTTAGAGAATATGATGAGGTCAATCCTAATCTGTGCTTGCCTGTTCTTCTCCTTATCGAAGATTGTGAAGAAGATTACCTTGATGATTTAAGGCATGACTTATCAGAAGCTATGGTGTGTAAAAAAATTACTTCCTCAAAGCCATGTTTCATCCTCATGAGCTGTAAGAGATCCAATGCCCCTGAAGACCTCTGTAAAGCATCCCCACAAGATACTGTTGCAGTGACTCACAAACTCAGTGAAAAAGAAAAATTAGAATTTTCTGAAAAAGCAAAAGAACTTGAAAAGGCATTTCCAAACTCTGAGTTTATACTTACTTTTGTCTTAATGAGTCATGAATTTAATGGCCACTATGTAACCCAATTTGTTCAGAATGTTCTGAAGGGAATTGATCATGCATCTAATGTGACTCGTTTAATGAGATATGTTGCACTATTAAATTGCTACGTACAGAACTCCTATATTTCTGTATCACATTGTGAGGCATTCCTAGGTCTTGGAGTATACACAAAAGACCAGCATAACGTGTTAAGGCAATATAACTTTAAAAGCTGCTTAAGTGAACAGGCAAGACTTTTATTTATTGAGTTGAGAGAAACAACAACATGGCTTAACTCTATTCAAATTATACATCCTTTAGTTGCCAAAGAAGTTCTAAACCAGCTTTCAGGAAGACGTCCCCAAAGTGATATTGCTAAAGATCTTCTGGAGGAAAAGGTTCTCCTCCAACACAGATTTGGCCGAGATGAATTCATAAAATTCATTCGAGACTTGTTTCTACGACGTCATAGAAAAATCAGGGGTGATAATGTAGATAGCTTCTTTTCCCCTCTTATTGAACATGTTTGTGAAGTTGAAAAAGACACAGAGAAGGCAATCAAGCTGCTGGAAGCTGCTTATGAGCGATTTGACAAAGATCCCTTTTTTGCTCAACAACTTGCTAGGCTGAATTACAAACATGAAAAATTTGAAGAAGCGAAGGGATGGGCAGAAATTGCAAAGTCACATTTGCCTGGTGATTCCTATATTTTGGATACAGAAGGACAGGTGTACAAAAAATGGTTTAGTGTGTAATTGGACAAAAAGAAAACTGACTCAACACCAGAGGAAGATATTGAATTAATTGAGCTTGGGCTTAAATCCATGGAATGCTTTAGGGCAGCAGAAAAAGCTGCACAATCTGAACTAGACCGTATGAATAATTCTGGATATTTTGGAGAAGTAGAAGTTGGATGTCGATTACTGAAGAAGCTCTCAACCTATGCTGTGTTTTCCAAAGACAAAATCAAGGACAGTACAGAACTTTTAAAGTATCTTTTAACAGACTATATACCTGAAGAAATAAAGAAGCCTTGGTTTAAGCTTCATGGACGTTTAAAAGGATTGTACCAAAATATATATAATGCTCTGGAGTGGATTGCAGATGATATTGGCTACTTTCAGTCAGAAAAAGTTGACAATGGAGAACAATCCAACACAGTAGAAGAGCATGTGTACAGTCCTCGAAAATGGTTACTAAAAAAAACAGAGGTATTTGCAAGATTTTTTAGTTATGAACTCTTGGCCTCATACCCTGATGTTGGGCCAGAAAGCCAAATGGTTAAAAAAATGAACATTTACAAACTTGGTGGGGGGAGCACAGCAAATATCCTCTCCCTGCTCTCTGACTCAAAAGACGACAGAGCAGGCATAAAACTTGAAAGTATACTGGATTTGTATCCAGAAGATGTTTCAAAAGCTGGTCTGGATGATGGAAGTCTTAAAAACTATATAATGTCACATATCGCATTAGGATGTGCAAAACCTGGTTCTTCAAAACTCCTATCTTTTCAAAACCTACGTGAACTAAGCAAAAGGTTTCTTAACACAAGAAAATCTTTTTCCCCTTGTGCCTACCTGTTGATCTTTTTGCTTTTTTGGCCTGATGAAAAGGTTGACAAGAAAGCAGATGCAGACATGGATAATATATTGAACTTGGCACTTCAAACAGCAAGAAGATTGCATGACATAAAAATAAAAAATATTCCAGTTAGGAAAAAAAGAATAAACGTGCTCTTCTTTTTAGGACAGGGCCATGGACTTCGGAAGATAATGCAGAGAAGTAAAATAGAAAAACAGATCGAAGGTCCACTTAATGAACGGAGGATGAAATGGATCAACGGGGATGTATGGAAACTTGACAGTGTACACCAGCTTTTAAAACCTGTGCCAGGATGGACAGAAAATGGAAAGGTTTACGCACGTGGTCACTGTGAAAAACAGAAAATAGAAATCCTGCCACTGAACATTTCATCAGTGCCTCACGGAAATGAAAACGTGACATTCTATTTAGGGTTTACATATATTGGTTTTGTTGCATATAACATACAGGTGCAGGAAAAAAAAATAATACATTTAATCCAATGTTATGTACAAAAAGGTCCAGAAGGGTGGAGGTGATCTTTTTGGAAAATAGTGGAGTTGCCACTATAATTAGTGACTTATACAGAGATTTCATTAAAAAGTATGCAAAGGGAGGCAGGGCCTGACTGTAATGGCGACTGGACGTGTTTTCTAGGAGCTCCTCCAGTCCCAAACGAGTTGGTCCAGTTACCAGCAGGGACAGGGAGAGGTGGCCGACCTCCCGACCTGACGTGCATTGACCCGAGCTTATTAGTATTAGTATTATTAGTATTTAATGTCCAATACAGTTACATAAATCCGATCGACGTTTCAACCTCTTCAGGTCTTCCTCAAGATCGATCTTGAGGAAGACCTGAAGAGGTCGAAACGTCGATCGGATTTATGTAACTGTATTGGACATTAAATACTAATAATTGTTTCTAAAGACCACAGAGTGCATCTCTTTTTCATTCACTATATATATATATATATATATATATATATACACACACACACATACACCCTGTTTTAAATTATTATGCAAATTCTATTTAAATGTCACAAAGGTTAAATATTTTGTTTTTCAGTTTAACTCATGGATGGCATTGTGTCTCAGGGCTCTTTTGATCACTGAAAACAATCTCGGACACCTGTGATAATTAGATTGCCAGGTGAGCCCAATTTAAGGAAAAACTACTAAAGGAGGGTGTTCCACATTATTAAGCAGAGCACCATTTTCATGCAATATGGGGAAGAAAAAGGATCGCTCTGCTGCCGAAAAGATTGAAATAGTTCAATGCCTTGGACAAGGTATGAAAACATTAGATATTTCACGAAAACTTAAGCGTGATCATCACACTATTAAGAGATTTGTGGCTGATTCAGAGCACAGATGGGTTTGTGCAGATAAAGGCACATTGAGGAAGATTTCTGCCAGATCCATGATATTTGAAGCTGCTGGTGCCTCTGGAGTCCCACAGACATCAAGGTGTAGAGTCCTCCAGAGTCTTGCAACTGTGCATAAACCTTCTATTCAGCCACCACTAACCAATGCTCACAAGCAGAAACGGCTGCATTGGGCAGAAAAATACATGAAGACTAATTTTCAAACAGTCCTGTTCACTGATGAGTGCCGTGCAACCCTGGATGGTCCAGATGGATGGAGTAGTGGATGGTTGGTGGACGGCCACCCTGTTCCAACAAGGCTGCGACATCAGCAAGGTGGTGGTGGAGTCATGTTTTGGGCCGGAATCATGGGAAGAGAGCTGGCCGGCCCTTTTAGGGTCCCCGAAGGTGTAAAGATGACCTCTGAGAGAAGAGAAAGTATGTGGTGTTTCTGAGTGACCACTTTCTTCCCTGGTACAGAAAGAAGAACTATGCTTTCTGTAATAAAATCATCTTCATGCATGACAATGCACCATCTCATGCTGCAAAGAATACCTCTGCATCAATGGCTGCTATGGAGATAAAAGGAGAGAAAGTCATGGTGTGGCCTCCATCCTCCCCTGACCTCAATCCTGTTGAGAACCTTTGGAGCATCCTCAAGCAAAAGATCTATGAGGGTGGGAGGCAGTTTACATCCAAACAGCAGCTCTGGGAGGCTATTCTGACATCTTGCAAACAAATTCAAGCAGAAACTGTCCAAAAACTCACAAGTTCAATGGATACAAGACTTGTGAAGCTGCTATCAAATAAGGGGTCCTATGTTAAAATGTAACGTGACCTGTTAAAATGTTTAAAAAGTTAAAATGGGGGGGCGGGGCCGGACCGCCGACGGGATCAGACATGTTCTGTCTGAGCTCCCGCTCCAGGGACCGAAAGTCGGAGCAAATTGGAGGTTGGCTGCGACCGGCAAACCATACCGAAGTCCACCTAACCCCCCAGTTACTGGGGAGAACATAAGACCCTGTCCGGCACCGACAGTAACCCGGCTGGGCCCGGAGATAGTTGGGGCTTGAGCCGGGATGGGACGGCCGCCCTCCCGGGTCTCCTAGCCGGCGGCTCGCGGCTCCCCCTCCCCCCTCTGGACCGGGGGGGTCATCCCGGTCTGCGGAGGCACTAACCAGCACACCAACCGGGGCCTAAAAGACCTCCCTGGCGAGGAACATCAAAAGGGCGACAGTCCACAAGATGGCCGCTGGCCATGTGCGCGAGCTGCCAGGGTGATGGAGATGACGCTCGCTTATGGCGAAGAAACCAACAAAGCTAAAAAGAAAATCGTTTATTGTTACTTCACCAGCTTACCAGAGGGGACGGTCCGTCACCGTAAAGCCAGGAGACCCCTAACCTGCACCGTAAATCCGGCGGGAGACACCAGCTACAAGAGCCAGGGGCCTCATGCAGCCGCAGAGCGCAATCCAGCGGGGTGAAGGACCCACAGCAAAGTAGGAGAGGCATCCAGCGAAAGCCACGAAAGGTGACATATGAGAGGGGGCCTAGCACTGGGACAATCAAAGCTCTGTAGACACCGGGGGAAACCCCCCACGTTTTATAGCTACTGCTGCATTTGATAGACTGCCACCAAACCTCACATGGAGAGACCCGGTAAAGACTGTAACTGGCATGGCTTCCTCTGGGCTTCCATATCCACGGCAATCACACCGGACTACCCTATGCTGCATAAACCAACCTAAGAAATCCAGACCAGCCAGGGTGAAATACTTCTGTGGTACCACTACTTGCAGAATACCATATGTTAACAAAGTGCTTAAAACTCATTTAACTCATTTGTGTACCTGGATAGACATGTGATATTCCTTCTAAGTACTGTCGCAAATAAAAGTTTTTTGTTTGTTTTTTTTTAACGTTAATTTCTCTTGACATCACCGCTGCTGAGCACTGCTAGACCCACATAAATGGACACTATCACAGTACTAACGCTGTATGACTCAGTCCAGCTCCTGCCGGAGACTCTCATATCTGCTGAAATCCCCAGCACACAATATGAGTCCTATGGTGGCAACTAGCATGAAACACAAACTACGTAACTATACAGTGCCTGTTCATTGATATGCCTTATAATATGACAACTTGCCTTATCGCATTTGAACAGGTATATATGTCTATTGACACAAGCCTGATGTCCTAACGTGCCTTACCACCTCAGACACACTAAATCAGCCTGTACTACATTTAACTGTATATGCTTACAACTATGCAACTACTTTTTGCTGCGTTATTTAGTTAGAGTGTTCCCAACCGAATCTCATGATCCATAGCTTGTATTTTCAAACTAATGAGTCAAAGATACACATCCAGCAAAGCAACTGTTTTAGTTTAGCTTGAACTTTGATGTTTAACCTACTTTGTGCATAGGCAGCTCCATCTTGCGGTTACTACACAAGACTGTATGCTTCTCTTTTTCTAGAAATGTAGAATACTGTTTAATCCTAGCATGTTAAAACACCCTCTGGCATAGCATATCATTTAAATCTATTAACATACTCAGTAGACATGCCTCCAATGAACCAGCTTGTACAACGTAGGAGTACGTTACCACTGCTTGATTAACAATCAGCTTATCCACTTAAGGTGCCTTTAAGCAACAGGACCTTAAGATCCATAGCTTGTATCTTCAACATATAGTTTAACGACAAAAAAAACAAAAAACAAAAAAAGAGGCATCGCTACTCTGGAAATGTACCTTAATTTTACTAAATGATGTATCAACCCTATGCTGTAAATCACCTGTACTTTTCCCCTGCTTTTCTTCTGTACCCCATCTAATATGCCTCAATAAAAGAAAGATTGACAAAAAAAAAAAAAAAAGTTAAAATGTTGTTATAAGTTTGATTGAAATCGCTTTTGATTTCAGTAAATATGCTGCAAACACAACAAATTAAAATTTTCAGTTCTTTACAACCTATAAAGTGTTTTGAAATTTACTGTGCGTAATAATTTGGAACAGTGCATTGTAAGTTTTTTATGTTTAAAACAATACTGTTATCATTAGGAGGTTTGTTCAATAAATTGTACTCTTAATAGTTGATAACATGAGAATTATGCTGACATCAATTATTTAGGTAAATGAGAAAAATATAATTTGCATACTGATTTGGAACAGGTGTATATATTTTCCAAAGACTCACACACACTCACTCTCCCTTAATCCCTCTGCAAACTGCAGTTTCAGCCAGGTAGGTAATGTGTCACACATTAGATGTAGCCGCACTGTCCACTGAGCTCGCATCTACACTATGGATTGAAGAACCCATGTCTTTTCTGTCCCCCCACCTGCCATCCATATCTTTTCTTCCCCTTTCTTCCATGTCATGGATATAGTGTGTATCGTATGCAGTGTGTGTATTGAATACATTGTGTGTGTGTAGTGTATCTAGTGTTTGTGTGGTGTATGCAGTGTGTCTAGTGGATGTTGTGTATGTCGTAGTGTCTGTGTAGTGCGTGTAATGTTGGATAAGTGCTGGGGGTGAGCCGTTTAAATTTAATTGGGCTTATCCTCCCCCTTCACTTCCTCTTACCCGTGGGCTGGAAGGTGGGGGGGAGGCAGTGTGTAGGAAGGTGACAGTATAGAGGGGCACTGTGTAGGAAGGTGACAGTATGGGATGCAGTGTGAAGGTAGGTAACAGCGTGGGGGGGTCAGTGTGTAGGAAGGTGACAGTGTGGGGGGCAGGGTGTGGGGATAACAGTGTGGATGGGCGGACTGACAAACAAAATGCCCTCACTGATACACACTCACTGACAGTCATTGTCTCACACACTGTTTAACTAGCACACACCTACTGACATACACACTGACATTCACACACACATTCAATGACAAACACACAGTTGTCACTGACTGACTCGACATACACACATTCACTCACTGACAAACACACACTGACAGGCACACAAGCACTCAATGACAAACACAGACTCTCACTGATGTGACAGAATCTCACATACACATACAAATTCACTGACAAACATACACACATTCTCTCACACACACTCACAAATTACTAATATTATTTAAATTTGTCCACCCAGCCTTCCCCACATTTGGGAGAGCAGGAGTGGATTTGTCACTGTCCAGTGGGGCTGCAGTGAGACAGGTGGCTGTGAGCATATCAAAGGCGGCAAGGGAGCTGTAACCCTCCTACTCTGATGTCATATTCCGGCTCCCAGCATCAGTAGACGGAGCGCAAGAGAGCAGGGCAGGAGGATTGCAGTTTCCTCGCCGCCTCTGGGGTCCATAAACTGCTACCTCCATTTCAGGAGGAATCACCGGGGACGTCCATGCGGGCACTTTGGGATCAATACAGCCAGGGCCGGCTTTAAGCACCCTGTGTGAAAACTCACACACACACAGGCTTACAGCAACACACACAGGCAGACAGTGACGCACACACATTTACAGTCACACACAGTTACCTCTGTCCATTATGGGCTGGAACTTGGAAGGGAGGAGTGGAGGTAATGCAGCTCCTGAAGTCTGGATGTTGGGGAAGCAGGGACTCCTTCCTACTTTCCCCTTCTGGTGCAGCAGTCACCTGGCATGTCTTCTCTGCTCTTAAGCCCCGCTCTGCCGTCTTTTAGCCACACCTCTGCTTCCTGGTATGCACCGCCCCTGTCACAATGTTTTGGGTTTTTTAATAATCCCGGGTGGAGAATAATGAAATCTTCCACCGGGTAGCTGTGTGAGCTCAACCCTAAGGCCGGCCCATGAAACAGCGTCGTCACTTGGAGGCACGGCATGATGATCGGTGGACCATGGCTCCCTTAGCGATGCCACTGTGTTTAAGCTAGGCATATCTCTGGACTATCTAAGTTTTCGCCGACTCTACTGAAACATTCATTGGCCCAGAAAACTCAAATCATTCATTCCAGTGACGATTGACAGCAAATGCAGCTGGTGTGCTTGTGACCTGATTGAACTTTTGACAACAGAAGTACTTCTCTGTTGTTTAAGGACTAATGATCAAAGATAGGTTAACATATTTTCAGTTTTAGTCTTGTTTATCTTAATACATCTCATGATTTTTCTGAATATAGATCTCCCGATGGAGCATTTTTCACCCCTGCCCAAATAGGACCGTCTCAACTACAGCTATACTTTAAGGCTTGTCTCCCATTCTCTGGCCCTGGGGCTGCTCGCCTGGGAGGTTTTTGCTCATTATACGTGGACCCATTTCAGACTAATCATCTCCCCTTCTCAAGGAATTCTTATTCAATTTTTTTTTTAACTAGTTCCCTCTTTATTTATATTAGGAAATCATTATTACACGTGACCTATCTTTGCATGTGCAGATAAAGTAAAAATATATTTCAAAAGTGTGCAAAAAACACTTAAAAGTATTAAAAAACATTTTTTTTTTTAAATAGCATTTGGTTCTTACATTAGCTGCAAATCCCCAAGCGAGCTCTCATACAAGCAGGAAGCGAGTGACTGGTGCACATACCATCTATAGCACTCCTGAACGTTTTTCCCTGTAAACAATACCTTTATAAGTAAAGGTTTTAAGAATTTACTTATAAAGTTGTCAGGTATTTTGTGGGGAGTTAGAGCTGTAAGTAAAAAGCTTTCCATTTTAGAAAAGCATAAATATATGTACACCATTATTATTGGAGTGAAAACCATACTATAATTTGAGAAGAAATGGAAGAAAGGATAGAATTATGGAAATAAAGTATTACTATAAAAGTAAATTAATATACATAACTACCTGTAATCTAACCTGCAAATTACTTTCTACTTATGCCCCAAGTGGTAGCAAAACATTTGTACAAAGGGCCCTGGTGCAAATTTGTTTTTTTGGGGGGGGACCCCCTCAATCACAAGCATGGTCACAAGGTAAATGCCCATCTGTTGCACAAACCCCACAATGCTTTTCCAGCTGGGAATCCACCGTGTGCCCATCTTTTAGGGCTGTATTTGTGAGCAGTATTTGTGTTAGAATGTATGTACGTATTTGTGTGTACTGTTACTATTTAAAAGCAGTGGTGTACTTGTGTTTAGTGTTTATGTATGTATGTAGAATTGACCTTTGATTGCTGAATATATAGTGCCACGCACAGAGGTGTAACTAGGAACCACGGGGCCCCGGTGCGAACATTGCCTTGGGGACCCCACCCATACATCTCACCCCTCCTCCCCACACATTCAATGTGTCTCATTCATACAAACACACACTGACATAAATGCAGATACACACCATATAACAGATACATACACGGACACACAATGCACCCCTTACACACATACACAGAAACACACAATGCATCCCTTACACACATGGAAACACAATGCATCTCTTACACACACACACACACCGCATCCCTTACATACTCAGAAACACACCTTCATCCCTTACATATACAAACACAGTTTCACACAATGCATCCCTTACACACAAACACACACTGCATCCACTACACACACACTCTGCATCACCTACACAAACTGGTATCCCTATACACTACATTCCATACGCAGACACTTTAGATCCTCTACAATAACACCTAACACATCCTCTAAACACTCCACTCCCTGTGAGCAAACTCATGGGTGGAACATGTAGGTGGACTTATGGGTGGGCCTTATGGGCATACTCACTGTCAGGCCCTGGGTCCCAGACCTTGAGCTGTGTAAAGGGCCCCCAAAAATGGAGCTGCTTCCCGTTCTCACAGAACATTGTTTTTGTGACCACAGTTACAAACAGCCTCCAGAGAGCATGTTCTACACCAGACCAGTGGAGCCAGACTGCAGCCAGAGCCCATCATCATCATCATCATGTTGTAAGTAGGCAATCTAGTATTCGTTTCACTAATTAACCTCACATTAAAGGGACACTATAGTCCCCAGAACCACTGCAGCTCAATGTACTGGTTCTGGTGTCTATACCCTATCCCTGCAGGCTTTTTGCCAGGAGAGGTATCTGGATGGGATCTGGTGTTCCAGCACATCCCACAGGTGCTCAATCAGATTGATATCTGGGGAATTTGGAGGCCAAGGCAATACCTTGAATTCTTTACAGTAATATGTTTCTCAAATAATGAGTAAATTTGAATAAATTTTGCAGTGTGGCAGCGTGCTTTATCCTACTGAAAGAGGCCACTGCCATCAGGAAATATCATTGCCATGAATGGGGTGAATGTGGTCTGCAACAATCTCTAGGTAGTTAGTACATGTTAAGGTAACATCCACATAAATGCCAGGACCCAAGGTTTCCCAGCAGAACACTGCCCAGAGCATAACACTACCTCTGCCAGCCTGGCCTTTTCTCATAGTGCATCTTGCTGCCATGTAAACAATGCACACGAACATGGCCATTCACCTGATCTAAAAGAAAATGTGATTCATCAGACCAGGCAACCTCAATCCATTGCTCCATGGTCCAGATCTGACACTCACGTTCCCATTATAGGTGCTTACTGCGGTGAACAAGGGTCATCATGGACTCTCTGGCTGGTCTGTGGCTATGCAGCCCCATACACTGCAAACTGCAATACACTGTGTGTTCTGACTCCTTTCTACCATGGCCATCATTAAGTTGTTCAGCAATTTGAGCTACAGTAGTTCTTCTGTGTGATCAGACCAGACGAGCTAGCGTTCGCTCCCCACGTGCATCAATGAGCTTTGGGTGCATTAACCGGACACTGGTTATCCTTCCTTGCACCACTTTTAGTATGTATTTACAACTGCATACTGGGAACACCCCATAAGACTTGTCATTTTGGAGATGCTCTGACCCAGTCATCTACCCATCACTATATAACTATTTGGCCCTTGTCCTTCCGATCTTTTCGCTTGCCTATTTTTTTCTGCTTCCACCACATGAAATTCAAAAACTGACCGTTCACTTGCTGCCTAATATATCCCACCCCTTGACAGATAACATTGTAACAATATAATCAATGCTATTTGCTTAACCTGACGGTGTGTTTTAATGTTGTGGCTGATCAGAACAGAACACACACAAAATTCAGTTTTGAATGAACAAGAAATAATCCACCGATCACCACCATGCAGTCTGGAGGCATCGATCTTGTCAGAACCAGGACACACATGATTCTGATTATTGAGAGCAAGATCAGATCAAAGAACTGGATATGTTTAAAAGAAGATTGGGCTTAATTCCTGGGTGCCCCTGCAAAGTGTCTCACAAGTAGGGCCAATCTACAGTCACCTAGTTTACTCCAAGTACTCTGCCATCTCGGATGTATGTTTGCTGGTAAGATAGTAGATAATAGGAAGGCAATATGATAGAGCAGCAGGAAATGCTAGCAGAATGCTTGGTTGTATAGGGAGAGGTATTAGCAGTAGAAAGAGGGAAGTGCTCATGCCATTGTACAGAACACTGGTGAGACCTCACTTGGAGAATTGTATACAGTACTGGAGACCGTATCTTCAGAAGGATATTGATATACTTGATATTGTTAAAGGGACACTATAGTCACCTGAACAACTTTAGCTTAATGAAGCAGTTTTGGTGTATAGAACATGCCCCTGCAGCCTCACTGCTCAATCCTCTGCCATTTAGGAGTTAAATCCCTTTGTTTATGAACCCTAGTCACACCTCCCTGCATGTGACTTGCACAGCCTTCCATAAACACTTCCTGTAAAGAGAGCCCTATTTAGGCTTTCTTTATTGCAAGTTCTGTTTAATTAAGATTTTCTTATCCCCTGCTATGTTAATAGCTTGCTAGACCCTGCAAGAGCCTCCTGTATGTGATTAAAGTTCAATTTAGAGATTGAGATACAATTATTTAAGGTAAATTACATCTGTTTGAAAGTGAAACCAGTTTTTATTTTCATGCAGGCTCTGTCAATCATAGCCAGGGGAAGTGTGGCTAGGGCTGAATAAACAGAAACAACGTGATTTAACTCCTAAATGACAGTGAATTGAGCAGTGAAATTGCAGGGGAATGAACTATACACTAAAACAGCTTTATTTAGCTAAAGTAATTTAGGTGACTATAGTGTTCCTTTAAGAGGACTTACAGGATGAAACTTACAAGGAAAGGCTAAAGGATCTTAACATGTATAGCTTGGAAGAGCTCACTTTTCAGTGAGCTAAACCTTGCACTGCCTGACTTGGCTCAGAGGAACAGCTTCCAGAAGATGCGGAAAGTGGCACCCAGGTTAGTATTCAACCCGTTACTAAATAGTTACTTTTCGGGGGTGAAAGAACACTAAGCAGTGGTCATGGTGTCTGGCATGTTATTTTAAGCGCTATGGTGCTTATGATACTTAGATTGACTGTTTAAGTATATATAGGGTCTTCTTTTCCTGTGTAAATCAATATGTGCATGCTTGGAAAAGCTTTTCAGAGGTCCATACCCATGTAGCAAGTATAAATAATTAGCCCCTATGACAGGTCAAGTTGTATAGCTATAGTGAATAATTGACAACATTTGGGTGTGTGGTTCTAGTGGAGACATCGAGCAATGCTCAGATAAGCTGAAAACAGGTAGAACAGCTGAATAGCACTGACTGTATGAGGAAAGGCCACTCCTAAATCTATTCAATTCAGATTTTCCATTTAAATCCGGATGCTGAACTGACAGCTACGAAGTGGTTGTATAGGTGGGAACTGTTCTTAAAATTGTATCTTACAGATCTTACTCTTTAAAACGTGCCAAATTCTGCTTACTTTACCATTGGTGCAATTCAAAACAAAACCGCTTGTTAATTTAAACCCGCCCAGTAATCAAACCAAGGATAAGATGTCAAACCCAATCTCCAAGGTTATCACAAACAGTTCAGCTGACACAATCATAGCTGCAGATATCCTGTTCGTGCTCTTAATAACAGATACAAAATAACCTTTAGTGTCTTTCTTGCAATATGGGCCCTCCCCATAACAGAGGTGATCTTTTCTGTACTATAAAAAGGAACAGCTATCACCAGTACAGATACTTCTCAGCTGACAATCTCACCATCTTCATTCAAATGTCACCTCTGATTATTTGAACACAATTAGGAGTCACTCCTTTCAAATTACGTCAAAATGCATAGCTGTCATTAACTTTCTGGGAAGGTGGGTTTTGTAGCAGGCTTAAATAAATTGAGAAAATACCTGTCGAAGTGACGGAATGTAAAACAAACAGACAGATAAGACACAACCACAAAATACAGTCAACTTGTCTGAGTCACATCTTTTATATTATTTGATCATTGTGCTGTCAGATGATGAAGTGTCACATGGAATTTACAAACAAATCTAATTAGAGCTCAGTCTGAAGCAATCTTGGTCTACAATCAGATATTAAATGCTAGAATTCTTGCTAATTTGAAATCTTGCGGAGAGGGAATACTGATAAGATCTAATTGTAGATATGTTAGCTTAAAAAGAAGCATATGTCTCTATTTTATACGAGTATCGAGAAGAGAAACAATCTTTTTATCCATTCTCTGTGCCGCAGAGGTAGGCAACATTCGGCACTCCAGATGAGACCATTTCTCCTATAATGCTCTTACAGCCATAATGTTGACAAAGTATCAAGGGAGATATGGTCAACAACACCTGGAGTGCTGAAGGTTGCCGACCCTAGATCTAAGGTTTGGTTAGACTTAACCATATTTGGTTTAACTTCACATTATGGGAAGGGATCAGATGTCCGCTATATTGGGTCACATGTAAAACGTGTTACAGATGTATGGAATGGAGAAATTATAACACATTCCTAGATGCAATTATTATTTCTGTGGCAAGTACACAAGAGGAGATAGAACCAAATGTTTCCATTTGGATTGATGTTGGTCTGGAACACAAGGAGGTGGTCACGTATTGTCTCTATAGATACGCCTTAACTCCACCTCTAGGCCAGGACTGGTAATCCACGGGGTATATATCCAATGATACTGAGGGGTGTATTTGTACTTACTTGCCAGAATCTAGGTCTAAGTGAGTCACCATCTTTCTTACCAGAGACCCCCTGGGGCAGAAGTTATACTTTGAAAAAACTTGAGTAAGTGATTAGGACTTCTGTTATTTTATCCCTTTTGTTTTTATCTGTTGTTGGTGTAACTAATTTTATTGTCATTTATATTTTTGTATGCACTGTGACTATTTTTTGTTAATAATAAATATTAATTTATTAAGTATTGTCTTTGTCTGGTTAAGAATCACATTATCTCAAGAGACTAATTAATGTTTTACAATTGCTTAGATATTGTTGTATTTGGTGGGTTTTTATTATGTTACCTGGGGGACCAAGGCACCCCATTTATAAATTGTCTTGCTGGTGGCAGCGTAAAAATAGTAATATTTATATTATGCATAAGTGTGGGTGGTATTAAGTGGGATTTTATCATTTCCGGTCTAGTGCAGTAATAGTAACTTTTAACCCTTTTACCATCACAATGTCACGCACACTCTTGAAGTAGGGTGCGTTCATGACATGAAGGAAAGCAGCAGAACTGGAAGGCTGGGGGGTGGGGCCAGACTGACATGTTAACTGGTCGCATGCAGGAGAGGCTCCGGAGCAATCTGGCCTCTTAAACTCAGAGGCAGACTCTGCCCATAAAACGACCCTGAGATCAGGAGTTTTGGACCCCCTGGGAGAAGCACAAGCTTCGGGGGCTGCGGCCTACTTGGGAGGGGAGCGAGGTGGATGGCCGCTGCCATGCCTCCCTTCCCGGCTAAGACACACGCCGACTGCCTGAGTCGCTTGCCGGCTCTGTTCCCCCCCCCCATTGAGCCGGCCAGGTCATCTGGGTCCCCACTGAGGAGAGCCCGAGATGGGAGGAGATTGAGCCACACGGAACACTGAAGGCCTACCTCACACGTTGGCGGCGGCTCACGGCTCTTCACAACATGCACCTGCACCATGGAGCCCCTATGAGCTGCAATCACGCCACCCGTCCCGACGGAGGGCCCCAAAGCAAGTCGACAGACGAATCCATCAACCACCCCTGCCTGAGAGAGAGAGGGAGCATGTGAGTCGTTAGACCCGCTGTCCACAGCTGAGAGATGAGCCCAGACTGTCACGTGGAGCAGCAAAGCAGACATGCGCAACCATCTACACGCAGGCCAAGCATTGAACTCGCCTGGCTACCGGGCCTGACAGGAGAGGGTCTGCTGCACACAGATATGTACCTGTGACAACCAAAAGAACCTGAGGGTCCCCACTACTCCTACGTAATGCCGAACTGCTATGTTACCTGCTCAGTATCTAAGAAGGCCATACACCTCATGCAAGCATAGAGACACTCACTGCCCTACAGACCCTATAAGAAACAGCAGCTTCACGGCTATCACTTGCCGCCTAAGACCTAATGTGCTCTGAAACATACCGCAGCCATTTTGTTCTCTCCAACCGTTTCTCTCCACCTAACCTCTCACAGAGACTCGTAATATTATAAGGGCCAGCTTAGCTTCAGTGGTTAAGCTAAACCAGTAATAGCTTGTTTTGCATGTTTTCTAATTGTCTAATCTGCACAGTAGACCCAGAGGATTTATCGCACTCTGCAGCATGTGCCCAGAGCTTATTCACGTTAGGATTTCCGTGTAGGCTTTTATAGTAATTCTACCGCTACCTGTGCACACTATACCTACACCTACTCGCTCAGGAACATCACGTACGTTTCTCTACTCTTGATAACTACACTACTCATCTATAGAATGTGTCTGATAGGGTAAGCCTGTTACCCAAAACACAAAATGCACAATTATCTATGCCACTGTTTAGCCTGTTTATATACACATGTACGCTGTTGTGGCGTTTGTCGATGTTTTTGTAATTACCTGCGCAACAAAAATAAAGAATTTAAAAAAAAATAAAAATTGGAAGGCTGAGAGAATGGGTGGGCTTTAGTGCCTCTGATCATGCTGGAAGCAAAGAGCTTTACTGTACTTCTGGTAAGTGTAATCTGGTACTTCAACTCCTTCAATCCTGATTATCATCCATCTTTTTGCCATTATTTGTCCTACTTCGGGACTCTCAGATACTACGGGACACTCTTCAAACTACAGCTACCACACACAGTTTAGACAATAGTCCCCACACATATGTGGGGTACTTTATGCAAGTCTCAGAAAAGTGTTGATTTTAATTCAATTTGATTTATTAATTTTTTTTGTTTTACACACTAGTGTTTTTGGGTGTTGACTCTCACCAGTTTTTATATATTAGAAATTTATCATTAACAGTTTAATATTCACGCATTAAAGTTGCACATTAAGTTCTCTACTGTACCTTTACTGTTTCCCACAACTAGTAGGGTATTCCACTCCATAGGATACTCTACCAATATCCTTTCTCTCCTGTTCCCCTCACCCATTTGAGTATATCATTTTACTTTTATAGAATGCTAACAATGAATATAATGTTATTGACAGACAGGATGGTGCATCTTGGGAGTGTTGGGAGACAAGTTGAAGTGCTTTAGAGACTTGAAGTTATCCTTCAATATGTGTGGAAAAGAATTCCTTTACAAGCTATATGTCATTTTATTTTCTTACAATTTACTAATACCTTTACATTATGTTAGTGTTGTCAGATAACACAAGCTCTACTTGTTTCGATGAAACATGCTCTTCTGGCTAGAATACTGAACAACATCCAAATATATTATATTCTCTCCCTGTAACAACAGGCTGTTGCTTTCAGATATTTGCTCTTTTTCCTAGTTTCTATTACTTTTTTTCCCCTCCAGAAATGCTTTTACTTCCTGTGCCCTACCCATATATGCCTCATCACCAAGAAAACGAAACTAAGTTGATCACATATACTGAACACATTATGATCCCTGACTACAAACATTGCTTAGAGATTAATCCACGCATTATATGATCAACTGTTAGACATAAGCATTTATCTCTGGATGCCAGTGTTTCTTTTCACTCTGCAAAGAAGACATTGGAGTGGCAACAATACCTGCACTACTGTTGATTGTGATATTTGGTTTATGAAAATTAGCCTGGGACAGCTCTTCACTTTTCAAGCTGAAAGGTAAGTTGATACAGCAATATAGATGTGAGCATGATTGGGGATGTGTTAATTTGACAATGTTATTTACTGGGGTTTTTTTTGGTGTTTGAATACATTTGGATTGTTTATAAAGGGTTATTCTGTCCTTAAAAAAAGTAAAGCAATTCTCATGGGAAACAAGAGAATATTAATGCTGATTCCTCCACTTTAAGAACCTTGCGGTAGTGCTCTTAATACGCATTCCATTTGTTTTTGGATATATAGAATGTACAAAACTTTGTCAGTATCCTGAATGTTGCATGTATATTAAATGTATGATCATGTCTGGGTAGAAAAGACTGCAACATGCCTTTTAAAAAGGTTAAAAAAATCTAAATAGGGGGGGCGGAGCTAGCGGCGCAACGGAGAGGGCGCCATTTCCAGCAGCTCTAATATCGAAGAGCAGAAAAACGACCAAAAAACGCAAAAATAATTTTCACCCGGAAAATCGAGCGGCGGGAACATATTCCCGACAACATTCCGATTCCACAGATGCCATTTATGCAAAAATCGGGCACAAAACGCCGCGCTAAAGGTACTGGGGCCTACCACACACACGAGCAGACCCTGAACAGGGAATTAACATCGTGGCTCGGGACGAGCTTATACTCTGCCGACGCAGACTTTTACCCTCAGGAAGAAATGGGACGGAGGTCCCAAAAAGCAGCCCAGAACAACGTCTTACCGCACAGGGACATAAGCAGCATGCTGCAGACTCCCAAGCAACAGCGGACTCGAACTGCCACGGCAGCCTCACCTGAACGATCAGAGAATGGTGACTCTACATACAGCACAGACCAGGCCGCCACAGTTAACGCAACCATGCAACTCGCCGAAGAGTTAACCCCGGCCACAAAACATTCAGATCATGCTGACTGGCCTCCAAAGAAATCTCCAACTTATGTGGCAGGCTGACCTAAAAGGACTCGCAACAGAAGTACAAGCGGTGTCGGCCCGCACACAGGCTGCAGAACAAGAGGTAAGAGATCTGCGCCAGGACCTCACCTCCCTAAAAGACACTGTCACTCAGCTGCAAAAGGCACAAGCCAATGTCAACAGACAAATAAATGTACTAGAGGACAGGGGCAAAAGAAAGAACATCAAAATACGAGGTGTACCTGAAGAGGTACCGCTGGAAGAATTGCCCCACTACATAAGGCGCTTGGTGGCCTCTCTCCTTCCAAATAAACATGCAAAACATCTTACATTCGATGGCGTATACCGCATCGCTAAACCTCGACTAGCACCACAAGCAGCCCCTAGAGACGTAATCCTGAGATGCCAATCCCTCACGGATAAAATCGCTCTGATGACGGCAGTCAAAGGGAAATCGCCACATGACTTTGAAACTCACCAACTAACATTCTTCCAGGACTTAAGCAGAGAAACCTTATTGTGGCGAAAGAGCCTGCAGCCAGTTACGTCGACCCTGCAAACAGCAGGCATTGCATACCGATGGGCGACTCCAAGAACACTATGGGTGACCAAAGGTGACAACCACTACAAGATCTCCTCCCTGGGAGAAGCTCCAGCTCTGATGGCTACACTGGGAATACCCAGGGACTCTACGGACATTCCTGCGGAACACCCTGAGACTGTACCTTGAAACCGGTGGCGTTTATACGCCCTGATTTGAGTTAACATGTCTTTAGTTTAGATCGCATTCTTGTTGTTATACCTGTTAATACAAACAGCATAGACCTAACCTTGATGGTCCACTAAGGCCAATACGCCCTAAAAACATGGTGAATGCCCGCACAGAGGTTATAGACCTCTCCCCCCCCCCCAATGCCCTGGGGTTAAAGGGCATAGAAACCCACGGAGCATCTATCCTAGTTACAAGATCAGCTCCAAGGCATATTGAAAACCCCTTCTCAGCAGACAAACCAAATTAAGACCAGGAGTTATATAAATAACTAAGCTCAATATGACTCGATTACACAACGACGAACCATGGATACCCGGGCCCTATTTTAACGCCAACCTAACACACTTAATAGCCACGCAAGGGACCGGGAACCCATAAGCTAATCTTAAGTGCCAGTGTTAAATTATAACCAACCGCCCCTATCAGCGGCACAGACAAATATATGCGCTATGACCAACCAGCCCAAATATCCCAAAAAGTGCAGAACACACTTTAGCCCAACTCACACGTTAAAGCGGCATACTTGTATATATATATATATACACACACGTTTATATTGCATTATACAATAGAACAAGTTAAATGGTTTGAATATAAATATCTGTGCAATTCGAGTTAAAGCCATCAATACTGTGAAGATGTACAAAAATGATATTATTATGCCTGCATAAGCTGTTGGGGCTATGGAGGCTGTATTGTCGGATACTGCACAATGAAAAATAAAGAATTATAAAAAAAAAAAAAAAAAAAAAAATCTAAATAGTGCTAAGCCAATGCTTAGCAGGAAGCGTCTCAAATATCTACTGTCTTACAGCCAGTCACAGGGTCCGTTTTTATCTGTGAGGCTCTAGTTCAGTAATGGCGAACCGGTGGCACGCCGGGCCCTCTCTGTTAGCACGCGCCATAGGTCGCCGAGAGAGGGGGCCGCTGGCTGTCTGCAGAGTAGGCACCTGCCTGCCCGAAACGGCAGGTGCCTACTCTGCTTCCGTGTCGGGAGGGCTCTAGGAAGCAGCTCTCCTGTCCTCCCGCGCGATGCTGTGTGGAGCATTGCCGCACATTACCATGGCAATGCTCCACACAGCATCGCGCGGAAGGACACGAGAGTTGCTTCCTAGCTGCCAGAAACATACTTACCACCGGACCACCAATGATGACTGTCGAGCCCTCCCCCTCCTTCACCAAAGGTAAGAGGAAGGGAGGGGATACAGAATTAATATATCTTTTTTTTTTTAATGTTATTTTTACCCCTACCCCCCACAACACAGCACCCCTACCACCCACAGCACAGCACCCCTCCCCCCAACACAGCACAGCACCCCTACCCCCACACAGCACCCCTACCCCCACACAGCACCCCTATCCCCAACACAGCACAGCACCCCTATCCCCACAGAACCCCTACCACCTATAGCACAGCACCCCTACCACCCATAGCACAGCACCCCTAGCCCACAGCACAGCACAGAACCCCTACCCCCACAGCACAGCACAGCACAGAATCCCTACCCCCACAGCACAGCACCCCTACCCCCACACGGCACCCCTACCCCCACACACGGCAACCCTATCCCCACAGAATAGCACCCCTAACCCCACACAGCACAGCACCCCTACCCGCCCACACACAGCAATCCTACCCGCCCACACACACAGCACCCCTACCCCGCCACACACAGCACCCCTACCCCGCACACAGCACCCCTCAGACACATACACAGCACTCCACACCCTTACACACAAACACATACACTGCACCCCTCAATGCAGTGTGTGTGTGTATTCAGAAGTCTGTCTATGTGTGTATTCAGCAGTCTGTGTGTGTGTGTATGTATTCAGCAGATTGTGTGTACTCAGCAGTGTGTCTATTCAGCAGTCTGTGTGTACTCAGCAGTTTGTGTGTGTATTCAGCAGTTTGTGTGTGTGTACTCAGCAGTCTCTGTGTGTGTGTGTGTATGTATTCAGCAGTCTGTGTGTATGTATTCAGCAGACTGTATTTATGTACTCAGCAGTCTGTGTGTGTACTCAGCAGTGTATGTATTCAGCAGACTGTGTGTGTGTACTCAGCAGTGTATGTATTCAGCAGACTGTGTGTGTGTACTCAGCAGTGTATGTATTCAGCAGACTGTGTGTGTGTACTCAGCAGTGTATGTATTCAGCAGACTGTGTGTATGTACTCAGCAGTCTGTGTGTACTCAGCAGTCTGTCTGTATGTGTATTCAGCGGACTGTGTGTGTATTTAGCAGACTGTGTGTGTGTGTGTGTATTTAGCGGACCATGTGTGTGTATTTAGCGGACTGTGTGTTCATGTATTTAGCAGACCGTGTGTGTGTGTATTTAGCGGACTGTGTGTTTATGTATTTAGCGGATGGTGTGTTTATGTATTTAGCAGCCGGTGTGTGAATGTGTTCAGTAGTCTGTGTGTATGTATTGCATTTGTTGGAGATACTAATAAATATAAGCTGAATTTTATCTATTTATATCATTATTTAAAATTTGTATCATTTAACTCTCTGTTGTGTTCTTCTTTTAAAACAAAAGTTGTTAATTAGTTCGGACAACTGTACAAGTTGTTTTTTTTAAACTTAAACCTCAGTATTCAGGTTTAATTGCCGTGATGCCACTTTGAGGAAACAAAAGTTGGCATGTATTGGGCACTCGGGCTCAAAAAGGTTCGCCATCACTGCTCTAGTTAGACCTAACCTGGGTCTTTTCAAAACCTGGGGGTCTCCCTCTAACTGGGGGAACACTGGTTTCCTGTACAACTTATTACTAATGGTACGAGACAGGGCCGCATCCTGTCAACTTTAATTTTTATTTTGGCCTTAGAACCTTTGGTCCAATGCATTAAAAAGGAGCTAGGAATAAAAGGTATCTCAACACCTATAGGGGATCAAAAAGTTGCATTATTTGCAAACAATGTCCTTCTCCTACTGAGCAAACCATCTCAATCACTGCCGAAATTGATGCAAACACTTCACCTACATGGGACGGTTTCATACTACAAAAAAATATGTTTCTAAAACTCAAGCATTATAAATAGGAATCCCACACACGGAGCTACAAACAATTAAACAGTTATTTCAATTTGATTGGAGAGAAACATCTTTTTCATATTTAGGCATTGAACTACCAAAATCCACACATGCCCTAGTGAAGGAAAATCATGTTAAACATTTATATAAAATTGGGACTACATTGTAGCAGTGGTCTGCACTGGAGATGTCAATTCCAATAAGATGCTGATTGTACCTGTTGTTCTGTACTTAGTTTGCACTATGCCCATAATAATTTGCAAAGCCCCTATTACCTCAATTCCAGAAACTTTTCAACACTCGCATATGGAAATGCATACCCCTAGGGCAAGGATAGGCAACCTTCGGCACTCCGGATGTTGTGGACTACATCCCCTATAATGCTCTTACACCCATAGTGCTGGCAAAGCATCATGGGAGGTGTAGTCCAAAACATCTGGAGTGCTGAAGGTTGCCTATGCCTGCCCTACTGTGTCGAGAACATCAATGGGACTGCTAGTGAGAGAGGGTGGTTTAGGTGTACCAGATTTACTAAGATATTACCATGCTACAATATTGACACAGAGACTCACAATCCTAGACACAGTGGGGGAAAAATGCAGTGCTTCATTGAGTTTGAGTGTGAAGTGAGGCCTGAAGAACAGAGAAGGAGATTGAACAGTTATATGTAAGTATTTACAGCTAGGAGGAGGGGCGGGGGGGGTAGAGTAGCCATATGTTATATACTATTGAAACGTTTAGCAATCACATTCTGTCACCCAAAATATTAATAACTGTGTACATGAAATATTGATCAGAAACATTAAATGACAGTAGTACAAAATGCACACAGAAAATTACAGTGGCAAAATTCAGGTATAAATGGTAACAAATCTATAGTAACACATGATAATATGGTAGCAATCAAAGAATAAATGAGGTGGGGTATTTCCAAGATTCAGTCAGTACCTGAGAGTGGTAGGATTTTCTGCAGGATGTTAAATGTAGTGCTTCACTGAGTTTGAGCGTGAAGTGAGGCCTGAGAGTGGTAGGATTTTCTGCAGGATGTTAAATGCAGTTCTTCATTGATTTTGAGTGTTACCAAATATCCTAGGAAGGCAGAAAGAATAATAATGCGTGTGCTGGTGGCTGCTAAAAGTAATATAGTTGTAAGAAGTAAGTCCCTTCATCTGACCTCCATAAGTGCAAATTTACATAAATTTTATTCTAAGGTATCCCTGGACATAAAAGTATAACAGTTACAGGAGAACAGTTCCTCAGATTGGCCAGACCTTTCCCCACTACAGCATCCACCCCTTTCTCTTTGACTATCAAGGGACCACTTTGACCTCCACAGCACTTGCCCTCCTCTTATTGGACTGGAAGGTAGCATCCCCCCTACCTTGACGGCACCTGAATATATTCAAGTGATTGAGCTATCCTAAATATATTTAAACTATCACCATGTTAAAGAGAGAGGGGGGGGAGGGGGGGAGGCAGTAGAACATAGAGACTAAAACAAAGAGCATTATGCCTGCAATGCCTTATCTATACAAATATAAGCAGATATTTGAAATTTACCCTGCAAAGAAAATATTGGCTTTCCTGCAGAACGGCAATGTTTTCAACTGCAGTGTTAAAACAGAGGACACATGGCACCCAGAACATTTAATTAGATTACGTTGTCTAGGCACCTATAATGTTTCTTTAAAGTAAGAAGGGTCCAGGGTTTCTTTTTAGGATAATGATGACCAGGAAGTTGTCTGTCAACATCATTATTTTTAAGGTATCCCAAAAACTTTACAGTCTCAAATAGGAAGGAAAAAGCATAGCAAACAAGCAGTTTAAGCCGCCCGCCAAAAGCAAAACTCTACCCAAAGCAATGGAGAAGGGGTACAGTGCAGCCCTTCAGTCCAGCACCACACTTCCGTCACATGGTAGGGGGGAGACACCTACTCTCTCTTAGACACCTGGAGTCTACTAGGAATATATAATATATCAAATGGTTGCTTTCATAATCAGCTGTCTAATTAAAAACCTGCTGCCTCTCTACTACCTGTAAAGAGAATTGGGATATCAGCCCTGATGCATCCCTTGATATAAGCGATTGTGTACATCAGTAAACAAAAAAACAAAGGAAGAATGCAGCTTGTGTCGCACTAGTTGGGAGCTAACTCTAAATTAGTTGTGTAGAAAGCCTTGTTGAGTATTGAACGTTTCCAGCAGATCCCAAACAATTTTATTATAAACACCTGGAACTTTGCAACCCAAATTATTTATCTAGAAGTTATCTTTTACTTTTTCTTCCTTCTATTAGTTATTGAAAAGAAATGAACATTTTTATATAACTTAAACAAATTGTTTCATTCCACAGATTGTTCACACTGAACATCAAGCTAAGTGAAGAATGGGTAAGTGGCACATTCTGTAATTAAAATCTGCAGTTAAGACACTTAGCACTAATAGTGAAGTACTAATTCTATAGCATATTTATTTTTCAATTATTTTCTCAATAAACAGATTATAAACAGATTCCCGTGGACGACTGGACTGAAATGCATGTGTGCGAATGGTTGAAATCAATTAGACTAAAAGAAGAATATATTTCGAAACTCAGTGAGGAGGAAGTAACCGGTCCAGTCCTGAAAAAAATCCAAGAGAATGATTTAAAAGAAATGGGCATGAAAAGAGGGCAAGTAAAATTATTAATAATTAGTAGAAATGAACTTCTTGAACAAATACAACAGGAAAGGTCACCAAGCAAAAATAAAAAACACGGAAGCACCACTAACAAAACGTCTACAGAAAGAGCTCCAGAGGAAATGGAAAAAAAATGTAGTGCAAATTCTCACCCATCCACACACAAGACCAAACGGTCATTGAAAACAAGCCCTTTCCGGCCCTTTGATGAAGTTGGGAATTTTAGATATGTGAAAAACCAGGTACTACCACCAGAAACTGGTATAATAGACCTCATTTCACCATGTCATGAGTACAAATCATTAGCTAATGCTGTAACATTAGATAAAAAACTACTACAGACAAAGTTTACTTCTGAGGTCGTCCGATTTGCTGCTGCATGCTTGAATGTGAGAACAAATGGAACCATACACTTTGGTATTATGGACAGTGTGGAAGACAAGGGATATAAACATGGACAGATAGTAGGCCTTCCGATCCAAGAGAAAGAGTTATACTCCGATGCACTAAATAATTTAAAAGAATGCTTCCCAGAGCCCTATGAGTACGCGGCAGCCAGACTATGCATCCGACCGCCACAATTTGTTGAGGTTATTGATAAAGACTCCGACGAAAAACTATTTGTGGTGGAAGTTGACATTGTGCCTTTATCATGCAGTGTAAAAGGGAAAAAATTTCAAGTGCGATTGCCCAAGTACAACAACAATAAAACTAATTATGGCAAGCTAACAATTTATGAAAGAAATGGAACAAAGACAGAACCAGTTAAAATAGAAGAGGAGTTAAATGCATTTGAACAAAGGCAAAGAGAAGCTGATATCAGGAGAGAAAAGGCTGATTCGCTCGATTCTTTTGAAATGGAAAGTTACGAAGACTTAGGAAGAAAGCTTTCGGTGCTGCTAACTAAAGGGAAGCAATACTTTGATGACACTCAGTGGTATGTCGTAGTCTCCAACAAATGTGAAGAACAAGATTTAGAACATTTGAAGTTTCTAAAGGACATTAATATATTGTGTGTTTTTGAATTTGATCCAGAATCTGACAGTAAAGGTCTATGTTCAAGGTACAAGGAGTACCACGCAACAAATATTTACTCACTGGAAAGCTACTCTAGTGAATGTGGAAAGACAAAAGATGAGATTGTAAAAAACCTATGTTTGTTCAAACAAACATGCTGGATATTTTGCAATGGACGCACAAACTTCCTCGGAGATGACCAGCCATGTGATGAACATACATGGATCCGTAATAAAGGGAGATACTTTAAAAGGGCGGTTTCTTTGATCTGTGATGAAATAATTAAAAGGGGCTGCTTCACTGTCCTCTTTCTGTTATTGTCTTCAGTGGAAAAGCCAATCGTTGAGGCTTTTAATGAATTTTACAGAGAAATGAGTGGCCTGGAATACATCACTTGCATTGCTGAAAATAAAGACCACTACGAGCACTGGACCACTCTGGCACAGAATTCCTGTACCAGGGAAGAACTTGATCAGAGGAGTATTGTTGGTATGAAGCTAAGCCATGTTGCTACAACGGTTCAAAAAATGCTACCAACAACAGATTACCTTAGAAACCTCCCAGTCTTCACAGGAGGGTTCTGTATTCTAACCGTACCTGAAGAAGAAAGGATGCATTCACTTAATATACTTTGTGTGAATGAATGTAGTAACATAAATCAGGAAAAAATTGACAAAAAAGAATTACATGAATTTGAAAGTTTTTTTTATCGTGGTGGGAAGATTAGCTGGAAACATTTCTGGCTTGCTGAACAGAAGAAATGTGGGCAAATTATAGAAAGACACGGATGCACAGAAGTGGAAGATATATTAAATAATATTTTAAACAAAAACACTGTAAAGCTTCCTGTTGCTCGAATCAAGATTGTTCATCAACCCGGAAGTGGAGGGAGTACAGTTGGTCGTCATATTCTTTGGAAAAACAAAAAACATTTAAGATGTGCCATAGTAAATGCATCTTACCCAGTTACAACAGTATGCGAGCACACGGTTAAATTAAGAGAGTATGAGGAAAAAGACATAAAACAGTGTTTACCAGTTCTTCTCCTCTTAGAGGACTGTGAGGAAGAATATATAGATGATTTGAAGCATTACTTAGGGGAAGCCACGAGAAACAACACAAACAATTCAAAGCCTAGCTTTATACTTCTGAGTTGCAATCGATCAAATGCACCGCTACGGCTTTGCACAAACTCTACACACGACACAGTTGCAATCACACACAAACTAAACCCAGAGGAGAAACGGCTATTTAAAGCGAAAGCAGATGAGCTCTCTGAGTCTTTCTCGTCAGACCTCATCATTAGTTTTGTGTTAATGAGTAATGAATTTGAAAAAAAATACCTGAAGGATTTTGTTGAGAATGCAATGCGGGAAATTGACCACTCATCCACAGAAACACGATTACTCAGATATGTTGCCTTACTAAATCATTATGTCCATAATTCATATATTTCACTTTCACACTGTGAAGCCTTCCTTGGAATTAAACCATATTTAGAGAAAGAGGAAGATAAACTGAGTCATTGTAATTTTATAAATACTTTAAGTGACCCGGTAAAACTCATGCTAATTGAATTGAGAGAAGATACTTTTTGGACCTCCAACATTCGTATTTTGCACCCCTTAATTGCGGAGGAACTATTAGTCCAGTTATCAAACAACTATCCTCAGAGCAAAATTGCAATGGACCTTCTTAAGGAAGAATCACTACTCCATCACAAATTTGGACGAGAAGAATTTGTAACTTTTATCAGACACTTGTTTTTAAGACGTCACAAAAAAAGCAGAGGTGACAATGTAGACACGTTCTTTTCACCATTTATTGAACATGTTTGTAAAAGGGAAAAGGCAGTAGAGATGGCAATTAAGCTCTTAGAAGCAGCTTACATAAGATTTGATAATGATGCTTTTTTTGCACAACAACTAGCAAGATTGCATTATAAAAATGAGAGATTTGAAGATGCCAAAAAATGGGCAGAAACTGCTAAATCCCACTCTCCACATGACTCATTTATATTGGATACCGAAGGCCAAGTATATAAAAAGTGGTTCAATGTAAATAAGGAGCAGTACTTAAAAGACATTCATTCTATAGATATAATTAGCGTGATAGAAAGGGGGCTTAAATCGATGGAATGTTTTAAGGCCGCACAAAAAGCTGCAAAAGCAGAGACTGACACCATGAATAATGCAGGGTTTTTTGGTGAAATAGATGTAGGATGTAGTTTGCTATATCTGCTTTCAAAATTGGATTTTTTTTCTCAAAATGATGGAAAAAACACAGAACTTTTAAAATATCTTTTAACAAAATACACACCTGCTGATCTAGAAACACCATGGTCAAGGATTCATGGGAGATTAAAAGGGTTATACCAAAACATCTATGATGCCCTGGAATGGCTTTCTGATGAAGTGGGTTACTTTCAAATAGATAAAATTGACGATGGGGAGGCAGGTCCCCGGGGGGAGGATAAGACCAATAATCCCAGAAAATGGGTAAGTGACAAAACTAGAGAATTTGCTAATTATTTCAACTCCCACCTTATAAAAGGTATAGAAAATAGTTTAGTTAGAGAAAAACAATTTGTTAAAAAGATGAGCATTTACCAACTGGGAGGAGGCAGCACAACAGCAATACTTTTTCTACTGTCAGATTCACCAAAAGATGAAAAACAAGCAAGGCTTGAAGCTATTCTACAATGTTATGGACCAAATGTTTGCCAGGAATCACTGGATAACATTGATCTAATAAATTACATAATGTGTCATATCGCATTAGGGAGTGTGAGCACTGAATCTACAAAACTTTTACCATTTAAAAAGCTGCGTGACATGAGTAAGAGATTTCTGAAAGACAGGACTCAATTTCCTCCCAGTGCCTACCTAATCGTTTTTATGATTTACTGGCCAGATGACAAATTTGATGAAGAGCACAATGACAACATTTTAACTAGTGCAGTTAAAACTGCAAAGTATTTACATGAACTGCGACTTAAAAATGTTCCAGTAAGAAAAAAAAGAACAAATGTGCTTTTTTTTCTGGGGAAAGGATATGGATATCAAAAAGTCATACACAGAAGTACCATTGAGAAGCTGATTGAAATGGCCTTTAAATGAGCGGTCATTCAGGTGGGATACTGACCCCAAAAACATCAAAATGCAGAATCTGCTGCAAAAAGTATCTGGTTGGACAGAAAATGGAAAACTTTACACAAAGAGAAAGTGTTGCAAAGAGAAAATTGAAGTTCTGCCTTTAAATTTTGCATCAGTGCCCAATGGCAACGAGAATGTCACATTCTATGTGGGATTTACATACATTGGCTTTGTTGCTTATAATGTACAAGTAAGTGGGTAAAATCCACAGGCATTTTTTTTATTTAAAAGAAGGAAGATAAAGACATTTTTAGACACAGTTCAATAATCATAATGTTAAGCTATGCGCTCTTTATTCTTCTCTCTCATAATTTTCACCCCCATCCCAACCTCCTTTTTTAATGTATGTACTCATTATAAAGTCTAAATTTAAAAAAAGAACATGGTGAATGGTGGCTCATCTCATTACTGTACACACATCTGAAACTCTGTTAAAAAAAAAACAACAACAAAAAAAACACACATTAACTATCCAGTCCACCCTGATCAGACCAGTTTGATAACTAATATGAAAATCAGATACAAAGTGTTGTCAATGCCAGAGAAGTTGGAATGAACCTTAAGCCATTATTGTTATCTAAAATGTTAAATGGACACTTCAGATCCCTCTAGTACTTTATCTTGCCGAGTTGCTTTATGTGTGAAGCATGTGTCCTGTTTTCATTTTACAAAAAGTGCAGATTTTAATAGAAATTCACACTTTTATAAATTACTTTGTTACATCGTCCTGGCTACCAATCAGACAACAGGCCTTCTTACTTCCTGGTTTGGTTAGCTCAGTAAAACTAAACTAAGGAGACTGCAATTGCCCAGAGCATCTGCCTTGCAAAGACTTCTAATTAAGCTGCATTGAGAAGTCTGTGATTGGACAGCCACAAAAAGTCTGGCGGGGTTAGAAGGGGAGGGCTTTCAAGTTCTACAGACAAAAGATCTGCAGTTTTTGAAAGCTGTTTTTAAATATAATCCAAAGCATATTGTATGAAATCCCGAGCTTAACCAAAAATAAGTCACCAAGAGCCATTGTTAAGCTACAGCCATATACCTCCAACACTATGAAGTAGGAAATCATGATGGAGGACACGTTAGTGCTGCCACATCTATTACTGATAACCCTTAAATGGGTGGTCCTGCTTGGAAGGGAAGCGTGGCTGTCTCAAAGAAGGGACATATCAGAATGGCATAAATGCACTCCAGTTGACTGACAGCCTCTATGAAACAGCATACAATTGCTTGAAGGAAGAAGAGAACAGAGCTCTTGCAGCAAGCAAATGTCAAAAAGTATGTAGGTGACAAGTTGATATATTTTTCTACACCTTATAGCAGACAATTCAATGAGCTTAAGTCTGTTATAAAAATAAAATTGCCATGGTTAGGAAGCCTAATGAGCCTAGGCCTTATCTTGGCGGTGGTTATTGTTGGGTTGGGGCCTGAACACTTTGGAAAAGGTTCATCTCTTTAGACTACCTGATTTTTTTTAGCCTGCTGGGGATGGGGTGCGTGGGTGGTCTTCCCTTCTTCCACCTGTTATGGGCATATGCAAATATTACAAGTTGTTTGAAAGAACTTTCTTACCTGTGTACTTTGTCTTTAAGAGATTCTGCAAACTGACAATTTGTTAGAAATTGAAAATATTGGTTTTCATACAATGTTTCATTATTAAATGACATCTCACCCATATTCAGTGAATATGATGTTCAGACTTTAGGACGCCATCTTGTCCTAGGTTAGTGTAATTCCCCAAGTCGGGGAATTTCCCATGTCATGAGCACCCTTACGTTTTAGTCAAAACATAGATGTTCCCGTATGAAATGACCAAGTCATGGTCTTGTATCTTTGCCAAGTTAAGGTTGGTCCTAACCCGACCTAACTGAAAATCTAAGGTATAAATATGTGTACGCATTAATATTAGGACACAGAGGAGAGATCTTGGAGACAGAGGCACTGCTCCATTTTATGATTACTGAGCGGTTGACAAATTCAAGAGGGTATGTTATTCTATTTTACTAATATTGCAAGCATTGACTTTAATCTTATAAACTGCTATAAATTATTGTAATGGATTATTAATTTTTTTATGTCTGTATTTATATTTTTATTCTATAAAATATTCAAAAAGACAAAAAAGTATTGCTTCCAAGACAATCCGTATTTTATATTGTATTCTCAATTATTTATATATTTTAAAAAGAGGAACTCTTACTAACTATATAGTATTATGGCTAATATATCTGTACGGTATGCTAAATTCCATGCTTTAAGATGTTACTGTGGTAAATAGGGGAACCAGCTGCGGTTACACCTCCTCCCCTCTATTCCCTTTTAATATGTGGCTTGCCACCGAGGCATAGCTTTCCCTCAATATCACATTTGTATTTCAAATGTTTGTCTTGTATTCTCATATTGAAGTTTGTTTCTCTCTGTTCCTTTTGCCATAACTGCTTCTTTCATCACAATGGAAAGCCTTTGGTAAATAAAGATTGCCAAAAAGAAGGGGAATTTACCAATCCTGTAAGATGATGAGAACTTTGCTCCAATACTAGAAGAAAATGTAAAAAATTTTGGCAAAAAAAAAAAAGGAAATTACTTTGGCTACGTTATTTCCCAGATTGGTTTTGAGTAGTATCAATTACCGAGGAACCTATCAAATAATTTAAATCTATCTGAAAAGAGAAATAATTACACAGTAGGAGGGCCCAAAGGTAAGAGACACCAAGAAATTAAGTTAAGCCCTTAAGGACACAGCTTCAGAAGCGTGATTTACGCTTAATGACACAAGCAATTTTTGCATTTTCTTGCTGTTTGCGTTCAACTGCAATTTGCATCTCTCTCATTTATTGCACCGACTCATATTATATACTGTTTTTTAAAGGACAGAAAGGGCTTTAATTTGATGTAATAAATATATATAAATGCTTATTATTAAAAAAATACAGAAAAAGGCAAAAAAAATGAAAAATTATTTATTTTTTAGTTTTTGCAATAATGTGTGCATAATTAGTGCAGGTTAAGGAAAGTAAATAAAAAAAATTCATTTAGTTGTTCTGATTTACAGAATATATAATGTATTTTGGATTTTAAGTGGGTTTTTTTGGTAGTTACAGGTCACAAAGGAGTAAAATAAACTTTTAATGTGGAGCGATTTTAGAATTTGGTATGTTTGTCTTGTAAGCTTAATAGCCATAAAATAAAACAAAATTGCCACACAAAAGTATATATTTATATAAAGTAAACATCACAGGCTATTTACCTAAGGTTGCTTTGACACTTTCTATGTAGCCATTTCACCGCCAATCTCTGCTAAATATTGGAGTAAAATTGGGTTTTCTTTGGTTTTTGGCACACAAACTTATAACAAAGAACTTCTCATGTGCATTTTGTAAAGTTGGTGTGTGCTATTCCTGTACAAAACTTTATTTTGTGTTCAGTTACATCTGCTGAGTACAACAATACCCCCATTGTATGTCTTTGGCATTATTTCGTGAACCTACAGTGCCACATAGGACACCTGTCCATTTCAGTATTTACAGTACAATTTTGAGAGACGGACTTAATTTGCCTATGCTTCAATTTGGGGCATTATTGCAGTTGGAATGTTCAAAAAAAAAAAAAAGAACAACCATTTCTAAAAGCAGACAGTCCAGGGTATCTCATATGGTGCATATTGTGCCTTAACGTGCCCCCATTTTTTCCCCTAATATATGCCAAAGTAAGTGATAAAAAATAATTTTGGGCATTTTTTACATACAGATTGCATTTTTGCTGGGCATTTTGTATATTTCATATGTGCCACTAAGTTCAAACCCCCCAAATTATGCTCTGCTAAGTCTTCGGAGTAAAATGACATCCCATATGAATGTCTTTGGCACTATTTCGTGTAGCTACAGTGCCATATAGGAGACCTGTCCATTTCAGTATTTACAGTACAATTTTGAGAGACGGATTTATTTGGCCTATGCTTCAATTTGGGGCATTATTGCAGTTGGAATGTTCAAAAAAAAAAAAAAAAAAAAAGGCCTACCATTTCTTAAAGTAGACACCCCAGGGTATTTCAAAAGGTATATTCTAAACCTTAGTGTAGGATCATTTTTTTGTTAGTTTGTACCAAGTTTAGTTGCAATTAGCATTTTTTCTGCCTTTTTGACACACACTTGGAGATGTGCTATCCTTATATGTGCTACGGCAGTATAACACCTAATATGTTGCTCAGCTATGTCATCTTATGTCATCTTAGTGCAACGATACCCCCATGTGTACCTTTCTCAGGGTTATGTGGATGTTGAATGGGCACATTGGAGACACACCACTTCCATATTTTTCAAAAGTGGATGCTGGGCCCAAGTCTCATTTTAGCAGTTGAGGACTGCAAATTACCTCTCAAAGGCCACATATATTTTAAGTATAAGCAGCTCATCAATTCAAATTATGAACAAGTGCATACTATTTGCTGTGAAAAGGGGGAATAGTTGGGGTAAACTTATCCGGGGGTAGTACCCAGTCATCTGCATACCGGGCAAAGCTGTCATGGATTCCGAAATCAAAACACAGACAGACCACAAAGAGAGAGAACACAGAGAGAAACTTGTAATACCGGTCCTTAGAATGGCCGGGCTATACAAGCAGAGAATTGTCAAGGTACAAGCCGAGGTCAAAGGAGTAAAGAGAAACGGAACAACGATAGGACAAGCCGAGGTCAAGGATCAGAGAAGACAGGATAAACGGGAGACAAAGCCAAGATTTGGTAACCAGACAGTTGACTAAAATCACACCCCAAAACATGTCTGCTTATTTGGCCTGGGTGTGGAAAATTTTAAAACAGTGGCCAATACATAGGCCGGGCTGAGAGGGGCAATCAGGGCAGTAATAGCTGGTCTCAACTCTTACGCCCCTCTTGTAACACACCCTGCATCTTTTCTGGGGGGTTTTCTTTCTGGGGGTTGATGGAATCTTGAAGCAGAAGTGACCTACCTCCATTCTTCTGCTTGGCTCCACTGATGGTCCCCCTCTGTGGCACTCAAGTAACCCAGAAATGAGCTGAAATTGAAATGAAAGGAATGTGCATTTCAGCTCAGCATTTGCCTTTTTAAAAATAATAAAGGCATTGTGGACTGCCGTCTGCATTATATATATGCCCACTTTTTTATACCATGCCCGGGTCTTTCACATGATTAAATACGGCTGCATTAGTTGATCGGACAGGTCAACACCCCCCATATGCCGATTATATTGCTGTATGCAGACTGGCACCCGTTTACATTCCTCTCTGCCACAAACTGCGACCATGCGAGTGTTTTCACCATGGATGGTAGTTAGAAATGAAAACCTCCTTTTTATCGCGGTACTTGAGTGCCAGCAGTTCATTCTGGTAGAGAGCTGCTGTTTCCCCCTTTTAAATTTTTTTTTCCGCTAGAGCCTTTGGGAAACCTGTGCAACTCTTCCACGGTCTCAAAGCAGTACAACATTTTTAGAAGTTGGATCCTATTGTATAAATTATCAATATAAAAGTGATATCCCTTGTTTAGTAAAGGAATGATTAAGTCCCAGACAATTTTCTCACTTGTCTCTACTATATCTGGGCAACCTGGGGGGTTAAGGTGGCTATCCCTTCCTTCGTATACACGGAAGGTGTATACGTAGCCACTGCCACTTTCACATAATTTATAAAATTTTATCCCATATCGGGATCTTTTGGATGGAATGTACTGTCTAAATCCCAGTCTTCCCTTATATTTCATGAGGGACTCATCAATTGAAATTTGTTTTTTGGGGGTGTAGATAGTGGCAAATTTTTCATTAAAGTGGGAAATTAGAGAGCGTATTTTATAAAAAATATCATACTGTGGATGACCTCATATCTCTCCCTATGCATTGTCTGGGGGAAAATGGGGGCATTACAAATAGGATTTTTAGCCCAATAAATCCTAATTGTGGGCTTTTAAACTATCCCCATTAACATTGTCAGTGTCCAGAATAGTTTAATTTCTGGCACACTGGTTGGGTACCATCTCTCTTTCCTTGTGATTAGATTCTTGGTTGCCTGCAAGATACTGCTCCGCATACAGATTCGTCTGGGTAACTACCTCCCCCCAAAAACAGCTCCATACAATCCAGCACATTATAGCCAGACAGGTCAGCCTGTATGCCAGGATTGGCAGTGAACTCTGGGACGTCTGGCGAAAAATGATTAGGAGGTACCCAGTCATCTGTGCCATGTTCAACATTAGGGGAATCAGCGATTTCCCCTGATGGTCCTGGAGTATCTGGCACATAGTTCCTGTCCCCTTCGTCACTCTCTGAGGCAGTGTCGGTTGCCTCTGAGTCGGCCGATAACAGGGCATAAGCCTCCTCTGCGCTATACTTTCTAAACATGGTCTATAGGGTAATAAACGTAAACTAAATAACTAAACTTTAATTTTTTTTTTACCCCTAACTAAATTCCCCAATTCCCACTAAATTCCACCCACCCAACTAACTAAATCACAAATTAATAAAATAATAAAATTTAACCCCTTAGGGTTACAAAAAAAAAAAAATATTTAACCCTTGAATGTAATAAATAGATCACAGTAAATCAGCAGGGAAAGGGTTAATTTTTTAAAAAAAAATAAAGTGAAAAGGGATTAGAAACCTTTTAGGGTACTTTACTATACTTCTGGGACACAATGTTGCAACAGTCCGTCTCTCTCCACTTCACAAACCCACAAGAGGTGGAGGGAGGCGGATCAGATATCCCAGCAGTATTGTGATCTCTGCGACTGTCTGTCACAGCGATCACATGTGCTGGGACATCGCGATTTGCTGTTGCTGGTCTGCCCCTAACTCGGAGGCACCCAGCAACAGCGTTAACCCTGCGATCGTCGGCACCGCGGCGATCCGGGGTTAATTTTAACGGTCCGTCACCCATCGTTAGGGGTATCCCCAGGATGACGGACTTTGTCCGTCACTTGTCCTGAAGGGGTTAAAGGTAAGGGGACAGAATACAACAAGGGATCACATATTATAGGTAGGTTATATAATAAACGGCCAAACTAAAAGAACCATTGAAATTTAGAAAAGAAAAGAAGGAATGAGCCACAAAAGTGGGTAACACCACATTACCTGTTAGATGATTATTACAGTGTAGGTAGACAAGCTTGACACTACCTTAGCCACAGTCTTTCTTTAGATCAGGGATGGGAATATATCAGAGTTTACAGTGATTTGGTTTTGAAGGATATTAAAACTATACGTAGATCTAACTTAAAAGGACACCACAGTCACCAGAACAACTACAGCTGATTGTATTTGTTCTGATGAGTAGAATCATTACCTTCAGGCTTTTTGCAGTAAACAAACAAACGAACACCTATAGATAAGTGTTCTAATTAAATAAATTACTTAACTTCAATCAATATGCAGCCTCCCGGGATCGTTATCCACAACAAACGATCTTAACATATGCAAAAAAACCCAGACAGAAATGGGATACGGCTGTACAATCTATAGAGGGAACATATAAAGGAAAAAAAACAATAGTGTAATACAGTAAATACAGTGAATAGTGCGCTTAAATGGATGCACTCACAAGATGATGAAGATGAAAAAGCATTCATAGGGTGCCTCCCCAGATAGCATAGGGGGCTAGTGGTTTCCCCTATCCGATGTAAAGCGACCAATGGAACACGGGACTCCAGGTAAGTAATAGTAGAAAAGCAATACTTTTATTTTCTTAAAAGGTGAACAAGCACCATAAGAATAAAGGTTTAAAAGTGCAGCAATAGGTCCAACGCGTTTCGTTCAAGACTAGAACTTCATCAGGGACCGCACAGTAAAAAAATCACAGACAATATCATAGATTGTAAAATAACATCCTACTTTCCCCTTAACAGAATCTCTATATATAGGGCTAGTCCCAAAGTCCCATTGGTCCATAGTGTAGGAGTATCCAGTAGCCAGCCAATCATCTATCCAGGGGTATTGTCCTCCAGCTGATAGTGTTTGGGTAGTTTAAAAAGGGCGCGTTCAATGTGAAAGCCGAAACCGGAAGTGGATGTCTGCCTTCACTTCCGCGTTCCATTTGCGTTCCATATGCGTTCCAAACACGCTCCAAATGCGTTCCAAATACATTCACTGCTCTTTTTCAACTAGAACAGCGAGGAGTCATCAATATAAGTGATCATCAAAAGGACAAAGCCCAAAAATGTTAAATGCATTAAATGTAATTAATCTCTAGAAGAAGAAAAGTGAATTAATGCATGTAATATACAACAACCATGTTAAGATAGTTCATATGGAACTTCCCCACATATTATATATATGACAATATCATACACCATTAAATAGTGCCATGTATGTCTATTTAAAGTGACAAACATCTCATTATTCAAAAAATAAGAACACAAATAATATATTCCTAAAAAAAGTTCCCTCAATATCAATAATAATAATTTTAAACCATATAACCTGCAAGGTACACCTAACTATATAATATAAAGTTTTTTTTTTATTTTTTTTTATTATTTTTTTATTATATAAATTATGAATTGTATTGATTAAAGACACTTCTTTTTCCCTATATTTAGACTGCCAGAGCTCCTCATATTCCCAAAGATACTTATGGAATAATTTACATAGAGGAGAAGAATAACCAAAAAATCAATCCAAGAAACACACCAGATCGATCCCAATATTCAGGCCCCTAGGTTCAAGGGTCTTTAGTTTGTGTATCCAAAAGGTTTCCCTTTGGGATAACTTTTTGATCCTATCACCTCCCCGCCAGTAGGGAAGGACATGTTCGATACCCATACACTTAAAATCTCTAAAGGAGAAGGAAGGACAATTACTGCAATGGGCAGAGACTGAATGAGTAACCAGTCCTTTGCGTATATTATTTAGGTGTTCCAAGATCCTGACCTTCAGGATACGTTTCGTGCGTCCCACATACTGTTTGCCACACGGACACTGCAGTAAGTATACTACATAGTCCGTGTGGCAACCTATTAATGATTTAATCTTGAAAGCCTCCCCCGTGATATGACTAATAAATTCCTTAGTTCTCCCCATAGAGGCGGTGGTACATGCTTTGCACACATTACATCCCCTAAAACAACCCGATTCAGGGGATACATTAGAACTATTCATTTTAATAGCATAGCTAGGGGCTAGCATATTTTTAAAGTTCTTATTTTTCTTAAATATCACCATCGGGCGTTCAGACAAAGAATTACCCAAAATGGGATCCTGTTGTAATATGGGCCAAAAATCACTTAGGCTCCTTTTGATCTTAAAATGATCCGTATTGTATTGGGTGACAAAGGCTGATTTAAAATTCTTATTCCCAACAGTATTAGGAGGTTTATCCTCCAGGAGTTTGTTCCGTTCAAGGAGACCAATTGATCGAATTTCTTTTTCTAACGTATTCTTATTATAGCCCCTTGCACATAATTTATTTTTTATATGGGAAGATTGAATCTGGAAGTCTTGAGGGCGAGAACAATTGCGTCTCAATCTGGTAAATTGGCTCCGTGCTATGCCCCTAAGCCAAGGCTTATGGTGACAGCTTTGTTGATGTACAAAGCCATTCCCATCTGTTGGTTTAAAAAAACATTTAGTTTGAATTTGACCCTGATCACAAAAAATATCAAGATCCAAAAAATGGATCTCATGTTTATTCCACTCGGGGGTGAAGACAAGATTGTATAGGTTGGAATTTAAATATTGAACATAATCAGAAAAACTATTGGAGGACCCCTTCCAAATGATGATCACGTCATCGATATAGCGCCGCCAGAGCACCAAGTTCTCCCTCCAGTCATGCCGCGACCACACGAATAATTCCTCCCATCTACGCATGTAGGTGTTGGCATAACTGGGGGCGAACCTGGTGCCCATGGCGGTCCCTGTGATCTGTAGATAATACTGATCATTAAAAAAGAAAAAATTATGTTCCAAAATAAATTTTACTGAGGTCAATATAAATTCCTTTTGACCTTGAGATAGGTCCTGATCTTGGGACATATAGTAATCAAGAGACTCCAATCCTAAACAATGACTAATTACCGTATACAGAGAGGTCACGTCTAGCGTGGCCCAACTGTATTCAGGGTCCCACTCAATGCTGTCCAGTTCTTGTAAAAAAGACTTGGTATCCCGTATAAAGGAGGGCGCCCCTTGGGCGTACTTTTGAAGGAAAGAGTCCACATACGCGGACAGATTAGCAGTGAGCGAGTTAACTCCACTGATAATAGGGCGACCTGGTGGATCAGGGAGGCGTTTATGAGTTTTTGGGAGGAAATAAAAAATCGGAATCACTGGACTTTTTTGAAATAAGAAATCAAAGTTTTTTAAAGATATGATTCCATTGTCTCTAGCCGTAGTCAAAATTTCTTTTAGTTCTAAATTATACAATGGCATAGGGTTATTCTGCAGAGTAATATAAGTTTTTTTTTATCCCCTAAAATATTAAGGGATTCCTTCAAATAATAAGACATAGTCATCAACACAATACCTCCTCCCTTATCAGCCTCCCTGATCACCAGGTCCTCTCTTTCCATAAGATGTTTTAAAGTCGCTTCTTCCCTTTTTGTTAGATTAAAGGGGCATGATCCACTTTTTCTCTTTTTAGCAATAGATTGGAAAGCCTGATCAACCATATGTTCAAAAGTTTCTAAGAAGGGGCCCTTACTTTGAACCGGAAAAAAATTAGATTTAGGTTGAAACCTATAGTCTTCCCTTTCAGATACAGTATCTATTTCCCTCTCAGTGGTAGATGGATGTAGGAGGAAATGTCTTTTTATGGTTAGAGAGCGTATAAACTTTTTAAGATCTATATAAAGGTCAAAGTCATTCACCTTTTTATTAGGGGCAAATTTCATCCCTTTCGAGAGTAGGTCTATCTCCTCAGATGTAAGTGGAATTCCAGTTAAATTAAAAATACCTTTACTCCTTTCCTCCTCATTGGTAAGGGTGGCAGGACTAAGACTCTGATCTAGTCCTCTGTTCTCACCCTCTTGTGTGGTGAATCTTGGTATAAAGGGGTGAACCTGTTGGGATGTTCCCAAGTATCGGTTCTCGGACGAAAATAGTTGGTAATGAATTTTTCTTTCGGGCCCCTGTGTCTCCCTTGAAAGTTTATCTCCTGTTCATTGAATTGTGTAGGAGCCCTAAACGTATCCGTTTGATTATATGTGGTCTGAGTACGGGATCTTACATTCCCCTCCCTCTCTGGCGTAGGTCTTTTAGGGGGGGTGGGTCTCTGTCTATTCCAAGTTCTAGGGTGGTAAGTAGATCTACCATCCTTAGGTGCAAAATTAGCCCTATAGTTAATTCTAGATCTTGAGTTACTCCTTGTTCTATTCGGTGTTCTTGGAATCATTTTCTTAAAAGGAACATAGCGAGATTTTTTTCTTATTAATTTATTAAGAGTGGAAAAACTATTAGTTAATTTGTCCTCTTTATCCCTGCTATACTTCCGATTCTTTGTTTCAGCAATATTCTCATCAAGTTTTTTTAATATTTGTTTGTAGAATTTCATCCCTCTCCTTAAAATCCCTTCCCTCTGTATTAATGGGAGGATTGGAGTCAAGTTCGATTAATTCAGCTTCCAATTTACTCTGTGATTCTTTAGAGTGTCTAATTATAAGTTGTATTAGCTGAAAAGAGCAATTAGTAAGGATTTCATCCCATTCTTGTAAGAAGAGATCATCCTCCAATCCGAATGCCGGTGTTTTATCTATTCTGAGACCACGTGGGATTAAGCCTTCCTTGAGATAATTTTCCAAATAGGCTATCTCCCACCATTTTTTTGTTTCAGCAGTTAATAACCTCTCTTTTTTCTTAAAAAACTCATCTAGCCCTTTAAGAGGTTGTGGCTTGTCCCACTCTTGAAACATAGCCTCAAACCTTCTCCTACGGCTATTCTGTAAGTTGGACAAAAAGCTCACATTTGTAGCCATAATCAATACAATCAATAGCAAATATGTGCACCCAAAGAAATAGTGGATAAAAAACAGAAAACAAACAAACGAACACCTATAGATAAGTGTTCTAATTAAATAAATTACTTAACTTCAATCAATATGCAGCCTCCCGGGATCGTTATCCACAACAAACGATCTTAACATATGCATAGAACCCCAGACAGAAATGGGATACGGCTGTACAATCTATAGAGGGAACATATAAAGGAAAAAACACAATAGTGTAATACAGTAAATACAGTGAATAGTGCGCTTAAATGGATGCACTCACAAGATGATGAAGATGAAAAAGCATTCATAGGGTGCCTCCCCAGATAGCATAGGGGGCTAGTGGTTTCCCCTATCCGATGTAAAGCGACCAATGGAACACGGGACTCCAGGTGAGTAATAGTAGAAAAGCAATACTTTTATTTTCTTAAAAGGTGAACAAGCACCATAAGAATAAAGGTTTAAAAGTGCAGCAATAGGTCCAACGCGTTTCGTTCAAGACTAGAACTTCATCAGGGACCGCACAGTAAAAAAATCACAGACAATATCATAGAAGAACTGGACAGCATTGAGTGGGACCCTGAATACAGTTGGGCCACGCTAGACGTGACCTCTCTGTATACGGTAATTAGTCATTGTTTAGGATTGGAGTCTCTTGATTACTATATGTCCCAAGATCAGGACCTATCTCAAGGTCAAAAGGAATTTATATTGACCTCAGTAAAATTTATTTTGGAACATAATTTTTTCTTTTTTAATGATCAGTATTATCTACAGATCACAGGGACCGCCATGGGCACCAGGTTCGCCCCCAGTTATGCCAACACCTACATGCGTAGATGGGAGGAATTATTCGTGTGGCCGCGGCATGACTGGAGGGAGAACTTGGTGCTCTTGCGGCGCTATATCGATGACGTGATCATCATTTGGAAGGAGTCCTCCAATAGTTTTTCTGATTATGTTCAATATTTAAATTCCAACCTATACAATCTTGTCTTCACCCCCGAGTGGAATAAACATGAGATCCATTTTTTGGATCTTGATATTTTTTGTGATCAGGGTCAAATTCAAACTAAATGTTTTTTTAAACCAACAGATGGGAATGGCTTTGTACATCAACAAAGCTGTCACCATAAGCCTTGGCTTAGGGGCATAGCACGGAGCCAATTTACCAGATTGAGACGCAATTGTTCTCGCCCTCAAGACTTCCAGATTCAATCTTCCCATATAAAAAATAAATTATGTGCAAGGGGCTATAATAAGAATACGTTAGAAAAAGAAATTCGATCAATTGGTCTCCTTGAACGGAACAAACTCCTGGAGGATAAACCTCCTAATACTGTTGGGAATAAGAATTTTAAATCAGCCTTTGTCACCCAATACAATACGGATCATTTTAAGATCAAAAGGAGCCTAAGTGATTTTTGGCCCATATTACAACAGGATCCCATTTTGGGTAATTCTTTGTCTGAACGCCCGATGGTGATATTTAAGAAAAATAAGAACTTTAAAAATATGCTAGCCCCTAGCTATGCTATTAAAATGAATAGTTCTAATGTATCCCCTGAATCGGGTTGTTTTAGGGGATGTAATGTGTGCAAAGCATGTACCACCGCCTCTATGGGGAGAACTAAGGAATTTATTAGTCATATCACGGGGGAGGCTTTCAAGATTAAATCATTAATAGGTTGCCACACGGACTATGTAGTATACTTACTGCAGTGTCCGTGTGGCAAACAGTATGTGGGACGCACGAAACGTATCCTGAAGGTCAGGATCTTGGAACACCTAAATAATATACGCAAAGGACTGGTTACTCATTCAGTCTCTGCCCATTGCAGTAATTGTCCTTCCTTCTCCTTTAGAGATTTTAAGTGTATGGGTATCGAACATGTCCTTCCCTACTGGCGGGGAGGTGATAGGATCAAAAAGTTATCCCAAAGGGAAACCTTTTGGATACACAAACTAAAGACCCTTGAACCTAGGGGCCTGAATATTGGGATCGATCTGGTGTGTTTCTTGGATTGATTTTTTGGTTATTCTTCTCCTCTATGTAAATTATTCCATAAGTATCTTTGGGAATATGAGGAGCTCTGGCAGTCTAAATATAGGGAAAAAGAAGTGTCTTTAATCAATACAATTCATAATTTATATAATAAAAAAATAATAAAAAAAAATAAAAAAAAAACTTTATATTATATAGTTAGGTGTACCTTGCAGGTTATATGGTTTAAAATTATTATTATTGATATTGAGGGAACTTTTTTTAGGAATATATTATTTGTGTTCTTATTTTTTGAATAATGAGATGTTTGTCACTTTAAATAGACATACATGGCACTATTTAATGGTGTATGATATTGTCATATATATAATATGTGGGGAAGTTCCATATGAACTATCTTAACATGGTTGTTGTATATTACATGCATTAATTCACTTTTCTTCTTCTAGAGATTAATTACATTTAATGCATTTAACATTTTTGGGCTTTGTCCTTTTGATGATCACTTATATTGATGACTCCTCGCTGTTCTAGTTGAAAAAGAGCAGTGAATGTATTTGGAACGCATTTGGAGCGTGTTTGGAACGCATATGGAACGCAAATGGAACGCGGAAGTGAAGGCAGACATCCACTTCCGGTTTCGGCTTTCACATTGAACGCGCCCTTTTTAAACTACCCAAACACTATCAGCTGGAGGACAATACCCCTGGATAGATGATTGGCTGGCTACTGGATACTCCTACACTATGGACCAATGGGACTTTGGGACTAGCCCTATATATAGAGATTCTGTTAAGGGGAAAGTAGGATGTTATTTTACAATCTATGATATTGTCTGTGATTTTTTTACTGTGCGGTCCCTGATGAAGTTCTAGTCTTGAACGAAACGCGTTGGACCTATTGCTGCACTTTTAAACCTTTATTCTTATGGTGCTTGTTCACCTTTTAAGAAAATAAAAGTATTGCTTTTCTACTATTACTCACCTGGAGTCCCGTGTTCCATTGGTCGCTTTACATCGGATAGGGGAAACCACTAGCCCCCTATGCTATCTGGGGAGGCACCCTATGAATGCTTTTTCATCTTCATCATCTTGTGAGTGCATCCATTTAAGCGCACTATTCACTGTATTTACTGTATTACACTATTGTTTTTTTTCCTTTATATGTTCCCTCTATAGATTGTACAGCCGTATCCCATTTCTGTCTGGGGTTTTTTGCAGTAAACACTCTTTTCAGAGAAAATGCAGTGTTTACATTACAGCCTAGGGATACCTCCACTGGCCACTCTGCATGGAGACACTGAACTTTCCTCATAGAGATGCATTGATTCAATGGATCTCTATGAGGAGATGATGATTGGTCATGGCTGTGTTTGACTTGTGCTGGCTCTGCCCTTTATCTGCCTCCTTGACAGTCTCAGCCAATACTAAGTGAAAGCATTGTAATTGCCTAACAGAATCCCTTCTGAAGAGGTCAGGCATGCTGGCAGGTCAGGGGCAGAGGCAGCAGCAGACCTGAATACAAGTAAGATTTTAGTAAATGTATGGAGGCAAGAGGGGGTCAGATGTGTCTAGATGGTGGTTTTAACACTATAGGGTCAGGAATACATGTTTTTGTTCCTGACTCTATAGTGTTCCTTTAACATACAAAGGAAAAATCTGCCTCAAAAAGTTACAGATTAACAAACAGATGCAAATAAGGGAAGTAGATAAAAGAGTGGAAATTGTAATTCAAAACAGACATGAGTATGTATAGGAAGCCTACAGAGTATTAGGAGATGAGGCTACAAATATTAAACTATTCAACACAGGAATATACACAGGAATTAATAATTCTACCGAATAAAGCTAGCAAAGATGAGATTCTTTGTAAGATTAAAACCTGCCAGGTTGCCTCATTTTACGAGGCATCAGTTTCTTAAAGAAAGACTATATACACTACAACAACTTAATATTATTGAACTTGGTATAGTGTCTTTATTTATTCCCACCATAATGTAATATTTTAATAGAACGAAGGCTTAGAAGCGCGGCTTCAATCACAAAGCCAAGTCCTCTGGATAGGAGAACCAGGACTGTTACGTTCCTGTTACCAGATAGGGCACTTTTGTAGTATCTGTAAGCTTGTTTTTTGCTTTTATTGATTTTTGGTCCCTATAGCTGTTTAGTGGAATTGGTAGAGAATGTATGTATAATTATTATATAGAATATTTTGATTAAAGATACTGTCACGAGCGTGGGCTATAGGCCCAGCCGAGACAGTGGGGAGAGTGTGGAAGTGACAGGGTTAATGACACCAGACCCCTGGTTACTTGTTGCTAGTCCCATCAACCACTCAATTAGCCCCTGCAATCCCTTCTACACTAACCCCCTAGTACACACTTCACTGCCACCACGAAGACTTTAAACCCGGACGTCTTAGGTTACCCCACACACAGGAGAATTATAGAATCACAGTTCTACTTTTACTGATCGAACACATATAGTTAACCCTTTTTGGTAATATGTTTACCTGAGCTTTCCTCTGGAGAGTGAAGCTCATAGAGAACAGAGACACAAGCTGATTAAGTAAACATTTAATCTGACAAAAAATATTCACAGTGCTGAGTACAAAATACAGAAATAAATTACATACACATAACAAATTGCAAAACAGTACATAAAATAAAATAGTGGAAAACACAAGAAATTCCTTACATGTATTTACCCCCATATAGAATTCTTGTGGGAGTGTTAGATGGTATAGGTCTCCTAGAAGTTACTGGCAAAAGAAAAAAAAATGAACAATTCCCTGGATAGTCCAGCACCCTCATTAATATACCCAAACTAGTTGTTTCTCGGTGGGCAGACCCCTGAGAGGAGGTGGGGGGGAAATCAGAGGGGGTTGGTCTGGCAGTTTATTACACACTCTATGCAATTCCTTGTGTCCAGCTCTGGTGATGGCTATCTAGATGTTTTATGGTCTGGGCCTGGTGCAAGATCAAAGACCACAATAAATGTCATCCCAAGGTTTACAAAAAAACAACTCTTAACATATATAAACACACATCAAACACCAACTCATGCTTTTGGCATGACAGATACTTGTACAAAATATTATCAACAACTAGTTCTTAGGTATTGATAATGTTTAATAATTAAGTATACACAAGGGGTTTAATTAAGTTTTGTTTTTACAATAAAAACTAAACACAAATACCATTTACTTGAGCTCTAACTATGAGAGAAAATCAGAATAAAATAAATTTATAGAAGGGGCACTTCTACATAGCCTAAGCTCTGCAACATATACAATATTCGATGGATCATCTCTTGGTCGGTAATAATATGAGATGTAGGATTTTAATGAGTTTGTTATACTAATAGATAGCTATTTCTTAAAGTTTTTTTTTTAATTATATGTTGGACTAATTAGGAGCGATCTATAGCAGATTGCTAAGCTTAGCAAGTACATTCTAAGCAGTACCGAATAAAAGCAGTTATTATTTGGTCCAGATAATGTTTGGGAATATTAGATGTTTTGCAAGTAGATCACAAGTTATTAATTTTCTATATTGATACATTGCTTTCCGATGTAAAATGTGGCCAATATGTGAATATAGGGATTTAGCTACATATCATCAACTCTTAATATTGAGTAGTTATGTTTATTGTGGAATACGCTCTAAACTGTTGGAATTTCTTAGTTGATCAATTGTCTTAGTACAATATTAAATTGTCATATTACGCGTGTATAAAAATGTGATATGAATGTACAGTGAACAGGGGAGGGGCCTGGCAGACAACCAAAATGGCTGCACATGGCAGGAGCTCAACACAGAAATACTCTAAATAAGCTTAAGACTCACCTAAAATGCTTTGTAATTGGCGATAACCAAGTTTTAACCAATGTAACACTCTGCCAAGGATTTGACCCTTTTTCTGATAGTTCCTGGTGGGCACTGCCTGGGCTAGACTGCCCTGAGGCCTACTTACATATCTGAAGCAGGGGATTCGGCCAACTCTGTGCCCAGGTTATGTATTCATGACTGGGCACTGTGATCCACCCCCTTTAGAAAAGAAAAATGCAGTGAAGGAAAAAAAAAATGGTTAATTACAATGCATGCATTTGGCAGAATGGTATTCAAAGTTGTCTGCATGCTATGTTTTCAAATTAATAAAATGTTAAAGCAAATGGCTCTATGAAAATGTATTTACTAAGAGGTTATTTCTTGGCTTTGTGGAGTGAACGGTATTTGTTCTCCCTGCAGTGAGTGCATACTCACGAAATGTGAAAGAGCCGAATGATCTCACTTGCAGGAGTTATTCATTACAGTGAGAATTCAAGGTGAACTTCAAATTTAAAGTCAAAATAGATTCACCTTGAATTCGCATTTTAGTGAATAATCCTGATTTTTCTTTTTTTAGTAGAGATGTAAAGAGTAGAATGGGAAATTGTGCTGGGTAAGACTTAAAGGGTTTTTGTAAATGTGGTTCTCACCCTTGTAAATATTGCAAGTTTGCATTAAGAGGTCTGTGTTTTGTTTCAAAAGTAACTGGTTAACATTTTCCAATACATGCACAAATCAACTGCAATTCAAGACATGTAGTATATTTGATTACCATCACTTTATGTAATGTGCACTATGTGGAGGCGACAGAGCAGGGAATTAAAAGATAGCGTCATTGAGTATTTAAAGGGACACTATAGGTATCCAGACCAGTGCAGTTCATTGAAGTCCCTACTTTGTCTTATGTTTTAAAGTAAACTAGATCAAAAAGAGAAAGGTAGTTTGGCATGACAGTGCCGTGTTTACGATTATATAACCTTTGCTTTTATTTATATTATAGAAACATAGAATGTGACGGCAGATAAGAACCATTCGGCCCATCTAGTCTGCCCAATTTTCTAAATACTTTCATTAGTCCCTGGCCTTATCTTATAGTTAGGATAGCCTTATGCCTATCCCACGCATGCTTAAACTCCTTTACTGTGTTAACCTCTACCACTTCAGCTGGAAGGCTATTCCATGCATCCACTACCCTCTCAGTAAAGTAATACTTCCTGATATTATTTTTAAACCTTTGTCCCTCTAATTTAAGACTATGTCCTCTTGTTGTGGTAGTTTTTCTTCTTTTAAATATAGTCTCCTCCTTTACTGTGTTGATTCCCTTTATGTATTTAAAGGTTTCTATCATATCCCCCCTGTCTCGACTTTCCTCCAAGCTATACATGTTAAGATCCTTTAACCTTTCCTGGTAAATTTTATCCTGCAATCCATGAACCAGTTTAGTAGCCCTTCTCTGAACCCTCTCTAAGGTATCAATATCCTTCTGAAGATACGGTCTCCAGTACTGTGTACAATACTCCAAATGATGTCTCACCAGTGTTCTGTACAATGGCATGAGCACTTCCCTCTTTCTACTGCTAATACCTCTCCCCATACAACCAAGCATTCTGCTAGCATTTCCTGCTGCTCTATTACATTGTCTGCCTACCTTTAAGTCATCATTATCTATTCCCTATTGCAACAAATCTCAACATCTGTGCGCAGCCATTTTATCCTCTGTCCATGGATGTCTGCAGTTGGCGTTCTGTGCGATTTGACGGATATATTGTGTCTAAGTAAGCTTAGCAACTGAAATGGAACTTTGTATAGCAAGTGAAATAGAACTTAGTTTAACCCCTTAAGGACACAACATGTGTGACATGTCATGATTCCCTTTTATTCCAGAAGTTTGGTCCTTAAGGGGTTAAAGATCAACTGTCATCTCAAAGCTATTTACTATAATGACATATGAAAATCACATATATGTAAAAAATAAATAAAACGCCCCTACCTTTAGTATATGACGAGATCCTTCAGCCTTATATATACACAACTTGGGTCAGACAGTCTTTAACCCCTTAAGGACACAGCTTCAAAAGCTTGTCTTGCACTTAAGGACACAAGCAATTTTTGCATTTTTTTGGGCTGTTTGCGTTAAACTGCAGTTTGCATTTTACTAATTTATTGCACCAACACTTATTATATACCGTTTTTTTTTGTTTGTTTTTTTAAAGGACCAAAAGGGCTTTAATTTGATGTAACATACACATATAAAAATGCTTTATATATATATATATATATATATATATATATATATATATAAATAAAAAAAAGCAAAAAAAAAAGTTTTTGCAATAGTAATCTGTGCATAATTAGTTCAGGTGAAGGAAAATAATTAAAAATAAATTATTTTAGTTTTTCTGATTTACAGAATATATATATATATATATATATATAATTTGTTTAGGATTTTAAGTTTTTGCAATAGTAATCTGTGCATAATTAGTTCAGGTGAAGGAAAATAATTAACAATAAATTATTTTAGTTTTTCTGATTTACAGAATATACATATATATATAATTTGTTTAGGATTTTAAGTTTTTTTTTTGTTGCTAGTTACAGGTCACAAAACACAAGGAGTAACAAACTTTTAATGTGGAGCGATTTTTGAATTTGGTATGTTTACCCAAGGTTATTTTAACACTTTTTACGTTTAATTTCCTCTCTGCCACAAACTGCGACCTTGCAAGTGTGTTCACCATGGATGGTGGTTAGGATGAACACCTTTTTAACGCGGTACTTTAGTGTCAGCAGTTCATCCTGGCCGAGAGCTGCTGTTTTTCCTCCTTTTTATTTATTTTTTTCTACTAGAGCCTTTGGGAAATCTGTGCGACTCTTCCGGATAGTGCCACTGGCCACGGCCTGAAAGCAGTACAACATTTTTAGAAGTGGGATACTATTGTAAATATTATCAATATACAAGTGATATCCCTTGTTTAGTAAAGGCATGATTAAGTCCCAGACAATTTTCCCACTTGTCCCTACTGTATCTGGGCAACCTGGGGGGTTAAGGTGGCTACCCCTTCCTTCGTATACACAGAAGGTGTACACACAGCCAGTGCCACTTTCACACAATTTATCAAATTTGATCCCATATTGGGATCTCTGGATGGGATGTACTGTTTAACCCCTTAAGGACACATGACATGCCATGATTCCCTTTAATTCCAGAAGCTTGGTCCTTGAGGGGTTAAACCCCAGTCTTCCCTTATGCTTCATGAGGGATTCGTCAATAGAAATTTTTTTGGGGAGTATAAATAGTGGCAAATTTTTCGTTAAAGTGGACAATTGGAGGGCGTATATTATATAGATCATACTGCGGATGACCTTTTGGGGGGCATTTTGTATTGTCACTAAAGTGCATAAATCACAGTATGTCTTCATATCTGGGCCTACTTTGTCTGGAGAAAAATGGGGGAGTATTGCAAATGGGGCACAAGCCTTAACTGCGCTATACTTCCTAAACATTGTGTACTATGGTAATAAACGTTAACTATAACTAAATAACTATACTTAAATTTCTTTTTACTTTTCACCCCTAACTAGCTTATCACAAAATAGATTCCCCAATTCCCACTAAATTCCACCCACCCCAACTAACTAAATCAGAAATTGATAAAATAAAATACTAAAATTTAGGGTTACTAAAAAAATAAAATTTAACCCCTGAGCGTAAAAAAACAAAACGATCACAGTAACATACTGTGATCTGTACTTCAATCACTGCTGGCCGTGATCAATCAGCAGGGAAAGAGTTAATTGTTTTAACGAACAGAGTAATGAGGATTTGGAATCTCTTGTGACAGAATTTATTCTCTTCAGGGACACAAAGTAGCAACGATCCGTCTCTCTCTACTTCACAAACCCTACAGAGGTGGAGGGAGGCGGATCTGATATGTCAGCAGCATTTTGCCCGCTGTGACTGGCTGTCACTGCGATCATGTGGGCTGGGACATGGCGGTTTGATGTTGCTGGTCTGCCACTGACTTGTAGGCACCCAACATCATTAACCCCGCAATCACGGGTTAAGTTTAGCGCATAACGGACAGAGTGTCATGCAACATTACGTGCTTCCCCAGCATGAAGACCCACGTCCTTAAGGGGTTAAAAACCTCTATAGAGTCGCTATGGTCTTCCCTGCATCAGACTCAACTGAAATTCAGATCCTGTCTGTCCCAAGGTGCACGTATATATGGCTGAAAGATCCTTTTGTATACTCATATACTGTTTTTACATATAACTCATTGAAGAAAAAGAAATATCAGCCCTTTCATTGTGTATTGAAAGGAAATTATATGAAAATGGTGTGAGGTGACATATGCCTTGTGCTCTGCCTATTTCCATACATCATGCTCCCAATAATAAAATAATAAAAAAACACTTTTCTTGTACATAGCTGAAAAAAAAAATGGTAAACACACCAGAGTCACACATTTGCCAGTAGATACATAAGTAAAATTCTGGCCAACATAAGGCTACTTAGCTACTTATTTATTCAGATGTCTATTGCAGTCCTGCTGCAGATCTAAGTGGAAATGATTAATTCTTTATCACTCATATAAAACCAGGGTGGCAGGGGCCTGACCTCTAAGCCGGGCAGACGCACAGTACTATTACACCTCCGATATACTGTTTTGCAATTTACCAGTCTGGGTTAGGCCCATTACCTCAGAAACTGCAGTTGAGATTGAGACTTTGCCTGGAGACCAAGCGAAGAAGACACACGCTCCCTATCACTATAGTGCACCAGACCTTTGGAATATGACTTACTGTGCTCCCCCCTCCCCCCCAACAGTGAAAGTTGCATGCTAACCAAGGTGATGGATTGTGCATGATGTAAGATGACAAGGCCATAAATCCTTGCGTACGTGTACCTGGGTCTGAGGAGATATGGTATTAGCTCTTTTAGAGCACCTGGACTGGTATGGTGTATTTTCTGTGCCCACCCACAAGACTTCCTTTGGCAATCTTCACAAGACAGATATTACCCTACCTACCTTGAGCATTGGTTTGATTTCTATCTGCGGTCTGCTAGCCCCTTTTTTGTTTGAGTTAATATTTTTGCACCCATTTTCAACCACTTGTGCACCTATACTTATGCGGCTTTCCTGCGTTTTCTATTTAATTTCTGTAATTGCAAGCAGAGCATCTATTTTTTGGCACTTTGTTTTGTTGTGTCCCATTAGTACAGTTTACGTATCCAAGTTAAAATGAAGTACCAAAATCTTGTGTAATACTTGTTATGGCTATTCACTTTTTGCCTTGTGTTTTGCTCGCAATATCTTTATATGCTCACATATACTTCAATAAACACTAATAAAAAAAATACCACTAACCCCAGCAGCTAAACATCATAGAATTTCTTCATGTGGTCCGCGCACTTGCAAGATCTCAAGATCTTTAGTGTTGTGATTATACCTTTTGTAACATCAATTAAATGCAACAGAGTATTCAGAGAATATGTAATTATACAAAAACATATCAAATCAAACTTACAGGTTATAGACAGGGTCACAGACATGGAAAAAAAGGTTTTCTGAAATATTTTATTAAAACATAAGATTTTTATTTTTTCCAAACAAAAACAATTTAGTGGCCACATGCACACATCATTTACTGTATATATTTAGATTCTTTGCTAAATACAGGCATTGACAAATGAGAATTTTAGGGACACTATAGTCACCTGAACAACTTTAGCTTAATGAAGCAGTTTTGGTGTATAGAACATGCCCCTGCAGCCTCACTGCTCAATCCTCTGCCATTTAGGAGTTAAATCGCTTTGTTTATGAACCCTAGTCACACCTCCCTGCATGTGACTTGCACAGCCTTCCATAAATAATAATTCAATTTAGAGATTGAGATACAATTATTTAAGATAAATTACATCTGTTTGAAAGTGAAACCAGTTTTTTTTATTCATGCAGGCTCTGTCAATCATAGCCAGGGGAGGGTGTGGCTAGGGCTGCATAAACAGAAACAAAGTGATTTAACTCCTAAATGACAGAGAATTGAGCAGTGAAATTGCAGGGGAATGATCTATACCAGGGGTAGGCAACCTTTTAGCAGCACTGTGCCAATATAGGATTGTGATGTCCCGTAGCGTGCCGGTCCTATTTTTTTAAATTGAGGTGTGTATGTTGCCGTATTCTGTTTGTTGTATTTATACTGTAATTGCTTTGTATCGTTGTATTTGTGCGTATATGAGCCATTATATTGTATATGTTCAGGAGTAGATTGTGGTATCGTGTATGATACATTTGAATGTGGGCTGTGTATGGGGGCTGCTTGTGGACTTGTGTGTGGATGGATATGTCACATTGTGTGTTTGGTAGTGTGTGTATGTGTGGGGGCTGTTTGGGGTATTGCATGTGAGAGAATGCATGTTGGGTTGTGCGCATGTATGTGGATTGTTAGCGGGTTACGTTTGTGCAGATTGTATGTATGTTTGTTTGTGGGCTGTTCGTATTATTTGTATGAGGGGAGGGTTATTGTGCATTTCTGTGTATATCTAGCAGTTTGGGTGGCTTCCCTGGGTTCCAGACTGGCCAGGTACAGGAAGTGCCACAGCAGCTGCAGGCTGCTCTACTAAAGTGTGAATTCCCATTCACAAGTGCTGGGAGGAAGTGATCTGAGATAAATTGAGGATTGTCCTTCACCACCTTTTCGTATTAGCAGATATCTGAAGTTTCACTGGGACTCCTTATAGGCCAGAGCCTGTTTGGCTCTAGCAGCCTTGAGTGCCGTAGGTTGCCTACCCCTGATCTATACACTAAAACTGCTTTATTTAGCTAAAGTAATTTAGGTGACTATAGTGTTCCTTTAATGGTGGGTTCTGCACATTTGGACAATACGCACATTATGGAAAAAAATTTAAATGGATGTCAAAAGTGCCATGTAGTACATACATTTTGTGTTTTTTAAAAAAAGTAGAGGCTTCTGGAGATTTCAAAATTTCTAAATATTTAGGATTAGCACATTGAAAAACATGTTTAACTACATAAAAAATAATCTTTACATGGCCGAGTGTGCTATGTGCATTTATAAAATTAACTGAAATTAATGCTTTCATGGAAAAACATTAAAATATTGTAAGGGTTTCATCTTGTGCCCTACAGATAACAATGCTACACTCCAATAATTTGTTTACACTGACCACTTATCTGTAGTAAGTGACAAGTTTTAAGGGCGTTAGGAGATTTTAAATCAAACATTTTACACTCTGCAGGGGAGGGTGAGCAGTATAGCATTAAGTCAGGTATAAGATTCATTGTCTAAGGTTTAATTTAGGAAATCATGTTCCAGTGTATACTGCCGTTTTGAAGGACCACATTCTTTAAGAATTTCAGTGTTCCTGTTTTAACTTAGAGGAAACAATGCTAAAGATTTAAACCTTTTCCAAAATCAAGTAATATAACACAAAGGATGCAACTAGTTGAAGAGGTTCAGCAGGAAGAATCTGAGGTCAGATTTAAAATGTTGGGTAAACCAAATAATTTATACTTTAGACCAGCACTGGTGAATTGCCAGACAGTTATAGAACAAGTTATATGATGCTTTCCAGCCCTTTTCTTTTACAGTGACTACTTTCTAACATGAAAGACAATTCAACCAATTGAAATATTTATATTCGGTCACTCAGACATATTTCGCAGAGGAAAATGGTTATCTGTAAATGAAATATTAGTTACTCAATCTTACAGTGATTACTTCTTTTAAGTAGTCTTCAAGGACAAAAAGCAAATACAGGTTTGGAGGCAACCACCGTTTCAATGCACAACTGTCAGGATATAGAAGGAACCTCCACAAGATACAAGTCAGCAACTTACCAGAGGCATAGTAGCCAAGAGTGATCTAGTGAAAATGATGCTGCACCTAGATGGAAAAGTATGGCCCAAAAGCAACATGCTTGCGACAATCTCCATCAGTGACCCTACAAATGTTACAGTTGACTGAAAACAAAGTGAAGATGGTACGCATGCATTAATTTTGGTAAGTGCTCTCATGGATTGAGACAGCCCTCAGGAGGGCTGAGGATATGAGGAAAATCGAAGTGAGAAGATTGCCTTACCACAACCTTCCATATCTCTCAAATCTTTGAAAGAATTATTCAAATTAATAAACAAAACCGTGCTTTTCTAGCATTTTGAAAATAGACCTGATTTTTTATTTTCCAGTATACACATGACCAAGGATCCCATATATCAGCTTTTGAGTTGATTTATTAGGGAGAGGAAAGAAAAATGGCTAATTGTGACTACTTATGAATTCTACAGAACTAAAGTTGTCTACTGGCATACTATGTTAGAGATTTGGTTACTACCAAAACAAATGATATAGCACATCACCATATAATGGGATCCAATAAACTCAAATGATGAAGTCAATTGAGCACCCCTGCTTCGATTTTTTGCAATTACTGGAAAATATTTTTTGCATATTATTCTGAAGATACAAATCCTTAAACACATGTATTTCAGTTCCTTCCAAGATTTGCACTTAAAATGCACATTGCAACAATTATGTAATATCATTGACTTGCAATCGTAGCAGTGATAGGTTACCTTGACAGAAGAGGTCATCCTGAAGGTCATCCACCTAAATATATTCTAGCAGATAAAAAGCCACAGCAGAACACCAAGTCTCTTAATCCCATTGAGAAATCTATCTGAAATGCCAGAAGTCGTTACAGAATTAGAAAGATGCTATTCTGCTGCTGAAACATACACAAAAATGTAACAGCTGCACAGGATGCGCCACCTAAAGTGTACTGTTCCAAACCCATTTATATTAATTATTTCAGTGCACAAGGTTTGAACATACAGTGTACTGAAATGACTACATTTACATTAAAAAAAAAATGCCTGATACTGAAGCCACTTTACACTAGCTGGAGGGAACCACACATGGTGCATGGGCAATCTAACCTGCAATAACTGGCTGAAGGTTGCACTAAGCAACAAAAGAAATACACTTTGCTTTCCTAGTGCCATACCCCAGTTTGCTAAATCATTAAAAAATGGTTTGATATAAACAAGGACTGCTTAGCCCAGTGCGCCATCAATGCTGGCCAGCAAAGTCCAGTTTGCCTCAAAACTATGGACAGCAATAGAACACTAAAGACAGAAGTTAATCAAAATAAGTTATGGTGCCCAGAGGTCCCTGGTGCTTTCTTACCTGAAGGGATTAAACAACAATTGAATGATTCAACCACAAAAGTTTCTCTCCAACACCAGATCTCCCTGTCCCCAGGGTTTCTCCAATGTAGTTTGAAGATGCACAGAGGCAGCGCTTCAGCTGACTGTGCTGGCTGTTAGCCAATCAGTAACTCCCAATTCACAAAAAAGGTAGTGATTGGCTAAGAGATTCAGCTGCATTGAGGAAACTGGATGCCACTAGGGACAGGGAGATCTGTTGCTGGAGAGCAACCTTTGGTGTTAATCAAAATAAAGATCCCTGGCACTTTTTTACCCTCCCCCCCCCCCAAACAGTCTTAATTGTTATGGTGCCCACACAGTTCCTTTTAGTTGCTTAGAACTTTAGGGTAGGAATCGTATGAAACCATAACCAAGCAGGCTGTGATAAAAAACAAAAGTGCACACACACGTTTTATAACATGTGTAAGGTACTCACCATCAGTGCCAATTCCACTGCACTGAATGCTATCTTAATCTGCCTTCAGAATAGACTCACAGTTTTCTTTTAAACATTCAAACACATCAAGATGACATAACTGCACAAACACTTAACAGGATGCAAGTATACTATAAAAGAGTTTTCCGTCTTCTATACAGATTAGAGGAAGATATAGGAGTACAGTAAAGATTTATTCCCGTCAACAGACGTTGATAAACAGTGAGGGCAAACAATGCCATTGAAGGATCTGAAGAAATCGAAAAGCCACAGAAGGTGGTTTTATGGTGGTCTCCATCCCCGCAAAACGGCATTTTTTGTCCCATAACACATGCTTATTTCACATGACATCAATTATTCCTGGACGTTGTTGCAAAGCAGCTGGAGTTCCAGAGACTGACCTTTCTCTGGTAACATACAATCTCCCCAGGGCTCCTTTCCTTCTCCATGCAGCCCCGGTAGAAAAATGTTAAGCTTTTCTTACCTAGTGAGTAAAGGAAGTTCAGATATACAGACGTTGGGATTTTTTATTTTTTTAACTCCCATACAAAAAAGCCAGGATGTAAATATCACTTTAGGAGAATAAAATCAAACTGTTAAACCAGATAAATTGCTAAATTAAGCATAAAACATAGCTTTTTGATACAAGGGAAAAGAGAATGGCAAAACTTTGTGAAGTGCATGCTTTTCTACAAACTATCCTGCAGTTGAATGGCGCTAATTTAATACTTCACTGCATGTAAGAACCCTCAATAGAAGTTCATTGAGTCTCTGCATTTATAGTCTATTCCTTTACCATAAATCCATGTTTTAGAATAGCTCATTAGTTGTTTTGTTTGGATTTTATCCCACTGCTAAGGGTGAAGTAGATGTTTTATTTCCATTTCCTGAAAAAAACCTGCTCACAGAGTTTTGGGGAAAAAACAGACTAGATGTTGAAAAAAAAAAAAAAAATCCTTCGTTAGTCGTTAACATAATTTTACACTATTATACTGGACTTTCTGCATTTTTAAGAACATGTTTGTGAGAAATTACACCATTAAGACAAACTGAATACCCAGCATGGCTGGAACATTAACATAGCTTGGTGTTAGAATGTTCACGTTGTGTATCGTAACATAAAAGCCTATATATCGTGTAGTCGCTGCAGGTTAGATCAATATCTAGAAATAAAAAAGTCCCTAATGTGACAAAATAAATGTGAATTGCCATGCTGCACTGAACATTTTAGCCAACAGTAGCACATTAAAAGCCCTAAGACATGCACGGCTGCCCAATTTCTAATTCCTTGCACAAATAGGAATAAATTGAATCAGTTAATGTACAAACACTTAATGTTGATTTAGAGAACTTTACAGATTATATGGTAGGATTTCAGAGACTCTGGCCCTCACCGTTGTCATTTTAACATGTTGATTTGGAACTCAAGTTAGAAATGACAGAATTGAAGTAGGAACATTGAGTACTTACTGCTTATAAACTAACCTGTACTGGCAGTGCTGTGCGTACTCTTCTCTACCAATAAGTAGCTGAAATGCTGTTTGCTAGTTAACAGAAACATAAATTGTATTAACCAAGGTGTAAAGTATGCACTTAACATAATCTAAACCCAATATAAACACTTAGAAAAAAAACAAACACTGTCCCAAACACACCTTGTAATTTAAAATTCCTACCTGGTATTTATGAAAAACTGCCAAACAACAAACTAAGATAGCAAATGCGCATGTTTTCTTTTACATTGCAGAACAAAACAAGCTAGGACAGTAACAAACTTTTGTAGACAACCACATATAAACAAACCAATTGGATTTCATTTATTTAGATTTTTGGATATCTGGATCCGAGTCTATATGAATTTCCCTTCATTCTGTTAGAAGTACTTCACGCATGTCCCAGGTTCAACTGAGTTTCAATGTAAATTTTCCAGATTACTGATCCAAGGACAGTGGACATGTTCTATGTATTGTCAGCTAGTTGTGGCTAAATGTCTGGTGGATGGAGTGCAACAGTGGTATTGGTTGGAAGGCGGTGATAAAACTGGTATATTGTGGACTTCTATATAGATTTCAATGTACAAACGTAATGCAAACACAGAAACCTATACCCCTCACTCAGTTACTCAACAGCATACTTGTAGTAGTGAAGTTAATTTCATTGCAGGTCAGTACATCGGTGGAAGACAGTACGGTTTTGTTGAATCCTTTGTAGACCTCTGGTGTACTCTTGCACAAAAATTTTAAAAAAATAAATATTTTGTACCCTAGATGCTGCGCCTTTAACGTTGCTACTGTACGCAGTGCCTTTCTGAGAAACTATTTATATTTTGCAAACTTCTCGTCTACTAGTGGATGTCAGAGAGCATTTGATTGGATCACAAGAGGGCTACAGTGACGGATGAAGCGTGGAGTCTTTGGAAACAAGGTGAGTTTTGACAAGAGAATAAGTTTACAAACTTTTTTTTTTTTTTTACAGGACTTCTCACAAAAAAAAATGGGGTGAACATATATAACAGGGCAGGATTGTATTCCTAACACTTATTTCCCTTCCCCCACACTCATTTGCCATATAAAAGTTTTCAGGAAAGGACCACTGCACGAAGACCACTTTGTAGATATAAAATGGCCTTGGTGACTGGAGTAAAACTAAAGTTAAAAGAAAAGTAAAGGGGAGGGAAAAGAAAAGTGTTACAGTAACGACTTCCAAATTTAAGTTTTTATATTTTAACAAGAGCCCAGTAATATAATGATAAAGGAACATTTTAATAAAACCATTTTGTGGTTTACATTTCAGATAAAAAAAAATATTTATTTTTTTAAACGCAGACAACACCATTGTGTATGTAAATATGAACAAATGTATCAACATTGGACTTATTATGCAATTCATTTTGTTGCCAAAATAGGAATACAGACCCCAAACCACCCCCTTCTCCATGGTTTTTTATCTAACCCCTTGTCAACCAGATTTTGGTGGGGGGGATGGGAGGCAAAATTCCACGATAGTGTCTTTGTGATTGGACTGTTAATTTCAAATTTTGCAAACACTTTACTAAACAAAAAACATTTTGCCATTTCTTCATGCTAAACAGATAAACCAACTTACAAATCTACTAAGATAGAATGGATTTAGCACCTTCACCTGATTTAAGAATAGACTTAAAAGGTTACTCCAAACACCATAACCATTTCAGTAATTTAAAGAAGCTACGGCGTCTGGAGTGTTTATGTGCAGCGTTTTGCCATGATGCACTGCCTATCCAGAGTATAACCCCACTGTTGCTAGAATGTAACTCCACCTCTACCTGGTTATTAGCCAGCCTGGAACAAGAGTTCAAGGCTGGTGCCCAATCCATCCTCGGATATCCACCCCTTTCTTGGATTAACCAGTTAAATTTACACTCTACAAAATAAATTTGAGAGTATCTTCTGAGTTTCCAAGATGGCCCCAAAATTTTTTTTAATAATCTGACAAAACACATCCAGAAAAAAATAAAAAAAAAATTAATAGAGAAACTGAACACCCATGGCGAATTCGAGAACGCAGACTTAATGTGCACATGAAGTCAATATTTGTGCAAATCTGAGCAGCCAGCATATGTAACAAGGAGGACGTATTCACTGCCTAGCTTAGCATTAAGGGAATGCCTTTTGGGGTTTTAATATGCATTTTCCACTGTGTGAGTATTTCAAACCACACCTTTCATGTAATGTACCTTCCAAAGGTCGAGCTATGAAGATTTGGGTTGATGCTAGCTCATGAAGCAGTATTTAAAGACCATATATGTCTTTAGGAAATATTAGAAGTTCTATTAAGGGTAATAACGTTTCACATATACCGATTTCATGTTTTTGATTCAAAGGGACCGACCAGTTGAGAATATTTAGGCGTATACAATATTTGTTCGTTTGTGTGCGATCAGCTGGTTTCTTATGTAGGTAAAACCTGAGAAATTGTATGACAGAAAAAAGGTTAATTTATTGGGTGTGTAACTGCATTTTTTTTTTGCACAGCCAAAAGTTCTAATTTTACTGTGCTGAATAATACTAAATAGAAACATGACAGTTGCTCATTAAAACGGTTGCCAAACCGATTTTTAAATATACATATATATCAAATAGGGACACTCCAAAAGCAAGTGGGTATGTGGAAATAAAGATATTTTCCTGAGGTTTGCTCTGTCAAGTGGGTCAATAGCTTGGCAGCACAGAAATAGTTTAAGAGTCACCAAGATACATTTCCATTTTTAAAATTCCATAAAGGGGATGTTACCTAGCAACTGTTCACGACTTGTGACTGTGACGGAACTGACAGTGTGCCCAGCCTCCCACACAATACCTTTTCTTTAATGAAGCAATCAATTCCCTGAAGGTCTAGTATGCTAACTCTCTGGTCTGCAGTTCCTATGGGTGCAGAGCTGCAGATCATGTCATAAGTTCTCGCAAGCTCCGGCACTGGAAGGGTCAGTGTTGTCACGGTAACCAGCAACACCAATTGGCTGGAGCTCGTTGACCGCTACTTCAGTCTGCACCCAACTGAGCTGCAGACCGCTGGGCTCTCCATGCCTCTATCTCCTAATGACGACTTTTCTATCAGCAACTCTCACAGCACACCAAGCACAGTGCTGTGGCACACCGGCTGCAGAGCACTGGTATAGATCATGCTCTTCCAGTGCCATTGCTGAATTCTCTGCCAGGAGAATTTACTTTGTTTATGCAGCCCTTGCCAGACCTCCCTGCATGCATGAAAGAAATGGTTTCATTTTCAATCAGAAGTATTTTTTAAATCTTCTGCTCTGTATATTGATATTTAAATCACACACACAGAAGCTCCTGCAAGGTCTGGCAGACTTACCAGAGTAGAAGATCCATTCTAAATTAAACAGAATTTGCAATAAAAGAAGTGTAAACATTAGATCACACTTTACAAAAAGTGTTTATAGGCTGTGCAAATCACACGTAAGGTGGTGTGGCCAGTGCTGCATAAACCGTGATTCAACTCCTAAATGGCAGAGAATCAAAGGAACACCATAGTCACCAGAACAATTACAGCTTATTGCATTTGTTCTGGTGAGTATAATCCTTCCCTTCAGGCTTTTAGCAGTAAACACTGTCTTTTCAAAGAAAATGCAGTGTATACATTACAGCCTAGAGATAACTCCACTGGCCATTCCTCAGATGGCTACTAGAGGTGCTTCATGGGGCAGTGTGCAGCACTGCCATTCAATGTCCCCTCTGCATTGAGACACTGAACTTTCCTTATAGATATGCATTGATCTCTGTGAGGAGATGAGACTGCCCATTGCTGTGTTTGGCTCTGCCCCTGATCTGCCTCAGCCAATGAGAAATTGTGATTGGCTCAGAACAACACTTCTGAGGTCAGCCAAGCAGGCAAATCAGGAGCAGAGCCAGCAGCTGCAGGCTTGAACAAAATTTAGGGGTACAAGGCGAGGTCCGATGGTGGTTTTAATACTATACAGTAAGGAATACATGTTTGTGTTCTTGAGCCTATAGTGTTCCTGTAAGCAGTGAGACTTTAGGACGATCTATACACCAAAACAACTTAAAGCTAAAGTTGTTTAGGAGACTATATTGTCCCTTTAAGTCAAAGCTTAATATTTCAAATATTTAACTAACCAAATCACTCTGTCATGTCAGAACAATAAGCATCTCGAAACTTTAGTTGACAGATGTGTGAGGTACGAGGATTTAAGTAAAAGGCCAGCTTTTTTTTTCCTATACATTTTCCTCTTACACAGCAACCACCATACATTTCACTTCAGGTTGTAAGGGTCACTGTAAGCAACATGACCTATTCAGTGTTTTGAAGTGGTCATGGTGCAAGGATCCTTACATAATTTATATTTCTTCCAGAAGTAAAACTCAAAGTTCTGCAAAATCTCTAGCCATATCTGAACAAAGGTTCTGGTCTGGTTAATTTCAGTTCTGTGCATATGCAGTACACAACACATTTTTATACTTTATTTTTTTTTTTTTTTAATTGGCTGGGAGCTCTCAGCTGACATTCTCACTCAATAAATGACTGCCAGGATCGACATCTGGCTTCTGCAGCAACAAGGTGTGGTTCCTCCAGTATTGAGCAAGGTTTAGCACCTAGCAGGATCCAGGTATAAGGCAAACTGTTGCAAAATGGCTTTCCCCCATAGTTCCTGGTAATGGCACCAGGGTACTCCCAGCAATATAACCACTACAGTGGGCTGTAGTGGTGAGGGTGCCTGGAGTAATCCTTTAATTTCCATTTGAAAAAAAAGATACATAAAGCTATGCCCAATAATAGGAAGGAAAAAACAAAAATAAACCACTACAAAATAACTCAGTTGAACAAGGGATATCGGAATTTTTTTTAATTGAAAGATATCAGTAATAAAGAGGCAGTGGGAAAGCTTTAATACACAAGCGCCACAAAACACAAAAGCGTTGGATTTAATTCTTCTAGCAGGCCTTCTGGTAAGTGTTCTACTTTGAACTGTATACATGTTGACCCAAATGCAAACCCACAAAAAAACCAAAAAACACCCTATATAAAAAATATCCCAAGCACTTAAGTAGGCCTGAATAAACACTGATCAGAGAACCTCTTTGGAATTACATAAACAGCCTCGGTTTGTTTTACAATAGGGTTGTGAACTCAATATTGTTTTATGGTTAAATGAGAGACGGTGTTCACTGCAGTCTTAACATGGCTGCCTGGAGCAAACTGCCTCAATGGATTTAAGAAAAAGCTATCAGAAAACATTTTTCAAGATGTGCAATTCTCTGAATGTTAATAGTTTAAGATAGAATTATGTAGATTTGTTGCTTTAATTCCCATTTTGATTACAGGTCTATAAACCCTGTAACAGCCATAGGCATAAGGCTTGGTAAAACACATGTAAAGAAAAGATTTTGCTTTAACCAGTTTCAGAGACTAGTCTGAACAGGACTACTACATTGCTTAATCAGGATGTTTCCCTCTAAAGGAACACCGGTTTTATTTACACAATGTACAGTCTCTCAGTCAAAAAAAAACACATATACAAGAAAACTGAAAGACTGCAGTGTACAACCAACTAAAGGGGGTTTCAATGTGTTAAAGAGAAGGAAAGCACTGCCACAGAAAGCCGGTAAAAGCACATCTACAGCAAAAACAAAAGTGGCCAAGTTGTGGGGATGTGTTCCTTGCTTATATATAGGTTTAATAGCCTAAGTTGCCCATCAGTTACTCAGACATGCTGTGCTTGAACAATAATCTCTTGACAGAGTATCAAATGAATTTGTGCAGCAAGAAAGGAACTATAGGAGAACTAAAGTGACATTAGACAGACAAAGACTGAAGTATTGAAAAATTATTAGCAAATTACTGGGAACTGCCAATTAATCCCCCGCTACATCTTTCCATTCAATCCAGAACAAAAGAGCATTTATATTTAGCAGAAAACACAATAGCAAGGGTTTAAAAGACAAATACAATATTCTAAATCTGATAAATGTGCATTTATTCAAAATAAAATGCAAACATATGATTATATTAGCTGTAGATTAAGTTAAGTACTGAGTTGCACAATCTGTGGGAGTGTAAAATAAATAAATAAAAATATATATAATTAAACATTTCTTCTTTAAACCAGCTAAGTGGCAATTTATTTAAAATGGTACTTTAAAAGCCACATTAGAGGTCATTTAAATTCATGCAAGTTACCACGACACAATCTTTCTGTCATTTCCCTCCAATGTCACTTTAGGTGCAGGTCTCTTCAATCAGATGATTCTACACAGCAATCAGGTATGATTAAATCTTAAGTGTCCCTACATTAAATCAAAGGTTAGGGGCTTTCACCAAACTTGCTGCAAGTTTGGGGACATATATATCCAACAGCTAAAGCTGTGAAAACCCCTGGTATTGGTAAAATAAATCCCACTTGCCTCAGACTGAACAGGGCAACACTCAGCCTCAGCCTGTGCTATGGCAGTGCTATAGGGAGAAGAGAAATTCACATTTTAGAACATTTCCTGGTAAGTGTAATAAACACATGCACATTGTAGTCTATACGCGGAACACATTAACGTCTAATAAGAGAATTTATACGTTTATACCATTCTTTTTGTTACGGCTTTAAATCAATGTTTATTGGTGAAACAGAGGAACCTATTTATCTCATGTAATTAAACCTGTACAAATATTAATACCAAATGAACGGCCACTAATAAAAAAATAAAAATAATAAAAACCTGAAAGTCTAAGTCAGATAACCATTATATAATCAAAAAATGTGGGGCATGTGTGCACTAGTATAAGAATACTAAGCAACAGAACCACTACAGCTAATTTGATATAAACAGTGGTTCTTGTTATTGGCCACAAAATGTTTGATATTAAACTAGGCCACTCTAGGCAAACTACTACATCATTCTGCAGTGGTTAGAAAGTGTAATCCTGTAAGAGGAATAACAAGTTAATATCTCTAGGAGCAAAGTTGGCCAAGTCAGTGGTCAGGATTTCTACCAAAAGTTCAAAAATATTAATATTTGTACAGGATGATCATGCAATTGAGTAATTCTTGAATACAAATACAGGGCATTAGACGTTCAAGTGGCATGCATCTGTTCAAACCTTAATTGCTCCAGAGCTGGGAATGAATAAAAAGGCAGAAGGTTTTCTCTTACTTTATTACATAATGAGGGTCTCACATTACAGATCGGGGTCATAAATGGAAAATGTAAATACAATCACACTTGGGTTGGAACAGAAAGTGCCCTCACCAACCAACGTTGGGGACGAAAATCCAACAGCACCATGAAGGTGCTGTGAGGGCTTCATGTTTAAAGACCAAATGGAACATCACAGAACTTGCCTTTAAAGGTGGGATTTGGCGCCTTCACAATTAAACGAACCATATTTACTATACGCCACTTCTAAAAACCTAGATGAAACATGAAAAAAAGCCATACAGTATAAATTGCAATATCAGGAATATCTCCTGTTTTAAGTTCCGCCAACCCCTCCCCTCAAATAAAAATAGCCCTCCCCAAGTAAAACAAAATGTCCAACAGTTCCTGGTCTGCGGGGAGATATGGTGTTAGCCACAGGGAAGCTGGCTATATACACAGCACAAGATGAGAAAAGGTTTAATCTCCAAACCTATTTAATAGCGGCCACCTTGAGACATTACAGGAGGTCTGATTCCCATCAGAGGCCGAGGAGGTCCTCCTTGGTACTGTGGGACCATGGGGGGACCTTGCCCATAGGGCGGTATTCCAGCTGGGTGATATGCAGGCATGCCTTGGTGTGGGCTGCCATACTGACCTAGGAGAAAAAAAAAAATAAAAAAAAAATTATAAAAACCACCACATACTGGTATGAGCATGTAAACTGCATACAGGAGGAACAGTCTTATGGCATACTCTCTAGATAAGGAGTTGGAGAATTCCATGAACGCAATCATAGATACCACAATTAACACATGAGGGGGGAAATAAAATCAAATAGCAGGTACACAATCACTAAATTCAGCATTAAGTCAAAGACAAATAAATACAGGAAGAGGATTAACAAATGCAATAGCAATGGCAAAGCAAACACTTTTTGCAGACACACACACCACCAATTCAATGCAGTACACAACATTAGACATTCTCATTTCCAAAAACTGGTCAGCACAATACTAACCATGAGGTGGCATGGGATGCCTCATACCCGGCTGCTGGGGAGGGAGTCCAGGTTGTGGAGCCATCATTGCTCCCATAGGGCCAACACCTTGATTACCCATATTGCTTAAAGGAGCCTGGCCAGGCCTTGGTAGGTTACGCTGGTATTTAGGGTGTTGGGCCCGTTTTTCTTCCTATGTGTGCAAGGAAAAAAACAAAAAAAAAACAAATATATATAAATTTAGTGCTTCAGCATTAAAGTATAAACCAAATAAACTACGCTTACACGAGCTTTAAAAGGAAATGGTTGAATACATCCTATACACACTCCATTTATTTAAACAAGTATTTATTTATTTTTTATTTATTTTTTTTACACACACAAATGAAAATTGGTACACTTTATTAATCTGCTGAATGTACAAGTTTAACAAATGAAAATCCTTTGCTTTCAATTAATGCACACGATTAACCCCAGCTTGGATTATTCTGCTACTCACAGCCAATTGTCAGTTTCAACAGGAAAGAATCAAAAAGCACACAAGAGACAAGAGCACTTACCAGTGATATATCCTCATCTGGATGGATCAACTTACTGGTTGCACTAGTTGTTGTCAAGGTAGCAGGCTTACTTGTTATGGAAGTAGGAGGTTTGGCAGCGGTGCTGTTTGTAGTACTAGTGGTTGACAGCGTGGATTGGGTGTAAGCAGGGAATGTTGCTTTAGGGGGTTCTGTAGTTGTAACAGGCGCACTGCTCAAGGGTTTGAAATCTGTTCCGACTGGTCCTGCCACTGCTGCTGGAGCCTAGCATGTTTAAAGACACAATGATAAGTGTCACTGTGTGAAATGCTTTGGAAAGAAGACACTGCAGAACAGCAGAAGCAAAAACATCTAAAGCAAACAGGGGCCCACTTCTGCACACAGGATAAAAACTGACACTAAAAGGGAGGAGGAAAAGCAACAGGGTACAATTGAGCTTTCCAATCCTCTCTTCCAATGAAATGACAATACTGCAGTGGCCAAGCTGTGGGTGTCTAGCACTTGTTGGACAGCACTCCATAGCAAGACAGTCACATTGGTCATGTGTTTAACCCTCTTGGTGCTGAAGTAGTAAGCACACAGCCACAGGGTTAATGGCAAATGTGTTTATCTGATATGTCTGGCAATTTCATGAGAATGTTTTATTATATATACACACACGCTATAGGATTAGGCATATGGATGAAAACACTAAAAATCATGCATTACACCAATATCCGCCCACTCATATGCATTGCCAATTGCACAAGTTAACCCTTCAAGGTTTAGGAAGCAAGGTGCTTTTCTTCAGTTTTGTTTTTCCAATTCACAATTGTTTTCTTTCCAAAACTCATTTTGTTCATTTGAAAGTCGTGTCAATTTTAAGCTTTATTTCCCAAAGGGTTAACTCATGAAGCAAGTCTTAATAGTGTAATTTCCTGCATACTTGTGCTGTGCTAGGGAACAGCGCTTTAGGAGGCGCAGACAGACTTTCTGAATTGGAGGACGTTGTACTGGAGCTTGTGACCTGTGATCCCATCTGCAGCACAAAGAGAGGAAGCAGTGAGGAGACTATCTGGACTTTATCTAAAGAACAGGAGTGATATTTTCGGTAGGAAAAAATAAAAACTATATGAAACCCTTGTTCAGCAGGAAAATGAAGCACTTAATTCAGCACACAACCAAAAAGCTATTAGACTACAATAAAAACACTGCAGACATGCTTACAACTAGAATTTAAAAAAAAAACACGTTGTGTGCGACTTCTAATTTCAACGTTAGACGGTCTTGTGGTACTATTCTCGGACAATGAAAAGTGTGAAAACATTGAAGCATTCAATTCATTGATTTAAAGGGGCACTCCAAGCATAACTATAGCTCACTGAAAGGTTTATGGCAGCATGAGTCTATGGGGAGTTAGATCACTCTCCAGCAACATGGATAAAGCAAAAATTACACATCCATAGGTTATGATGTATCCTTAAAGTAAAAAAAAACAAACAAAAAAAAACTGTAGAATGGAGTGACAGGCCTATCAGCAGTTTATAAGTGACCTTATGAGCAACCATGTTATATACACATCAATAATGCTGACTGGACTAGATCAATGGTGAGAGTGAAGACATTGTTAAGACTAAATTTAAAGGCAAAAAAAAAAAAAACCCACATTTCAATCAATGATACTGAACAGGTTTGAAGAAGCAGTGTTGTGTTTCATTTACATATACTATAGTTTTTAAAGGAATACTCAAACCACTGCACAGGTTATGGAATTAGTCAAACCTTTTGAAAAAGTATTTTTTTTTTTGCTTATTTATAACCTTCCTCTTCCAGTATGGAGAGCTAGAAGCTCCTGCTAGGATATCAGATATAGTTGCTGAAAGTTGAGGGCCCAACACTCAGGAATCTTCATTCCTTGTTCTATCGACAGATCTTATGTCTATTATTCTGAAAATGTGACTATTTATGGAGCAGTTGTGTATTCTGAATATCACTGGCCTTTCAAACGGACTTAGAAATTAACATTTTGAAAGGGTTCCTAACAGACCATGTTTAGCTGCACTTTTTTTTATTTATTTTTTATTATTGTTAAACATGTTGCTCCAATCTGTGTTGAGGCAACAAGAAAGCACAGACTATTCCCATATTTAACCATCTACCCAATTGGATTGCACAGTAGCTCTTACCTGCCCAGCACTGGGGAAAAGTGGTTTTGGCACAGGCTGCATGACTGGTGCCGATGTACTGGGAGCGGAAAGTCTGCCAACACCTGGGGTAGATAAAGGCTGTGACTGCGTTACAGATGGCATTCCAGGACGGGGTCCAACGGGTGGTGGCACACCTAAAATATACAAAGACAGGAATACGAGAGGATCCAAGATTCCATCCGATAACACCAACCAGCAAAGATATCTATACTTTCTGAATAGCGTGGTTGCTTGAAAGGCATGGATAGAGATATAGATTCCATGTATTTCAAGCAACCACACTGTTTGGAAACTATAACCTGACCATATCTAGTAAGAAGAAAAAAAAAATTACATTAGGATAAGCTGACTTACCTGGTGGCAAACCAGCCATCATGGGAGGTA